ATTTGCGCTTCCCGTTAAATATTTTTTCCTCAATTGACCAGGGTGTAGGTGAAGTTATCCGCTGTGCTGTCATGCTGAGGGTCCCATTGTGCCCCTGGCTGCTGCCCGAATATTGGGTGGAAATCGGCTTTTCGTGACTTCTATTCATCCTTTATCCGCAACCCCGCACACTCACTCACCTCATTTGCATATTTTCGCCGCTCTAACTTTATGGGGTTTAACTTAAACCGTTTAAGTTAGAATGAGCGACATTTTTCACTTTTGTTTGACTAGAAAATGATAAAATGCTTGAAAAGCTGCGAAATTTTGGCCATTTTTAATTGAAAATGGTTAAATAGTCATTTTTTATATCCAAAATTTAATTTTTAATGTTATCTGTATAGTCAGAAATAGGTAAAAAGAAACTACAAACTCCGCTATTTATATAAAATCCTTAGAACCGTTAAAAGTTTTAACTTTATCAGTAAGAATCTCTTGTTGACAGATATTTTCACTCATTTTTAGCCCGAGGCAAGCCATCAAAATGGATGGCTATGACCCTTCATGCCCCCCGGTGGTGTGTGTGATATCCAGAAATCTGAGCCGCTATGACCCCGCGCCTTTTTCTCTATACTCTCTATCTCTCGTGCTCTCTCTCTCTCTCCCTCTCTCTTCTATTGCCTTTCTCCCATCAACCTTCCCTAAATGGCATAATTGAAGGCCGGGGATGCCAGTTCGCCCAAACCCCCATCACTCATCTTAATCCAGGAATGGGCTGGAAAGCTTCTTGGTCAATAATGGCTTTTTATTTCTATATTTTTGATATTGTATTTCGTATCATTGCTCTTTCATAACAAGTTTGTATGCCTTTAAAATGTCTAGAAATCTTTCTATGAGTAAAACCTCCGACTATGATAGAGGCGAATCATCAATTTAGAGGTAAAGCCTCGAACATTTATCTCTTTTCTTTATTGTCTCACACATCGGCTCTCTCTCTCCCGAGATTTCCCTGAAAAAGAGGCTGAAAGACACCAGATATCCCGGGACCCTTGTCCCACTGACCACATGGCCATGGCCACTCGGCTGGTGGCTATAGTTCCAACATTTTCTTAGATTTTATTTGCCAGTTTTTTCTAATATGCCCTATTAGCTTCATTAAATAAATACCCCTGTCTTCTTTGTTATCATCTGACCGAATTTTAGCTAACAAAAACAATTTAGAAACATTACCTTCCTCGGTTTATATTAGAAAAATGACCGACTAAAGAAAGCCCCCCCCCCGATAATGCAAAAGCACCGACAGAATGCACCGAAAACAATAAGACAAAAAAACCCCGAATCTCCGCTGGCTATCATTTTCCAGCTGCCATCATCAGCACCACCCTCCAGGTCACTTTACACTTCCACCCCCCGCGCCTCCCCCCTCTTTTTATTTCGGTCCCAAACACGATATTATTTTATTCACATCACCTCACTCAAATCGACATCACTTTCTCGATTTCTCACCCGCGCCAAAACGGGGGCCCCACCCTTTAAAAGCGCATGCAAATTGCGTGGCTTCTCCTTCCCTTTTTTCCTCTTTTCCCCGGGCTATAGAAATTGGGGCCATGGTTGGGCCGGACAAATAACTTGTTACGCCCTCATCTCCCCCCACCCCCAACATCGGCCTCGAGTGCTTTTGCGACTAACTACACAAGATATTTGGACCGGATTTTCTGTGGTAGAAGCCCTAATCAGTAATATTCAATGGTTAGGAAACGCAAGAACCATCCCGTTCTAGCAGCTAGGTCTTGACAGCTAAGCTACATTCCAAAACACACTGTAAACTGGTACCCCCAAAATTGTCAAAGTAAGAATGCCTTTCAAGTAAAAAACACCCTTTTAACGGGAAAATCGACCCCTTTCCGCGGCGAGGTCTTGACAGCTACGCTACACTCCAAAACACGTGTTTTCGCTGTAACGCAATGCCCCCCATGGTTATAAAAATGAGAATAGCTATATAGCAAAGCTAAATGGGCTAGATTAGTGAAAATCAACCTCTTGACCTGCTAGGTATTGACAGCTACACGGCACTCCAACTCCGCTTTCGAGTTCCTTAGTGTTTGGCCAAACGACACGCTCCTAGCCTCGAAAAATGAGATTAATACGTGTTTTGGAGCGGCGCGTAGCTGTCGAGAGCCAGGCAAGGATCGAGGTCGAAGCTCGCCTGCCTAATAGCTTTAAACCGATGAAATGAACCATTGTTGAGAACTTTTGAAGTTGGATCAGCTTAGAAGGGAAGAAAATTTATTGATTACACGGTAATTCTACCTCAACGCGGGGATGGATGTCCTATAGCCCGCAGGCAAAGCGCACGACGTTCCCAGGCGTTGCATGTCGCGGTCTCGGCAAAATATCTTCCTTTGAGGCTCGGGCATACAGACATTTTTCTTTTCTTCGGCTTCATGAAGCCCTTCCAAAAAGTACCATCGCCCAGGGCCCATCAACGTATTAATGTCTTCTTCTGTCTTGTCGTGGCTTGGCGCTTAATTGAGCGCGTTGACTAGGGCGGACAGTTTGTGGCCCGAGGCTAAGCCCCCCTCACCGCCAGCACCTCGACACGACCCCTTCCCCCCCCCCTCCATCATGCTGTGCTTTCTTTCCTCCTCTTTTGTTTACAATCTTCCACTGCCCATCTATTTCTTTTTTTTTGCGTCAATGGCATTCACAGCCTTCATTTGTCCATTTTCCACCGATGAATCGAATGGATTTTATTGGCGATTTAGAGCCAAAAATATTCAATGCCCAGGTTTTTTTCTGAAAAATTGGGTTTTTCTTTAGTTCTGGAAATTTTCTTTTTCTAAAAAGGTATTTTTTTATGCACAGAAAGTTCATAACAAATTATTAGAATTATCGTGATTCTTTTTGTCAAAATTTATGAAAATGTTCGAAAATTTCAAATTTCTAAGTGTTTTTATGCTTTTTAATAATCACAACCTACTGAAATAAAATAAAATACGCTATAAAACATCACAATTTTGCTGGGTAGGCATCCCCCCGCTAACAGCCCAGAACCTTCATCCGTTCCAAGGATCGCAAGTGGTACACAACCAATGTTCCCCCGCCTCTAAAAAAGTGCTCTTCTCGCGTGTGAACAGTAGGAACAAGTCATCATCACCATCTTCTTCTTGTTCATCTCCGGATCCGGCTTATCCCCTCGACCTGATCCCGATGAGTTTTCTTTGCTATGCCCCCTCAAAAGATCGCTCACCCCCGATCCGGTCCTCTCTTCAAGATACCGTCATTTGCCCCAACGTGCCTATTTCTACAATCAGTCTCGCTAAGCGGTTTTGCCAGCTTTACCTTACTGTCTTACTAGAGACCCCATTTTTACCCCATTTTTAATCTTTTAGGTATCCTACCATTTTATCGTCGAGGTGTTTGATTTGCAATTGTGAAGTTAGGTAGCTCATCGCGCTCGCAAAAGTTCGAACGTTCCGCAATTGTTTGGAAACAAATGGAAATTTTTGAATTTCCAGAAAGTTAATTTTAGTTAATTTTTTTGACCTTTATATTTATATTTTAGTTTGTTTTATGGCCAACCCCGCCGGCTTCAGATCAGATTCCGTCGCTGCCACAACAACTATTTTCTGCAAACAAGTGATCCTCAAGACATCATAAACCCCCGACTTCCAGGATCAATCTGATATCCCAGAAAGCGGCCCGCTAAAGATGGCGTTTGGTGGATATGACTGTCGTGGTATTTGCTTGATGGGGGCCCCCCTACTCGGCGTGGCCATTCCCCCCTATCCCGCCTTCCGCTATCCCCCCAAACATCCTTCGCTGGCTGCTGCTGGTCTGTTGGTTTGTCCATCTCGGGAATCACCGTATCCGGACCACCCGGATAGGCTTCTCCTGACATCGGCGCTTTTGGTCGCTTCCGATTCGGGTGTGCTGCTGGTTTTGGCATCTCTTTTGGTTGAAAAGATCAGTTTTTTTAGTCTTTCGAGAGAGGAGACCAACTTTCTTTCCTAAGGCGCTAATTTTTCTAATTCCTGGCTGTTTGTATTAATCTTAAAAATAGAGACTTTACAATTGTTTACTTCAACTCCAAAAAAAATTGAGGTTTCGGTCAAAACTTGACGTCTTCAAGCGGATTTTTTAATATTGATTTACGCTATTGCGGATTGTTTACTATTATTATTTAAATTATATTATATGGCGCTCTGAATGAACACAAGTCATTTCATGCCGGAGCCAGAGCTCTGGGAACTAGTATCTGGCGCGGAATTGATGGGATGATCGGCGCTGCTGCTCCTGTAAATTGCCCATCCCCAATGATGTCCGGTCCCGTCACCTCGCACCAGTCCCACCATCGTTTTTCTGTATTTTTCGAGGCGGGGAAAACGTACGAGTGCTTGCTTTAAAATTATCTGGTGCTTTCATTAAATTAAATTTTAATTATTTTATTTTTTTATTTTAATTAAAATATATTTTTTTTTTTTTTTTTTTTTTTTTTTTTTTTTTTATGAAAAAGAAAGAAGAAAAAAAAAAAAAAAAAAAAAAAAAATTATAAAAAAAAAAAAAAAAAAAAAAATCTAATTTAAAAAAGAGAGAAACCCACCTGTCTGTCTCACCTGGCGCCTCTTTTTCCATTCATTTGCACAGAGTGTCTAACCCTGACAAGAATAACAAATTCTCCTTACTTTCGAATTCTATGATAAATAAGATGTCTAGGGTCTTGTATTCGTTTGTAGACAACTATGCGCCATTGATGACATTTCTTTTCTTTCGCCAGCGAAGCCCCGCTGTTGTTTTCTGCTGTTACTCACGGCGTCCCGTACGACATTTCCATTGTCTGCTCGGTTAGAACGCTCACATTCACAAATTCATCCCGCCAATCGAATTCCCAGACTGGAGCTGCTATATTCTGGCGTTCTGAATATAAATAGCCCATTTTGTGGAGACTTACTTTCACTTTTGGGTTCTGTATGCTTTTTCTCCCGTTCTTATCGCTTTCTCAAAATTTCTACTTTCAGGGTATGCTTTCGCAATGCACCCGATTTGAGGCGAATCCATTTAACAAGGAGAAGTGCAAGAATTGCTACAAGCCCAAGGACTCGCACTCCAACGAATGTCTCGAAAATGCAAAAGTGAGTGGTTTCTATTGGCTTTATTTTGCAGGCGGAAGAGCGGATTCTCCCGGTTTCCCATGTGTGTTTTTTTTTGAATACCGACCGTTATCGATATTCCATCCCCCCTCGGCAGCTTCTTCTCCTTCTGGGCTTCCCCCCTCTCGCAAAAACCAGCCTACGCTTGTTCCCGTCCCGATAAGCTGCTGGCGCGCTGTTTGAAGGCAGCATTTGGGACACGGGACGAGACTTCCTAAGCAAAGCTTCGAAACTGCAAATGATCTGCTTAGAGGGTATTTCGATTGGGTTAATCGAGTTTTTGCCAGGGTTTGGTAGATTACTGGTTTGCTGTTGCTATTATTTGTTTATTTTACGGCTTTGTGCCAGGGTGCTGAAAACCAGCAAAAACTTCAGTTGCAGGCTTTTGGTTTGACCGTGTCCTACCCAAATGTTACGCTGAAAGAAATCGGCTCTACTGTTTTGCACAAAACCCTTAAAAATTTGTAGATTTGCTTTAAATCCTTCAAAAAATTCAGCGGTTTGTCTTGAATAAAGGAGTCCGGCTGGCCCAAACTCTTTTGAAAGCCCCCCACACCGTCCACTGGCTCGCACCGGCGCTGGTGACACAGATTTGCATTCGCGTGCGGTGCTCCCGAGACACCATAAATGGATAGGGGAAAGGGGACCTCTCCCATCCTCCATCCCACACCATTTCGCTTTATCACCCGGCTCGAAAGCCCCGGGAAGTCCGGCTTTCACTCTGTCTCCGCATTTTCTCCATCCTGACCTGCCCCCAACGGCTTTCCACAAGATTGTGCTTGCTTTCTCAAGGCGCCGCCTTCATCAATCTAGTTGATAATTTGGGCTTGAAAAATCCGGCTAGGTCTGTCGTTTCCTTTCTTTTTTTTTCCGCCATGCGTACCTTGAAAGCCGTCGGCTTCTTGACCAGAAGTCCCTTCTGCCCAGCTTGCGTTTTCCAAAACCTTTTCATTTTTGCCGCGCTGGACGGACAGACGTCGGCCAGTCATGTTTACAACCGGAAACTGGGCACCCGCCGCTGCCGCCTGCGATCCCTTCCCAAAAATAGCCGCTTTCCCTAACCCGCACAGATAGGCATCACCCGCACGCAGACGGCCTTCAAATGTACAAAACAGCAGGCTATGACCCACGGGGTTTTTAACCTTACTTGGGGCGCGCAAGAGAGGGAGACAGGGAATGGGCGAGGCCACACCCCCTTTTCGCCCCCAAAATGTATTAGAAAATCCCTTCTAGTGGCTATAACTTTTTTTCTAGAAAAAATGACAAATTCTCCGCCTGGTAATTTGTAGAGAAGACCCTTGGGAACATTTTGGTAAAAGAATCTCAGCGATCGTGAGGAAAAACAAGGATTTGAAACGCTTTGAAGCGATTATCAAGACGATATTCTCGTTAGGGCCTCATTTTCCTAATTTTCTGCCTGAGATTCGCCACAGATTTGTTGTCGGCGCTTTTCTGAGCATTTTGCAAAAAAAAAAAGCAAAACCATGTGATGATTTTATGCGAGGAGAGGAATCGAACCCTGACCCTCCGCCTGACGCCGCCTTGGCCAGGCCCCCCGCACCCCCGTGCGCGGAAAAAAACCCCGTGGACCGTTCTCCCATCCTTTTGCCTCGACCAGGCGTGCGATGGATCGTTTCCGGACGCGGCGTGTTCCATTTTCGAAATTTCTGGCTTTTAATTATCTCTTTTTGCCTTATTTTGTAATTTTTGCTGCCGTTTAGGTGAAGCTTTCGCAATTTAGTATTGCTAGGAAGGGGACACTTTAGTTCTTAGGATCGAATCCTGCCTGCTAATGGAAATAAATAAAATGTTTCTAGAATGTGTTTTAGTAACCTAAACGTAAAATTAACAATTTTTATGCAAAAATTCGCACAAAATATCGATTATCGACCGAAATTTAAAACTTGGAAATGGTGTTCGAAATTTTATGAGTAATTTTCCACTAGAAATATGATTAAGTTTTACTTTACACACTATTAAATATTGCTGACTTTACTAGCCGGTGAAATACCAGAGAACTAAGTTTTGAATAGCTAAAAAGTAAGACAGGGTTGAAGTAAGTAAGACAGGTTTTTGATCTCCAGAAATTGCTCCTTCATGCGCACCATTATGGAAATTGCATCTCCTTGCTGCCCGTAGGGGACAACAGAGTGAGGCTCAAGCCATAGCGGCGGCGTATTGACAGATTGTGAGCCCGGTGGGGGAGGAGGGGTACCCGGGCAAATATCGACTGACCAAATGAAGGCTTGTCCTGTTGGTCAACGCGCTTGCACCGGCCACACAACTGACTCATCCACGTGCATCATCCTCCATCTCATTGTTTTTGACGAGTCCAATTCGAACACTTTTTTTCAACGGTGTTAAAGGGGAGTAGCTTAATTTGGGTTCCTTGATCTGGATTAATGCCATTTTTTTTTATATGAGCTGGCGATCTATGAACTTTTTGAGACACTTTACGGCTAGCGGGACACGGCGTTTCAGAGCGCGCACGGGAGGGGTGGTCGAGGCGTGGTGTAGTGGTCTAAGGCGGCGGTCCAGCCCCGAGACAGGGGGTGCGGGTTCGATTCCCGAGGCCGCAAACCTCTGCGTTTTCTTTTTGCTTTTTGCTCCAAATGTTCATAAAGGAATTGAAAGCGCAGAAGACAGACCCCCCTTTGCTTTAAAGACTACCAGAACGATGGAACGCGCACTGTCACCCCGAGGGTGCAACCCCCAAGAACGCGCAGAGAGTGTCGTCATTAGTGGCATTAGTATTAGTATTAGGTCGTCAGGTATTAGTATTAGGCAAAGACCCTCTGGGGTTTGGGGCGCCTCTGACTCCCTTCGCCACTTGGCCCTGTGGTATAGTGGCTAGCGCGTCGGACTGTGGAGCGAACCATCGCGGGTTCGACCCCCGCCCGGTGCGCAACTTTCTTGCTCTAAACGATATTTCATCGTTCTGACGGTCTTTAAGAACCAATTACGCGCCGATTGGAGCGTGCCGTAGCCTAGCCCCGCCTTCCCCTCTCATGCGCGTTTTTCTTAAAGGATGAATCGCCGTGGGGAGGTCCAGCTTTGGTATACAGCTTTTTACACCGTTTTTTATAGAAATTTCATACAGGATTCCTCACGTTTTTTCGAAAAATCTTGATTTTTTGTCGATAATTTTGAGTTTTCAGTTATATGAAAGAGGCTTTATGAATTTTTACTCATCAAAAACGCCCGAAAGATTAAAAAAAACACTAAAACTTTTTTTTCACCTGCTGTGTATACCGCCGATCCCTTTTCCACCCACGCTATCATACCAGTACGCTTTCCCATCCATTTTGCGGTATTTTATGCTCTGCGGCGTGATGCACCACACTAATCTCTACTCGGCTACAGTAACTTTACCCTACCGCTTGGGAAAGTAGCGATTTGCGCATCACCAACCCCTCCTCAAACATACGGCTGGTTTTTTGCATGCTGGCCCTCGTCATTACTCAGCCGGGAGAGTGCACGCTAATCTTGGGTGCCAACCCCCGAAGACACAATGAAACCATGTCTCGCGCCGACCAAGCCCCTTTATGTTGATAATTACACGGCCATGACCCCAGGGGTGTACGACACTTTACCTTCTCTTGCATGTTCTACGTATTCCTGGATTTTCTTGGTTTCTTGGATGATTTCTTATTTCTCGAAGATGAATTTTAGAAAATAGAAAAACTTAGAAGCGAAAATATTGTTGAAAATTTAAGCGCTCCTCTTTGCTCACCTTTCAGAGAGCTCTAGAATTCCGTAAAAAACATTCCGACAGTGAGCCGTACCCTATACCCCGCAAAAGGGAAAACGCAAGCTCAGGTTCCGAAATTCATGTTTCTGAGTATAATTTTTTCGTTATTCAAGCGTAGTTGTGGAGGGAACAGTAGATTTTTCCAAATTCCAATTTGCAAAAAAAGTGGAAAAATTAATTCGGCAATAATCTACCGGATTCTGCACCCTCTTCCCCTCAAAACAAAACCGCGAACCCGCGAATTCCCCGGTCAACAGGGCCACCACCCGACCCCGCGCGACCGGAACGCTTCCCGAAAATCGGCCAAAGCCCTTGAACCGTTAGACCGTTAGCACATCGCCAGGCATCGGTGACCTCAGCCCCCCTTCTCACCCTTCACTTCACACCAATGCCTCTCTACACCCCTCAATTTCATCCCTCTCTTCCAATACTAAACATGCTGTCATGCTGCTTTGCGTGGGACCCTCCCCCACCCCCGAAGGGCCCATGTTTGTGCCTTGGCCAGGGGGGAGTCGGCTTTCCGTAGCTCTTGTTCTCGCAGAAGGAAGTGGACAGCCCACCTCAACCCACCCTAGCTAGCTAGCATCTGACACTACACCCCCATCTACCATTCAACACCATTTGTCGGAGGTTTTTATCAGGCTGGGCAGAATTGTCATTATTTTATTATTCATTTTGTTGGACAAAACCGCTAGGCATTTTATTGGATCCTAGCATATGATGCTTGTAGACCCCGGCCATTCGAGTCCAAGCAACCATTCCAAATCGTTCCTTCCTGACCCCTTTAAACTACTGATAGCCTTTATTACCTACTCTCCAAATTTCGAGCTATTTTATGGCTACTCCCAAGAATTAACCCGCAAATTTCCATTAGATACGATTTTTTTAATTACCGGATACTGTATTTTGAGCTTCGCACACTCAAGCCAGAGCGTCGGTAGTTTTTGGGGGTGGATGGAGCAGAGACTGGCATAATCCACTCGACAGCCTACTTGAACAAATCGAGGGGCTCATGCAGCCCCCACTAAAGTCGCACTCCGCGATCCTTCGATTTTCACGCGACGAAGGCTGTTGGAGGGCTTGCTCTGGATTGGCTTTTCTGACTTCGTTATATTGAGCTTCCCACGCAGGTCGCTTTCAGAATGTCGAAATTCAGAATTTAGGAATTTCATGCGAAAGCAGGCCCTGACGTTTCAAAATTTCGGTATTTTCGCAATAGCCTTTTCTAAAATGTAAGTTTTAAAAAGAAATTTAATGTTTAAGGTTCTAATTTGTAATGTCATATTTTAATTAAGAAAGTGTTTTTATGAAAAAATGAAAGAATTTGTATCCTGTAACTTGGTAGATTCAGGATCCATTTCAAAGCAGAAAAAGAACCCCTGTACTAGCTTTCCGAAAGACGAGTAGAATGGGATGCGAAGCCAAAGCGCGCAGCCACCACCAGCAGCGCTTCCTTCCCTTTTTCGACCGGTTCCCCTCCAGAGCCAGCGGCCTCGTCTTGCGCCACACACCGCTAATTTCTCGTTCCCCTCCACCCATCTCTTCTTTTCTCTCTTTTCTCTCTTTCCCTCTTACCACCCGTTTCCTACCACCCGTGCAGTCACCACAACCTTTTTACTATATTTTTGCCTGTCGTACCCGCGAAAACCGGTCTCGGATTCGGCGGCTCTGGTTTGAGCATCGATTCCGGCGGGTGGGGCTGGGGCTGTGGCCAGGGGGTTGAATTTGCGCTATTTCCGGCTTAACCTTTGAATTTGAGGTTTAATTTAGCTTTCAAAAACTATTGCATATAGCTTTGCGGCCCTTTAACATTATCCTGATACCTTGAAATGAATGTTCAACAATCGGGCCAATAAAATGAAAATTATGCGTTTTGAACTACGTTATGTTGACATTTTTAGCGTAATGGAATTTGGCGTAATAACGGTCGGGATTTTCTTCCGACGTCCCTGGCCAAAAATTTTCTTCTATTTCGCTTTTGAACCCGATGAAATGACGCTAACGTGGTGTAGAACTGGTTTTTCCAGTCGTATACGCTTTTCTATATTGATATTTTTCAACCAATCACGATAGATCTACGCTATTTACCTTTCCCTGGCATTTGCCCCATCTATCGAACGTCCCATGGGTTGCTCCAAAATTCCCAAGTTACCTTATCAAATATTTGATGCATGCCGTCAACGACAAACAACCATTTTTTTTTCAGATGAACCGAAAAGTGACGGCGTGTGGATTCCTCTACGTCGCCCCGCCAAATCTCGACTTTTCCATCCAAGCCCACACAGCTAAGGTGCGCAAAAATTTGTAGATTTTATCCGATTTTTTTAGAGATGGCAACGCCGCTGGTTCACGCTGTTTGACACCGGGGAATTGACCTACGCCCTTGATAATAATGTTGGTTTTCGAATCTCTGGCAAAACCGAGTATTTTCAGCCCGACACGGTTCCACAGTTCTCGATCGACATGGTTCGGTGCCATCGGGTTTGCGAAGCGGACAGCATTACTTGTTGGTTTTTGACATTAGATACCTAGGCGAATTTTGAAAGTGGATTTCCATTTAACTTACTTAAATTAATTAATTTGTCTTGTAGGCCACGCACACTCGATTCTCCTCGCCTTCCGAACGACCCCCGATGACGGTGTTCCTCCCGTCGTTTATGTAAAAGCCGACACCACCGACGAAATTAGATGGTAAGCCGCCAGTCTTTTTTTTGGCCAATCGGCTGCTGCGAAAAAATTAAACCTTCCTTTTTAATCGTATTTAGGTGGCAAGGCATGCTGGCCCCATTCGCCAAAAATAATATTGTGCTCAAGCCTCGCCGGTCTATCGAAACCGCCGAGCCCAGCTACAAAGTGGTAAGCCTTTCCTGACTTTTTTTGAATGCCAAATTAGGAGCCGGCTGCTCCCCCCTCGTCGCTGTTGTCACCTAAAATGTGCTCCCCATCGAGCTCTCGCGATTCCAGCCTCGATCGTCTGGATGATGGACGATACGAAGGAGCGAGACATGGAACAGGTAGGGAATCACGTATCAAACAAAACTAACCATTTTTTAGTCCGGCGCGTAAAGCGCGACAGCGTTCTGGCGCGCGAGACAGAAAAACGGCCAGAACCTCTCCTCGTCGTTGCCACCACCACGCCGATTACAAGGTATAATAAAAAAATAAACAACTTTTCCAACTACATGATATGTTCAAAGTTTGATTCCTGTAAAATCATTTAAATTTAGTTCTCTAACGATGAGAGCCCGCTCTTCTTCTGGATCGACGGAGAGTAGTTCAGCTCCTCCTGGTTGGTACTTCAGACTGTTGCTAAATGTTTTCCAGCTCCAGCTACCCAGCCCCCATCCCTGGCCTCGGAATCGGTCTCCTCCCGGAAGTTCCAACCGCTTCCACTTGACACTTCCATGTCACACACCCTCAGAAAGGTATGGATTTCAAATTTCATTAAATTTAATTTTCGATTGCGACGATTTCCTTTGTTTATTTCCCCTCTTTAGGGTTGGCTATCGCTGCGTGGGAAGTCTGACAACGAGTGGCACAAGCATTGGGTCGTCCTCTCCGGATTATCCCTACGTCTTTACAGGTACGGATCTCTTTTGGAAGACATTTATGCCTTGTCAGGGATGTCTGGGTGGAGGATTCGACCGAGCCCCTGATTTCCATTGACCTCTCCGAATGTGAAAACGTCTATCCAAGCGCGGCTGCCAGGAACTATGGAATTGAGATCAAGGTATTTATTTAATCTGGTTGCCAATATTCCGTTCCAGTGCAAACGGACGCGCTACGTTCTTTCCGCAATGACGCCCGGTATCCGAGATTCCTGGATTTCTGCTCTTCAGCAGGTTCGCTGACACTTGTAGTGTAATTCGTTTTTCTAGAATCTGCACGATCCGTCTCCAACATATCCGGAAACAACTGGAGGTAGCGATGCGGTATCGTTGGCCGATAGCTCGGATGTTCTCGGAATGCCGGTATATCTTTTTCAAGACCCTCGTTTGGGCTTTTGGACGCTCAATTTTGATTCGCTACCATCGCTAACGTCGTTTTTTAGCGCAAGAAGCATATCGCGTACGTCGCTCCGGAAAGCCACCACTCGAATTCAATGATGGACGGGGATAGCAGCACTGAAGATGAACTAACGAGAATACAACAACGAAGAGCTCGCCGAGACCGGTAATCAGATTTAGCATGAGAAAACACTCACATTTTCAGGTCACTCTCATCCGCTTCATCCCATTCTCGCCCTCTTGCCAACCGGCAATCGCTCTCTCCTTCGGTGCGTCGATCCCCGATTGGAAGGATAAAGGAGCGGTCTGCCGAGGGCCGGGCGAGGTGCTAGATTTTTGCAATTTTTTTACTTGATTCCAGGCATGGCTCAAATTCATCACTGGCCTCCTCGAATAACAGTGCGAAGAATCGGCGTAGACTGCAGGTATGTTTTCTTTACGAAATATTAGGCTGATGGCGGGTTTTCTGCAAGCTGACATCCATAGAATAAGCCGGGGTAAATCCTTTTGTTCCCGGCTGCCTCCTTCCTTCTCACACCCTCCCCACGTTTACAACCCCTCCACCATTTTGCGGTACAAAAAGTTGGGTAGAAAACGATGCGTGAGTCGAGAGCCAGAATGAGACAGCTGTCTCGACATCTGGCCCAAATCATCGGGAGGGGCTCGTAAACGGCGGATGGCGTTGAGCCTGACTCCGAGGCTTCCTGTGCTCATAGCCATCACCCCGCACACGTTTTTTAAAGGGTCAGGAAGTCAAAATCTATTAATCGCTTTTCTCAGGTTGCGCGCATGAATTTTCGCCGTGCAAATCGTTTCCAAATTTCTAATTCTGAGTACGACCCGGTAGAGGTGTTTTGAAGCTTGCAACATCCTTTACGCAATGGAAAGAAAACCCGAGTCTGGCACGCTACTAGCCATCCCTTGCCCATCCCTTTAGTACCCAAAAAGGTATCTGCCTATTAGACCTTGAAACCTCTGGCACAGCCCTTTTTTTGCAGTTTTGTTTTTTTTCCGGGGGGCGCCCCCCCCATGTCCCAAAGACATTAAATAAGAGGAAAACAACAAAAAAACATTAATTAATTTTTTTTCCCCCCCCCCCAAACAAAAAAACAAAGGACGGCGAAAAAAAACCCCCCCCCACGGCGGGGGGAACAATCCCAAGTAATCCAAGCTTTCAATAGCTGCTGCTCACGAACGGCACTCCGCATTCACCTCGTTGTCGGCTTTGCCCGGCCGGAATACAGCGAACCGGTCGTCGTGGCTACTCCCTCATCCCGCGCGTTCTTTCAACCCCCGTAAAAAGCGGCCCTTTTTTACATTCCATTAGGTTCTGAGTTCTCCCACAGCATCGATGTGTGTTAGGGGATGATTCGCGGCATATGGAAAATACGTTTGGGGGCTGAAATGCCCCTATTGGTCACTGTGTACACAGGCCCGCCGTTGCCATACCCATTTTATGCCCTTCTCCCCGTACCCCCTACTCCGAAATGGCTTTTTTCATGCCGGTACGGACATCTTGATAATTTCGCTATTTTTGGCGGCTGGACAGGGCCTTTGCGCTACGTTAGCAATGTTCTTCTAATGCGCTTTCTCTCTCTCTCTCTCTCTCTCTCTCTCTCTCTCTCTCTCTTTCTCCCATTTTATTTTTGGGTGACCAAGCAGCTTGCAGAAAACCCACCGATTGGCACATCAGCATGGTGTTCGCGTCGGGTCCCCCGGACCCGAATCGAAACTACGTCTACACGCAGTATCCTGTGAGTAACCTTTTGCTTTCTAGCGCACCTCCCCGAAATATGGAATTTCCCCCGAGATGCGGATACGCTCGCTGGAAGCGCAGGTTTGAAAAATCGAAGGAAATTCCGGTCTTTCGTTTTTCTACTTATTTTACATGGTCTATTATTCTTTTTAGGTGGCCTCCCTACGCGAACAACTTCAAGAATCAACATCCCGCCTGTCTGACAGCCGTACCGAAGTCGATCGGCTGCGCCATATCTATTCTGGGGCTGATGTATGTCTATTCCGCTGGTTATTCCATGATTTCCATTTCAGCAAACTGGCCTGGCCGCCCTGAGAAAATCCCTCTCGGCTGCCGAGACCGAGATCACTCGACAACAAAAAGAGATGGAGGATATGCGCCAACAGCTTGTCTCTCCCTCTGGCGACCATGCGTATGTTTTCCCTTTCCTAGAAATTACCCATTATTTCTAGTGTCTCCACCTTCCAAGATCGCCTCGTTTCAATGCTCAAGGTGCAAATGGGCGCCCTCTCCAAATTCAACGCTTTTCTGGGTATTTTTCGTTGGAAGGTCTTCAAATTTTGCTTAGGAAATAATGTTGATGTGCGGAACGATTTGGACGAGTTGTTGACGTCGCTGTCGAACATTGACCACTCGGAGAAGGGCACCCAGATGGGAGACGATGACTGGGAAGAATTGCAACGACTTGTCGAGGAGACGACGCTTTTGTATGATAACGTCGCGAATAGCATCCGAAGAAAGAAAACGAACGAGGCTGCGGTTAATACGGTCCGTAGCATTGCTTAATTTAAATAATTCCTTTTTTAGGAGGATGAATGGCTATCTGACGAGGGCCCATCAGATGATGAAGACGTGAAGCAAGAAGAGGAATGGGAAGCCGAGCTCACTGCCCTTCAAAACACGCACCAATCCGAGATTGAGTCGCTGCGAATGCATTATGAGCATCAGCTGAAGGGCATCCGTGAACGGCTTGAACATGAGGAAGCGGGGCGGCGGCGAGCTCAGGATGAGATGAAGAACCTCTCGGTATGAATTAGCAAGTTCTGTAGATACGTTTTCAGACAATCAACGAGCAATCCGTCTCATCTGTCCGATCTTCTTACGAAGGCATGCTGGAAGAGCAGCGTCGGCATTTTGATGATCAGCTCGATCGCCTGAAGACCGAGCACTCCAAAGAGCTAGATGATGAAAAGAAGGCGACGAGGTTTGGAATTTAAAAAATTTCATTTATGTATTCCTTGTGCTCATAGCCATTTGCTCTAGGCGAAGATAATGTAAAAAATTCCATTATTTTGCTGATTAATACCTTTCTTTTTTTGGCAAATAAAAATATTTTTCAGGGTGGCTCTTGAAGCTGTGCGAAGAGCGCACGAAGAGGAGATCCGACAACTCGGTGAACGGAAGGGCCAGGCTTCCACCGAAGCGAACCGGGAAAGGGAGCTCCGACAAAGGTACGGGTCGGCTTTTCTGGACCAAACTTGGCTTGCAGCAGCATGCTCGAGCAGATGCGCGATGAACTGACCAATCTGTCGGCCCTCTACTCGGCAAAATGTGTCGAAAACTCGCAGCTGGATGAACGGATAGGCTCGATTTTGGAAGACAAGGACAGGTGGGAATTTTTCGCATTCCAATGTTCTGTTTTTAGAGAAGCCAACGAAGAAGCTGTCCGACTTCGGGCCGAATTGACCCAAAAGGAGGCCCAATTAGAAGAGCTGAAGCGAAGGATACAGCAACTGGAAAGGCGACTCCAGGAAGAAGGCCATATCTCGGGTAGGAATTTTCATTTGATATTTCAGGGCAAATTTATTGGGGACAGGGCTTAAACGTGTGGGATCCCTAAGTCCGCCTGAACTTGACGAAGTCGTCGGCTTTGTAAAGGCCCCGGCTTAAAACAGCTTTTTATCAGTTGGCTCTTTTTGTTTTTGCGAAATTAATAACTGGAAATGCTTTTTGCAGAACGCAAGCGCTCGGTATCACGGTGAGTTTTGGCGAATGAGGTTTAGTGGAATATCCCGGCTTTTGTTGGATCTGGTGCTCAGCTTCTTCTAGAGCATCAAATGTTAATATGGTGCTCAAAAAGCTAGTCATTACATCAGATCAGCATGGTGTGCGAGTGTTGCTCCTTCCCTTTCTGCCTGCCTGTCTTCTTCTCCCCCTATTAGATATCCCCTCCTCCTCTGTTCGCTGTGCAAGTAGCCTCTAACCGTTCGGCTATCCTGCTTGCCACCCAACCCTTATGTTTCCGAAATTGCGTAGCACGCACAAAAATTAATTCCGATTTTTCAGACAAAGAAGAAGCCAGTACGGACGGAATACCGCCATCACCGGTCAAGTTTAGAAAGACGCCGTCGAATCGACGTACAGGTGCGTGACGCAGGGCTGCTACTTACATCTACTTAATCACTAAGAAAAAAAAGATTTTCGTGAGCCCCATATTAGATTTTTTTCGGCAGACCAGATTTTTGAGGATATGTAGTTTCGAAATTGTCTTTCCTTTCTTGAATTTTTGAATTAATTTCTAATTACTTATTAAAAACTGGTCTATTTAAAATTTTTGAAAAAAATAATTTTCGTAGAGCTTAAATACCCGCCAAATCTTACTCTACAATTTTTCGAATTCCATTTTTTGCAACTTACGATAGAATCCATTGGAGGTTTCATGTTTTTCGATCCACATTTTTTGTACGTGTCTAGATTGTAGCTGAACGGAATCCCTTTTCTGACTCGACTCACTTTTTTTTAAACATTTCCCTTTCAGATGCGCGCTTCCACTCAAACCCCTGTGTATCGGCCCTCGACGCCATCCCCCTGCACGTCATCGAGGAGACGCGCCGCTCTCTCGCCATGCCCGTCGCCGAACGAAGAAAATTCTTCGAAACGATCGCCGAATACGCCACCCCTTTCTAAACAGCACCCAACGATATTTCAATCATATCCCAAATTCCTTGTTTCCACCTATAAATTACCTTATCCCCGTAGATCCTCCTGTGATGATGTCCTCCCCCTACCCACGCAACACGAACAAGTACAAATAATGGACTTCTTTGCTTTGAGAGCAATGCTGAGATTACCCCAACCTTTACCAAAGAATCATCGCCTAGAAGCGACTAGAGTAACCCGACTCGCTGGTTACATACATTACATCTACTCTCTGTGTGTCTTTGTGCCTATCTGTACATTTTGAAGATGATAAATATTTCTATTGATTATTTGTTGCAAGAAATCACGTTTACAGTTCGTTTTCTTTAGTGCGTTTCCTGAACGATTTGGTATCAGAATGTCGAAATTCAGAAGATCAAAATTCATAATGTAGACATTTTCCATAAAAAATCTATCAGAGAATTGCCAGAATAGCCAATCAAAAATTTCGACATTTTGAAATTCGGACTTGGTGAATTTTTATATTTTGAAAGCAGGGCCTCCTGAACTCTTGCAACCACAGCATCCCGATATCCCGATTCTGAATATCATTTAGCATGCCAACTTGAAATGCGCTCTTTCCGCTTATTAGACGCAATCAAAATTTACCAAAAATACCCATTTTTACGCTTGCTCTATGCTTCATTGGGTTCTGCTCTTTCTGGTTGGCTTTTTCTGGCGAATACCATGAAAATTTCATGCCTCCAGGTCGTTGCCGCCAGCGGCCAAGATTCGCCGGCGGATGATAAGACCAACTCTACAGCGAAAGCTGTGACGAGCACCACGACCCCGCGCACCACAACCACTACTACCACACCCCTGCCCACGGTGCGTGCTTTGCCGGCCAAAATGCTGATGCCTCCGACGCCCCATCTATCGTATCACGGCTCCACTTGTCCTACAGGACTGTGATGTACACCAAAATTCCCGCCAGCGCAAGGCGAACATTTTGGTATACTTTACACACCTGTAGCTCCCAGGAGAGCCGAGATACAAAAGTTGTGGTTCGGCTGCGGCGTTACCTTTACCGATCCACCTCGAACTCTATGATGAAGCGGAGAGGCGGGGCCGATCATCACGTCGGAGCCAGTGAGCTTGAGCCGATTTTGTTTCAGACGCCGTTCATCCCGGATCTATCCGACTGCAGGCAAGGCCTTCCGCTCACCTGTTTCATCGATGATCGCCAGGCCAATGTACGCCTTCTTCCCTGGACATCTTCTTAAAACCGGCCTCCATAGTTACTGTCTTCAGGCCTCCAAATGTCAATGCAAACCCGGCACCTCGTTCGCCGAATTCGCTGACCAGCGCTGCGAGCATCTCCAGCCGCTCTTGGTCCAAACGTGGGTCATTGACGTATGAAGCTATGCTATTGGTTTAGATACAACAACGTCTCCGAGTTGACGATTCAATGCAATATGACGCTCAACGACTGTAACCTTGACGGCGTGCGTCCCTCGGCTGCAGTGGGCGATGGCCGCGTCAGCGACGACGAGCTGTTCGGCGGCCAGGCCAATGCGGGCCCTGTCATCGGCGGGTCGTGAGTTTTTCTTGGTTTAAAAAATTTTGCTAAAGATTTATCGAACTTTTTCATTTCACTGCTTCATGGCGGTTTTAGTAGTTTCTGGTCAGGAAAAGCTTTGCCAAACGTTTTTTTTAATGTAGAACAATTCAAAATGGTATCGATTTTCATCAGAAGATCTAGTCTGAAAATCCTGTTCCCACTTATTTCCTTTAGTGATGACTGCTGGTACACGTACGAGCCGTGGAAATACACGCGCAACGGCACCCAGGCAACTGTAAAATACCCGATCGCGCCCACCACCGAATTCCGCCCAAAATGCGACACGCGCCAAGACGTCCGCTCCGAGATACAGGAGACTGACGACAATCCGATGCGATGGGGCGAGCTGACGACGCAATTTATGTTTCTGAAGTGCCACTGGATGTTGTGTGACGAACGCAACCGATATCCCTGGTCGGATCAGAATTTTATTTATAACTTTACTTATCTAGGAATCCGGATACGGGCAAGCGCGAGCAGGTCTGCTTCCCGCGCGTCCCCGAGCCGTTCACGATGTCCTGGACGAGGAAGGTGGGGGATATGGAAGCTGCTTATGATTTGTCTATTTTTATCATTGCGTGCATCTGGATGTACAGCTCTTAGATTAGGCTAAAGCTAATATAAAGCTATAGAAAACCACGATCAAAATCATCTGCGAGCAGGTCTAATTTTTTAGTGGTGCGCACGGTACGAGATGAACGTCTCGAAGCTGTACGGCGAAGACGGATGCGAGCCACTGCCTCTCTGCTTTGACAGCGGCTTCACCGCTACGTAGGATTTATATTGTTATAAAAACTGTACTTTTTTTCAGCCCCTACTACCAAGCGGCCATCGACGAGAACTTTGCCCAAGACATCCGTTTGTGCGAGCGCCTCTGCCAGCCCGGCCTTTTCAATATCATGTCAGTCTTTTGTCTTCTATAATTCTCGCTTTTCTTCTTTTCAGGGGTATCAATCCAGACAACACCACCTGCCGTCGTCGCCCATCGATAGATGCCGACGACTGGGCTGTGGTTAGCAGTTCCGACTTGCTTGTACGGCTTCTTCCTTCTTTTAGGGCTACGAGCAAAGCTGGTGCCCCCTCGAAACATCTGTCTACCGCGATCCGCCCGTCGACTGTAACCCCGTGCCGATCTGCCGTCAGCTTGACGATACTGTTGGTATTTAGATATTGTAGCTTAACGTGGTACCCTTTATCTTAATTTCTTTTAGTATTATCAGATTCTTAGCATCCTATAATAATCTAGCATTCTCAGATTATTTTCTATGGACGCTAAAACTGGCTTTTTTATTTTAAAACTTTTTTTCAGATCCCCTCCTACACCGAGATGGAACTGAACGGCACCGATTTTGATGATTTCGAATATAACCCATTCCGGTATAAGCAAAACCTTTAGACATCGACAGAGATATTTTTTTTAGCTCTGGCGTGTGCGTGGCCTCGGTGCTGTACTGCACGCCGCGCCAGGCCGAGCTGGTGATGCTCTCTCACCTCCTAAATAAAGCCTTTTTTCAGCTGTTCTGCCGCAAAATCACGGAGGATCCTGCTCAACTAGCTGCTGAATTGAGCTACCTGGATGCCGATGACCCCACCGCCGTCCCACCCGAAGAATGGCCGACCGCCAAGGTGATCAGTGGGTTTTGGCTTGAATTCTTTGGCAATGCACATTATTAGGTTACATCCTGTTCATCGTCATTATCGTCTACATTGTCCTCGTGCTCATCGTCGGCATTACATTTGTGGTGCAACGGTATTCTGCATTTCCTAGCGAACAATTTTTAGTCGCCGCGAGAAGAATGAGAAACGCCGGAACCCGTCCGCCAATGTCCGCCTGGTAATTCAGAAGCGCTTTTTCTTTATTCTCTTACGATTCCAGCTAGGCTACACACGCAGCAACGAGGACGTCGCCCAAGAGAAGCAGACGTCTAGTGCTCGCCAAAGCGTCACTGAGCAAGCCGATGCCGATAAGGTCCCTCAGAGTCCTCGCTTCGTTGACAACATTAATTTCCAGGCTCCGGGTTCGACTCGCGAGCAAACCAAGAGCATCTCCCAATCCGCCAGCGTTGCCGTCAATAACCCTCAGGCAAGCTTTTTCATATTTAAATTTTTGATTGCTATTCTTAGATTTAATTGTAACCACGAGCCTTTCAGAGCCCCGACAAGATGGGTTCCGTTTCTACTGCCGCCGGAGAGAACGCGAAGAATGCATGAGATGCCAACCACTCCCGATCACCGATCCCCAACTCACCCACTCGGCCTTATGGAAACCCCACAATTCCTTTACCCCCGCCGTGGTTGTGATATCGACGTGTGCCTTGTATATATAAATGGTTGATCCGGGCAAACGTTTTATGGCGATTGAGACACTGGTGAAAATCAAGGACTATTGAAAAGCTAAACTCCACCGTAATTACTTGCGCATTAACTTTGCCGACCATTGAGGCATTTCGGAAACGGATTGGAACACTATTTTCTTGATTTATCGTATCCTGAATTCTTTCGACAATTCATCGGTCCAATCGATAACAAAATACATCTAAAAAGATTTGTTAGTTAAAAATTAAAATCCTGGGCCATTTTTGGTCAAAACAACCAAAAATCTTGTGCATCTTCAGGACCTTTCTCTACTTGAAAACGGCTAGGAATCTTAAGATAATGGTTTAGATTCCTTTATAATCGCCGGGTTATAAGGAAACCTTTATAATTACTAAAACAGGAACATAGAAAGAATAAATCCCCTTTTTCTAAACATTTACACATTTTGGCTTTTCGGAGCTTCGTCAAGCAACAATTTTTGGCTCTAACAAATCTCTTTCCGCGTCCAACCCGCTACAATGCACACCTCCCCTCCATGCTTTTTCTTCTAAACGGGGGCATATCAGGTGTGGTGTTCGTTCATTCCATCTTGAAGTTTATTACAAGAATTGGTACCATACTTTTCCACTTTTTTCAGGGTAAGAATGGCGGCAGCAGCGCGGCTCCGCCTGCTGGCCCCTTTGGCCGCTCGGCCCCAGGCGGCCGCATCTACCCAGCAGCAGCGACAATCCCACACCATCTGGTATCCCGATGCCAAGTTTGAGCGAGACTTTAAGGTTTGTTCTTTGATTGGACCTTTCGGGAACTGTTGTGCGAATGTGAGGGGTTTCCCGCAGTAGAATATTATTCTTTAAGACCGCCGGCATGCTGACCAAGCTCTGGATTCCCGATCGCATCTCCGACTACGACAAGGAGCTCGGGCTTGACAAGCTGAATAAGCTTATGGTCAATGCCCCCGTTCAGGGCGATGCCGTGCAGCTAAAACAACGGTTTGCTCATTTATCATTTTTTGAACCATCATTTAGTGAAAAGGAACTCGAGAACATGATCCTGAACTTTGGACCCCAACATCCAGCCGCTCACGGTGTGCTTCGCCTAGTGCTGAAGCTTGAAGGAGAGGTGAGGATATCTTGCGATGCCTTCAACTTGTCATTTAGGTCATCATCAAAGCCATTCCTCACATCGGTCTTCTCCATCGTGCCACCGAGAAATTGATTGAACACAAGACTTACACACAGGTAATAGATAAAAACCGGGTATGAAAAACAAATGAAAACATTGCAGGCTTAAGAATATTGATCGGCTAAGCAACTGCCTGAGGTTTCTTTTTTAGGCCCTGCCCTATTTCGATCGTCTCGACTACGTGTCGATGATGAACAACGAGCAAGCGTGGTCACTAGCCGTCGAGAAACTCCTGGGGATCGACATCCCTCCACGGGCCAAATACATTCGAAGTACGACTTTCCGGACGACGCAACCTTTTTCCTTTAGCATTGTTCGGCGAGTTGACCCGTATCCAAAACCACATCATGGGCATCACGACCCACGCCCTGGATATTGGTGCCATGACGCCGTTCTTCTGGATGTTCGAAGGTTTGTGTGCTCCTCACTGTCCAGTAAAAAAATTTAGAGCGTGAGAAGCTTTTCGAGTTCTCGGAGCGAGTGTGCGGCGCCCGCATGCACGCCAACTACGTGCGGCCCGGTGGCGTCGCTTGGGATCTACCTCTCGGGTTGATGGACGATATCTATGATTGGGCTGTGAAGGTTTGGGTTTTTTTGCTTGAAAGGATTGTTTTTAGTATACCGAACGAATCGATGAGCTTGAAGACATGTTATCAGAGAACCGAATCTGGAAGGCCCGTACGCAGGACGTCGGTGAGCGAGCTTTTTCGTGTTTCCGAGTCCACTAGAGAACAAGACAAATATTTTATTGATATGTCTGTCTGGTCCGGAAAAATTAGTTATATAGTGTTTAGTAGTAGAATCCGATCAATACAAAAAGAGAAAAGTTGAAAGTTTTTATCCAGCTTGCGATTTTTCATTATTCAGAGTGGTTTTGTATTAAAAACTAATTGATAAATGTTTTTCTAGTACTTTTTTTCAGGAATCGTCTCGGCAGCCGATGCGTTGAACTGGGGCTTCTCTGGAGTGATGGTCCGTGGCTCCGGCATCAAACAAGACGTGCGCAAGACGCAGCCCTATGATGCCTATGGCGAAGTCGAATTCGACGTCCCCGTCGGAACCAAGGGCGACTGCTACGATCGGTGCAATTCTAGAACAATCGAATTATTTATTCTTTAGTTACTTGTGTCGTGTCGAGGAAATGCGTCAATCACTGCACATCATCCACCAATGCTTGAACAAAATGCCGGCCGGTGAAATCAAGGTCGACGACCACAAGGTGGTGCCGCCGAAGCGCAAGGAGATGAAGGAGTCTATGGAATCCCTTATCCACCACTTCAAGTTCTTCACCGAGGGCTTCCAGGTTAGATATTAATTATTTTCGAACCCGTGTTATAACGCCATTCAATACATAACATTTTTAATTTAGGTTCCGCCTGGTGCCACCTATGTACCGATCGAAGCGCCGAAGGGTGAATTTGGCGTCTACCTTGTTGCTGACGGTACCTCGAAACCATACCGGTATGATTTACGCTTTTTTCAATATATTTATTTTAGATGCTACATTCGCGCTCCCGGATTTGCTCACTTGGCCAAGATCCACGACGTCTGCTACATGTCCTTGATCGCCGACGTTGTTGCTGTGATTGGAACTATGGATATTGTGTTCGGCGAGGTTGATCGCTAAGAAGCAAACGATCGTCTCCGTCTCCTTACTCTTTAGGAATAGAAAGTTTTTATCTTACCCGCTCGCGATTACAGTACCGATTGTCTCATTTCCCCGCACGTGTCTCGAGCCGTTTTTTGTTTACATCTGGCCCGTTGAGTTTAGATTTCCTTTCGAGTGGTTCGAGTTATAATGTGACTTTATTTTATTGTACAGGCCTTAAGATACCGGATAAAACGTTTGATGAACAGCTGTTTTCCTTGGTTCGGATGTCTTTCGACATATTGATACCTTTCTGTCGCCTCAACCAGATTTAGTTTACAACCTTATTTAGCGAATGGAGCGGAGGACAAATGCTCTAGTCACTTTTCTAACAAGAACTCCGTTCCCATCAGTTTCAACGTATATTGCGCTCTCGGCGTTTCTTTCTTCAGTGGCCACCGCCGCCCTACTCCACACTTTTAGAAATCAACCCGGGGTAACACTTCTCGAATTTTTCTATACCTTTTTTAGTTGGATGACCTTATCAAGGATGAACTACTCAATAACACTTCATTGGCTCCAGAACTTATACAAACCTTATCGGAATATAGCTTATTTCGGGTTATTTACTACGTGCTGTCGAACCAGCCACTTACTTGGGTATGTTTAGCCTGTCTCAACATATTTGATTTGTTTAGGTCTTGGTTAATACGTACTTTGCTTTTCTTGCCCTTGGAGCCAAGCTTCTGATTAGATGGGCGTTCCGCGATTTATCGAGACAGGTGATGTTCGACGAATATAAACTGATTGTATTCTAGGAAGAAAATTCACTGCGTCAAAGTTTTCTGAACTTCGTGCTGTTCCACATAGTCTTCTTGTCGTTTGTCATGACATCTTCATATTCACAGAGATTGTTGCCTTGGCTTTTCTGGTGGGTTTTTTTCGTGATTGTACATTGCTTTTAGGCTGGGCGGTATGGCTTTTCTCAGTGTTCTCCATGACGTTGTGCACCAACGATTCAAATTCGTAAGTTTTTTGTCTATTGGTTGATGTAAAAAATTTTTAGGTTTCCCCTTCCGCTGGCCGATTCGGGGGACGCCTCTCCTGGGCATGCTTCATCCTATTCGTCTTTTCTTCCACCATTTTCGTAGCTATCCTCCGCTGTAAATCCATGTTCGATCCAATTATCTGGTATTTTTTGCTGACCGATGTGAGTTATTTTTGTTTAAATCCAATATCGGTGCTTAGGCTCTTCATACCTTCGTCCGCGCTGCCCACGCTTTGGCGCGTTGTGTGATCGCTTCCGGCGTCGTTGGAAGCAATCCGGATAAGATACGGCACCTCACCTACAACTTGGATTTGATTGGTGGAATCACCGCCGACGGGATCCTGTTGCTCAATTATGCACGTCTGATCGTCTACCAGCACCTGTCGTAAGCAAAACTTTTTAAACTGGTATTTTTTTCAGGTTGAACTTGACGACCATGTACTTTTTCTACAATCTTCGCCAAGCCTATTTGTCTATCACTGACGCGCTGGGGAGACATAAGAAGCACAAGTTGATCTTCACACATATTCAGGTGAATTCCCTTTTCCGGAACTCAATTTTTTTTTCTAGTCATCTTACCCGCTACTCGAAGAGCCATCCAACGAGTTGTGTATTGTTTGCTGGGAGCAGCTGAGTCGAGCCAGACGGCTGCCATGCGAGCATCCATTCCATGACTGGTTGGTTTTGCTGCCTTGTTTATTTTTAAAACAAAATTCTAAATATTCGTGTAAAATTTTTTGTTTCTTTCAGGTGCCTGATGTGGTGGCTCGAACAAGATCCTTCTTGCCCAACTTGCCGCCGTCCCGTCTCGACGCCGCAGCCCGTGCATGCGCCACCCGCTCCCCGCGCCGCGCAAATGAATGCCCAACTGCGATTTGGTGGCCACGGGTTTGACCCTATTTTCGACAACCATTTGCGAAATCTAGGGTCGGCAACATTCGGATACCAGCATTCTCCATCGAGTTCTCACACAACTTCCCCGTGCTTTTTGCGCGTCAACCGGACGAGAGTCAACTCAACAACCTGGCGCAGCAGGTATATTCCGATCAAAACCATACCATTAGTTTGTTAGGTGCGCGACATGTTCCCTCAAATCGGGTTGGACCAGATAATGGCTGATTTGCGCATGACTGGTAATGCCCAAGCCACCATTGAAAACATCTTAGAGGGTCGTTTGGCGATGGTTCAAATGGAGGTTGAGGTATATACCAAATTTTTGGGTGCGAGACGGTTAGCGGGGTACCTTAAATTAGCCTGACAGCCGTACGGCTCCGATTGAGATACACAACATTGACATACATTTTTGCGGCGTTTTTGAGCTTCGGAAACCTATTAAAATGTTTGAAAATTTCTGATTTTGAACAAAATGTCAAAATTTCTACGTTTTCCAGAACGTTTTTTTACAACTAAAACTTCTAAAAACATTACTTACCGCTATACACGCTAATAATTTTGCCGGGCAGATAAGCTAGATATTTTTCGAATCTTCGAATTCCCCCCCCTCGCCCCGATAACTGACCAATACCGCTCGTTGCTCATAATTCCTTAAATTTAGGAAGAAGAAGACGAGGAAGAGATCGACGATACCCCCAGGGTTGATGATATTGTGACAGCTCAGGTTGAGGTAACGTTTTTCGAGCTTCTAGAATATCTTTTAGAATATCTCACATCGGGTACACACGACGTCTGTGTCGTCCGCCAAAGACTTTGACCCGGGCACCACATTTTTCCAAAGAAGACGCGCAGAGATGATTGCTCAGCAGCGAGGGTATCATTCCCATTTATGGCTTTGTTATTTTTATTTAGACTCTATATTCGTTCCGCACGCGGTAGTGACCTGCTGGCACGCGGGATCACCGATTAAACGAGCACGGGAACACATTTTATCACCTGGATGTGATGACAAACATTGGTTCGCCTCTAACGGTCCGCTTCCGCTGTATAACTCGTATATATTTATGCATAGACGCTTCCAACTCATCCACTTATTTCCGGTAGTCCCGACATAAAATGTGCACTCAATAAAGTTCTCGAATTCTCGATGGTTCTGGGTTGGATGCTATGGATAGGCGGTTCTCTTGCATTATCGGGGGGGTGATCTACTTCCCGACGAGTCCGTAGCAATTTAATAGCCAATAGTTTAATAGCGCTTTTAATAAAGTTTTGCTATATTTCAAATGAAAACCTATTTAGGAAATTTGGAAAATATTTAAAAATTGGAAAACTTATAGCAAGATCCTTTTCTTGTATTTTTAATGAACTATATAAATCTTTTAAGCTTAGAACTGGCAAAAAAAATGTAGAAAAATCATGGAAAACGTTGCCCCTATAATTCAGGAGAACCAGGCGGAGAATCAGATTTCCCACATTGAGTGCTTTTCGACTTGTGAAAAGGGGGTGGTGGTGAGCAAGAGGTTGGCAGCTTTGGCCGACAGGATGTGTGGAGAGAATGCGGGGAGCAACAGCCGCTTGCACCTTACCAGTCGGCCCTCCTCTATCCTCCTCCTCAATGTGCACAATCGGAGGAAAAAAGGAGAAGCCCACCCCGGGTGAGACGAGTGGGCCATAAGCACTTGTCCGGTCACCGCCTCAACCGCCCCCTGGGAGCATCAATACAGCTTTCCGGCATGACGAGAAGTGTTATTATCAAGGTACTTTTTTTAATAATTTTTCGGTACTGTGCTGCTAGCGGGGCGGGCCTATCGCCTGGTGGGTATCAAATCATTAAATATAAGCTTTTTCTATAGCCTTTTGGGCCGTTTCAAGAATAGAAAGTGCCAAAAACCGTGTTGAAACTTTTTCATTTTTTCATTTTTTGGTCAAAAATTAAAATTGTTTCATTTTGTAAAATGTTTAAAAGTGGACGATTTTTTGCGATATGACAAACAACGAAAAACCATAAAAATACGATAAAACGCTAAGAATTTAGCTCGACAGGGAATTTTTCTTTCGTCCCCCCCCCCCGATTAACAGCACAGTACCGTTTATCCAAAGTAATGGTATCGATCCAAATTCTAAAAGCCGGAATCTTAGATCCGGGAAGCCCAGGATGAAGCCGGAAATCGCTACGTGCCACCGGCCAGCCCAACGAGATCGCCAGGTTACTCTCTGATGGAGGCTGTCGGTGAAGCGTAAGTGTTAATCTCCGTAGCTTCATCAGAACAAACACAGCTTCAACTCGATCGCCCAGGACTACAATGTAGCCCGGCATCAGAATCTCGGAGAAGCCTTCATTCCCTCAAAGGCCGATTTCCACAACCGCAAGATGTACAACCACGTGGCCCCCGATTTGGGCATCAACACAAAGTAGGCGAAAACAGTGATTTTTATTAGGTGTCTTTTCATAATATACATTATATAAAGTATTGTAAGTAAAACTCGTCCAAAATGTTTTAGAGAGCGCGATGTGCCTTACGTACCGATTCCGCGCTATCAAGTGCGGCCACGGAGAGCTGGAGATTGGTTGTGTGGGACCAGTCATAAGGACCGCTTCCATTTGTAGGTTTTTTTATTATTTTAAGCGAATAATTCGATAGATTAAATTAACAAATGTAAATATACTCTATTACATTCTGTTTTTGCTAGATAGCCCAATTTAAAAAGTTATAGGGATTTTAAGATCATCGTCGATTTTTTCGATTTCAACAATTTTGAGTTAAATAGCTCATTCGATCGAGAAAGTTTTTCTGAATACGATGGCGATTGTCGTTTTTGACAAACCAGCCGGGAAAGGCAAGATAAATGACTTTGAAGGACGAAAATTTGGGCAAAAATGGTACTTTGAAACGCTATAACTTTTTAAATTGGGCTATTTAGCAAAAATTGAAAGCGGATTCGGAATCAGCGACAAATTCTGGATAAAATAGGCTGGGTCCCATACGGAAACGCCAACTTGACCTTAGGTGGTTCCCTTGTAAGGGATAAATTTGGTCACCCCCGCTAACAGTTCAGTACCGATTTTTCAAGGCTGCCGACGGTGATCCCCATGACTGAACAGCGAATGATATCTGAGAAAAAGGCCGCCACGGACCTTGAGAGACGGTTTGTATACTATTAGTTTGGAAAACCCCATTACAGCCCGGGAAATTACAACTTCGTCCGTTCCGGGCTTCTCCATGGGGTTCAGCGAACACCGGTGGCTTTGGTACAACCCGACTACGGATCCACGGAGATACGCAGGTACGCTAAATCTAGACAGGACTTTTTTCTGGCCCTGTAACGCTCATTTTCCACAGGTTCCTGTCATCTTGGCGCATTCATGTGTCACATAACCATCATTCAGCCGTCAGCGCCGCAATTGGGCCGGAAACTTTGATCGAAACTTCCACGGCGGCAAGCAGTCGAACAGCATCGTTTTCTCATACTGTAGTCCGCTGTGAGGGGCCGACGATAAAAGATTTATTTGAGGTATTGGAAAAGGCAAGGCGCGAGAGAAATGCAATATCACAGGCAGTTAAGGCATTTTCAAGAAAAACGTACAACTTATAAATTCCGGTTGATCAGATCGTCCAGCGCATTCTCGAGTGCCTCATTAGTGCCTTTGAGCCCGGAGACGACCTACAATAAGTCATTGTCAGTTGTCTTAATGAGTAGCAAAAGTTGGTAGCAGTAACAAAAAAATAATATAACATACTTATTAAGAAAATTCACTGACCTCCTTCGCCCACTTGAAGTACTCCTTGCACCGGCGTTTATCCCACCCAAACGGCGGCGCTCGTTCGATATCCCTCAAATTGTATAGCTTATCGGCCAGCTTGACGAGCTTCGCCTAAACCTCACGATGATCATCTACTAGTTTGGCCACCTTGTGAGAATTGTGTGGAGCGTGCAGAATCTGGAGTCGTTTACGCTCCTCTTTTGGCAGACTCTTGTCGTCTGTGACCTCCTTGACAATGTCGTGCACCTATAGGATCCAAAGATTTTATAATAAAAAATAAAGTATATTGAATGGCATTTTTAAAATCGAAATAGATAGAATTAAAATATAATAAAAATACGTACTTCTTGTCCAAACTCGGCCAATATCTCCTCGTGAGTGGTTTTCGTGTCCTCGACGGTGTCGTGGAGCATCGCAGCGGCCAGCGTGACGGAATCGTAGATTTTTGCCTCGCTGGTGAGGATTTGAGCGACACCTGTATTTATAAAGTTTTACTGTATTATCCCTCCTTAACTTAACTTTAAGTTTTTATTTGTTTATTTTTCTGTACTTTTTTCTTCGTTTTATTAAAACTCTTAGACTATTTTTGTTGCGCTATCGAATGCGACCCAAAAACGGCGAAAATATCGAAATAACGAAAGTTCCGGCTGGGCGGCTAATGTATAGTTTTGCCTATACAGGGTGGCGATTAATTACCTGCGCGTCGCTTTTACCCTAAAAATCAGGCTTTAAATTTTCTTTTATAGAGTGGTTTTACTATATTGGTGGTTGTTTAGTTGCATCCTATCCAAATTTTAACCGGGTTAAGCAATCACGAAAAACTACGAGCTAAGAAACATAAATTCCGGGTTCACAACGCGCATCCTGATCCCATGGCCACACTTTTGAAGCCTACTGTAGCCATGGGAGGTAGCTAATCTTTTATAAAACGGCTCAGATACGTTTCGGGCTTCTTTTCAAACGTAGTAAGCGTTCGAGAACCGACCTAAGTCAAAAGATAAAAAAAAGATACAGTATCGAGAACGACATCGGTCAAATGGAAATAAAAACCGCGCGTCCTTTCGATATTACTCGTGAATCTATCGGTACGATATGAGAAAATATGTACAATCCTTACAATAACCATATGCCAAAAGTTCTTGGGTTCATAAGGCTTTATCAGGAAACTAGAATCCAAAAATGCTAGAAATTGCTGATGATTTTTAAGGCGCGCCGCGGGCTGAATTGATGGCATCATTTTTGGCCCAGAACTTTCCCAAAATTCTTCAGAACCGGCCTCAATTTAACAATCCGACCTATCAAACCAATCGGAAGAGGGCTACATCAACGAAATTGCTCTTTCCCGAAATATATTTTTATTTTTGAGGTGTCTCATTCTGGCCGATTTGGCACCAGGCGGAAATTGGTCGTAGAATTTTTGTTATTTGGTAGGGCTAGGGCTCAATGAAAATGCTTTTAATGGCCTGAGCATCTGGAGAGTAATTGGAGGCGTCGAACTAACAATAATTTGAGGGCACTACCTATCAAACTGAAACAATATCGGGACTTTTGGTCGGTACATACCCCGCGGCGCACGCGCTTTTTTGCTCGACGACATTTTTCCGGCTGGAAAAAAGTTGAGGGCCACTGACCCAAATTTTTTCTGTGCATTATGTATCAGATAGCTTGTGATATCATAAAATGCAGATGGATCAGAGATTGCTTTAAGGAAAATTCAGAGCGAGCGTTTTCTCTCGCGCAGGTAATTAATCGCCACCCTGTAATTTACGCTCATAGCCAAAAGAAACACAAAACATGCAGCTCATTAGTTTTACAAAAAAAAATAATTTTGCTGCTTGATCTAGAACTATTATCCCTCACCTATAGGGTGATTGATGTACGGCGTCTGCTTGATGTCCTTCCGCTTCTGCGAGCGATGCTTGCGCGCCGCAAAATCGGTGGCCTAGAATCATATCTTTTATTACGCTAAGCCAGCTTCCCAACGCACCTTTATAATCAGCGAGATATCCTGAACCAGCTCGGACTCTGGCGCCGACTTCTTACATTTGCCAGAGCCTTCTGGCTCGAGCTCGGGGTAGACTTTGGCTTTCTCGTCGGCCATCTGGATCTAATAGGTTGTTAGGGAACAAAGTGAAGTGAAGATAGGTTGATAGTGAATGACCTTGGAGTAGTCGAAACTCGGAGGTTTTGCTCAAGAAACCCGGTTTCGAAACCGGAATATTTTAATCGTTTCGTTCCGAGGGGTTACTCGCCACAGGTCAAAAACGCGCGTGTTAGGTTACTGATGAGATTGACTTTTCCAGGCTGCGTTTGATTTCGTTTGACGGTACAAGGTATTTTATTATTTTCTGGGCTAAAATATACATCTTACTAAAGTAATACTAAATCTTTTGGATTGTAAATCGGCTTGATAGTCTTGAAAAGGCACCCCGGCACAAACTGGCTTTGCACGCCCGGGAAAATACACCCCCGATTTTACTAGGAAAGCGAAATTATAACGGGTAGTAGTTTTCAAAACGACTAGTTCGGGTGGATCTTAATTCCAGGCTGCGAATGTTTATAGCTACTATCATCGCTAGTACCTGTCAGCTCTTCCTCTGTCTTTCGCAATCTACCTTTCACATTTTCTAAACGTTCCTGCGAGCCTTTACCTACCGTTTTAGCAGCCCAACCTCACCCGGCCAACGAAGAAGCTCGTGCCGGATCCCCCAGGACGATATGGCAAAGCCGGTTCCTCCATCAGATTAGGTGAGTGGGGACCTTTTGTACCGTTGCCCGCGCGCCCACCCCGCATTGGCAGAATATTGAATTGCTGCTCTACCCCTAAACTGCCAAAATTGCGTCCCTACCCAGTAAGCAAACCACGACGGAGCAGCAGCTCATCCTCTCCCTCGACCGGGCGTTCACCCATATTATTTTGGACGACTCGGATCGTGAAGTGGACGTTGAAATGTTTTCATCCCGCAGCTCTTATCGGGAGAAACGGGGTCTTTTGATGCCCCGAAATTATGTATGTTCGTTTTTAGTCTAGAAAGCACTGGCAGCGTATATTGAACCTTTCCATTTTAGTTATTGGGGAAATGTTTAAAAGAATCTTGGCAGGATTATGGGAATCCGGGAAGCCCATGCCTGAAAATAGCCAATATTTTGAGGGCCCAAAATGCCTGTGCGCACCCCTATTAGGTCGGGCTTTTCACCCTCTGCTTTTGGCGCACCTCACCGGCCGCCATACTCTTTCCCGGCGCTCTGTCCACATACCAGCAAAAGGGACGTGGCGTGCGGTTCAAATAGACCGCAACCCGGAGCTTCCTCCAATTTAATCAGTTGCGCAGGCGTGTCACCTCTGAGCTTCCAAAATTCGCCGCCCCTATATTTTTGACACGCGCACGATGCGATACACTTTGCTGTCCTCCAAGCACGCAATTTATTATGAGGTAGCGAACGGTTGTTCGGATGCCTAAGAAGTAACAAGTAGGCCTAAAAACCAAACTACGAAGAATTCCTTGTGATAATTTTGCTTTAGGGAGATAGCTGGTGGTCGAAAATGCAAGTGCATTTTCATGCCAAGAACACGATCACCCTGATCGTTGCCGTCGGTTTCATCTACCTTGCCTATCTGATATTCTTCGCTTCTGGTGATGGATTTCCGGAGATTGACATCGATGTCAAGGACATTATCAAGTAAGCTAGATTAGTGCACTTTTACGTCTTGTTTTAGTTATGCCGTACTTGCCGCTGAAGTTGGCGGTCACGCCGTTTATTCAATTGCCAATGAGAAAGGTACGGCTTTTTGGATTTTTTTACGGACCCATTGGATTTTGCGTTCAGCTGTGTGTGGTTAAAACCAATTATTTTTCTTTTCAGCTCTGTCGATTCAACAGAAGGGCTTGACGGACGAGGGCAAAGCCGAGCTTCTGACGCAAGCGGATCTGATTTCAAATTTCCTCATCCTGGACACTCTTAAGAGATTTCCACATCTAAATGTACGAGCATTTTCATTGTTTATCCTTATTCGATTTCAGATTATCACGGAAGAAAAAGATTCAACAATTACCGAAACCGAGGCCGAGCCTTATAGGACAGATAAGGTGCGATGTTTGATATCTATTTCTGGTTTTGAACGGATTAATAACATTTCCTTTTTCAGTACGCTGCTTGGCTGGAAGTCCGGAACGCATTGGAAAAATTCCCGTCACATCGATATGCTCTTGGAGACGTCCAAATATATGTCGACCCATTGGACGCTACTCAAGAATACACGGGTATTTTTGGGACGTATTTTCTGAAGTATTTTTCTAGAGGGTCTCACCCAGTATGTGACGGTCATGACCTGCATCACCGTCAAGGATGAGCCCATTTTTGGGGCAATCTATCGGCCATTCTTCAATGAAACAAGTTTGTAGCCGTTTCGGGAATCAATTGAATTTCTTAGTTGTTGGTCTCCGTGATTGGGGCGTAATGCGGGTGTTGCATCGAGACAACGATGTGCCATTGGTCGAGAAAGTGGTGCTGAAGCCAGAGGAAACCCGGAAAACGATCGTCGTTAGCAGGTAGATGGCGGCATTTGAGCTGACCTCCCATCTTTTAGATCCCATGCTGGTGCCGTCGAGGAGCTGGCCAAGGCTGCCTTTGGCGAGGGCTACACGGTGGAACCGGCTGGCGGCAGCGGGTATAAAACGCTTCGGGTGCTGAACGGGACTGCTGGTGGGAATTTTGACATTTTAGACTTTGTTAAAAAACGCAAATAATAGATGCCGTGCAGTTCGCAGGATAGTGTTTGCTAAATAAAGTTTGTATGGCAAAAAAATCAAAGATGTATGAATTCAGTAAACTCAGAATTCAGAGCATATTTTGTAAGTGCAATAAGTGACTTTGGGGCCACACAAATTATATCCATCTACATTACTAAATTCGTGAAACTTACTAACTGGTTGAAAAAGATATCCATGAGAAAATTGCTAACTTTTACCGCAAAACTACCTTTTTCAGAAATGTACGTCCACCAGACCGCCATCAAAAAATGGGACACCTGCGCCGGAGATGCTCTCCTCCGCGCTGTCGGCGGATCGATGCTAGATCTTGAGGGTGAACCCCTAAAGTGAGGCTCCTTTTTAATTACATCATTACTTTCATTTTAGATATGGTGCCACCAGCGAAATCCTCAACAAGAAAGGACTGATCGCAACTGCTCAAATGCCGTACACGTACTACCAGAAATTGAAGCCTCATGTGAAATTGCCATAATAATTGTTTGTCTTGATCTCTCGCACTGACTGTGATTTTTAACTTTGTAATAAATTTTTTGTGTACATTTTTGGCGACGATTTGTAAATAGTTGGTATGAAGCCGAATAACTGACGAAATTTTCAAAATATTTCGCGGTGTCGAGTACGGCTTGCTACGCGCTGGCGTTTGCCGAACTGACGCTGCTGGTGTATCGTTCCATTTTCTTCAATTTTGCATTCGGTCAAAAAACTACGTTTTTTCAGGATGGCGTCGATCTTGACTCTCTCAAAGCGCCAGCCCGATCTCTTGGCTGACAACCAGACAGAAGAAGTTTTCCAGCATAACCCGCCCGCCAGCAATAAGGTTTGTTCGTTTCCTTCGACCTCCCATAATTCGTTGCTTTAGCAAGAAGGAGCCCCGAAAAACAAGGACAACTCCATCCCGCACGAACTGGCCGCGGACGGTAGCCGAGCGAAGCCCACGGTAACTCGAGTTTTTTATTAATTTCATTCATCTTCTTTTCTAGGTACGAGACTACGTCAACGCGCAACGGATTCTGGGCGGAAGTGCGCACGCTGAGCACCTGATATTGGAGCTGAACGCGGCTGCCAATGTGAGTTTTGCCTTGAACCATTTAAATTGAAATATTTAGGTCAACCGCGGCCCGGCTGGCGTCTTCGAATCGTCGCGCGTGCACTGGGATCTGCTGCTCGGCCGTGATGAGACAATTTTCCCCTCCGATTACTTGAACTACGACTCGATGATGAAGTATTGACAGGTCTCGTGATGGAAATGCCGGCGTGAACTGCGATTAAGATTTTTTACCAAATTTCGTTTGGTCTCTTAACTATGTGTCCTCAAGTGTAATTTTAAGCCTTTGACGAATAAATACGTGAAATCTGTTTTCTGCTGCAGTCGGATATTTGCTAGTCATACAGGGCTTCATAATAACTATCAGACAAGGGTTAGACATGGGGTTGACTAGTGTGATTTCAGAGCCGATGAGTATACATCTGCTGGTGCCGTATACACCGTAAGGAATTGTTGTATTCGGCCAAATTGCTTGTAGACCGGAATGGCGTAGGGTTCGGAGTCTTTACCACAGTACTGATGTCAATGAGTTGAATGAAGCGCTACAGATTTTGAACATGTGGACCAATCGGTATTTTTTTTATCGGTTTTAGGGGCAATATCTCATTCAGCATGGGCGAAAAAAACGCCATCTTCGTCATCTGCACGGAGCTGATCGTGCGCTGTGGCTTAGAAGAGCAAAAGCTTCGCCTCAAGCCGGACGCTTCCAAAATGGAGCAGTACAAGCTGCTGATGGGAACTTGTATCACACGGTAACCACTATATTTAAAATTTATCACAAAGGCGTGGATGACAATCGTAAGTGGAGCATAATGGTGGTCGTTTCTAATATTGGCCCATCGTTGAGCATCATACATTAACAAAATTGGACGCATATCGTTGCAATTAGAAGTAGCGAACAGCTGGCGCCGACGAAAATCTGAATGTTGACATGCAGCGAAGTGAATTTACCAGAATGGCGACCATTAGAGCGAACTGGGTGGTGGAGGCGGCTGGCGGGGCGGCGGAAGACGGTTCTAGACCGGCTTCGGCTAATGCGTCGTCTAAAGCATAGTTGTTTTAGTTATATTTAAGTTATAAGCGTACCTCCGTTGCAAAGTGATGTGTGGCAGACGCATCTTGACGTCCATTTACTGCCAAATCCACTTTGTTGACAGGCCACCTAAAATTGATTAGTTTTGAGGGGTTGGTTTCGTTTCACTGACCTCCTCCATCTCGTCGCCGCACGTTTTCGTGATAGTTTTTCGCTCTAAAGTTGATTTTGTGACTTACGCTGGAATTTTTACCATCCTGTTTGTTGCTGGTCTCCATTTTTATGCACACAGCCCCCTCGCATTCTCCCTCATTACACGTCCCCTGCTCGGCATGGCAGTCGTAGCAGATTATGGAGAACACTGGAAATGCTCTGCGTTTTTTAAGAAGTTCTAGGGCGTGAGATTCATAGCCAATTTTCACGGGCCTTGGTTTAGATATGGCAAAAACTTAACTGGATCGATGTGGCAAATAGGATTTTTTCTAACACTTCCATTTTCCAAATTCCCCAATTTTTGTGTAGGAGGTGACCGTTAACTCCCAGCCACCGCATTTTCCCTAGCCCACCTTGGCAGCGGGCCCCAACCCCGCGCTTTCCCTAACCCTTGATTGCCGAGAGTTGCGCCCATCCTGCGGGCGCCCACAATTCAATCACTCGGGATTTGCATTAGTTTGACGCGTCGTGCATCAAAAGATTTTGGTAGAATTTTAACGATGATGTAGTAACGATGGAAGCTTTTATAGGACGAGCAAATTTTTTGTAGATCGGACTTTCTGTAGATTTCCTGCTTCAGCTTAACGTGGTTAGAAACGGGTTAGAAACTTTTATACGACGCCTCTTGAAAATGGGAGCAACGAGTTGTGAACGTTCGAGATTCTGCAAATTCAACATTTTGTCATCCGAGATTCTTTATTCTATCTTCTGTGGATCGATTTTCGATCGTTCCAAATTTTGTAAATTCGAGATTATGCGATATAGGATTCCGTAAAATTGCCCTTTTAAGGTGACTGTTTCAAAATCGAATCAAAGTAAGCATAGGCATACGTCTAAAAACTTTTTTAAAATCTGTATGTCCGGAAAATGTAGGAAGCAAGCGCAGAACCCTGGTGATTCGCGGATTTTTAGGCACAAGGTAGGCGCGCCTTCGATTCTACTACGCTAACACTTACGCTCAAGCTACTCCAAGCTCGCCTTAGTTGATGGCTAATTTCCGGACACTGCTTCTCCCACTCCCCATTTTCGGCGCTTGCTAACCACCCAAACATGGCCGGTGTGTTTGGCGGATGAGTGGCTAGCCGGTTGGGCAACGAAGTGAATGGGGCTCTTGCTATGGGTGGGACACAAGTGTTGGGAAAGGGAGGACTGATCCCCGTGAGAAGCCCAGATGACTGATGACTGCCGGACGGCGTCCTCCCAACATGTACCATCATCAACTAAATAATTGCTGACGAGTAGCGGGGGAAATTCTTCATTAGAAAAAGTAAGCACGAGGTTTTAAAAAGCGCCTGATTAAATGAGCTCATCGATGTAGACAATAGCTTATAGGAAATGTTTCCGAAAATCCGGGAAATATAGCTGATTTGGTAGAAAATCCAGTTCTAAGCAAGACCTAGTGCTCATTTTCCAAAATTGCTATTATCGGTATGACGAAATTAAAAAAAAACGTTTTGGAGCCTGGCTGGGGCCACGCGGTTTTTAGTTCCTTTTATTCTTAGAAAAATTTTATAAAAATCGTTTTGCAAAAACAAACCACCCAAAATTTTTCAGAATTGAATTGCTTATCGCATGAAAATGTCTAGAGCCGTCTTTAGGATGACTCGATAATTGTACTCTTTATTTACTTCGAAGCACGTTGTTTTATAGACTTTTTTAGACTATCCTATAAAACTCGAGGCTCACGACAATTTTATTTCAGCCTCTTTGTCAAGCAATAAAGGCAAATGAGCGCGGGTTTTTTCTAAAATATTCCAATTTTACGGACTTACCTCCTTTTGGATACAGTAGGATGAGCAGCCCGACGGTGGCCAACCCGACTTGGCAGCTGGCCGTCAGCATCACGGCATTGAGCGCGAAAGACGGGGTGTTCTCCTCATAAACCGTTACGGTATCTAGAATAGCAGGTCTTGTGGAGCTCGTTGTTTAGGAATTCATCATGAAAATATAGAAAATTTTAGGCCTTAAAAACGGTATTAGCGTGAAAAATATTGTTTTTAACTGGCTTTGTTTTTAAGTTTGATTTTCTAATTATAAAAAGTAATATATGGCAACAAAATAGAATTAATTCGAAAAGCTTTTACGCCCGTTTTTAGATACAAAAAAAATATTTTTTAAATACTAGAATGTTTAAAGAATTTGTAGTTTTAATTATAAACGTGGAAAAGGGGTAGAAAATACAAAAACTTTTAGAACTTTTGCTAACTCGGAAACTAGTCAAAACAACATAAAAATAGTGTATATTTTTCAAAAAAAATAGTTAACAGGGCTGGAGACTGGCTAATGAAGTGAAAAAATGGCTCATTAGTTAATAGTTAAAACTGGTGAAAACTACTGTAGAGGGTAGGCTTATAGAAGGAAGTTATGCCCCCCCCCCGCTAACGAACCAGAACTCCTTTGGCAAAATAGTTGTGGAACAGGTTGATTGTGCCCGTCATGCCAAAGGGGGGCGCCGGTGGGTTGGGCCCCCGTCCCTCGTTTTGGCACTTCAAAGGCCCCGTAATCCCATAGTGGGGCGTTTGGCCCCAGGAGGAGCGTCCGAATTAGATTTGCCTTTGCTGAGGAGGCGCCAGCACCAAGTCTTAAGGGCAGTCTGTTAATGGGAAATTTATGGAGATAGCAGGCGCGGCTGGGTGTGGCCTTTTAAAGGGGCTGGGAAGTGTGCATCAACGCTTTCTGCCATCTGGGTGTCGACTACAAGCTTGTGCGCTAGAAAATGCAGCTCTGCGCTTAGCGAAAAATGTTTGAGCGTCTTTTTGCGCTGCGCGTAGCTGCGTTTGCGTATCTCGCGGCGGCGTTGGAAAACGAAAGAAGTCTTTTTCAGCACTGTTCTGGTTATCGACACCTAGTGGAGGGCAGGTGTCGACAGTGTGTGTATTTTAAAGGGACTAAAAAGTGGAGAATCTACGCATCTCGCAAGTTGGGCATGGACAACTACGTTGAGCGCAAAGAAACGATCTCATGGAGGTCTTGTAAATTGTTTTAGGCGTGTTTTTGCGTATCTGTCGACACCTAGTGGGCGTCGTCGACAGGCGTCGATTGTGACGTTTCTACGCCCTTGAAAGGGGCCAGAAAAAGTTGGCTAAGGATGGTCTATGCGTGCGCGGAAATATCTCTATAGGAATGCCGCAAGCCCTGCATTTCGATGCCCTTTCAATCGGATTTTTGCTGTGGCTTGTCCGATGTTGTTAGTAAAGTTTAGATCCATAAAAAGGGACACGGTATTTCCTAGAAACACTAAAACGACCGGATGCGATGGAGGTTGTGCTCGAAGCCCCGAGGGCCATCCTGCCCACCGAGTGCATTTGTGGGGAGTGGTTCGGCTTTGATTAGTGGCCACAGCGGGGTCGTTTAGCGTTTTTGGCCGTTTGCAAGCCCACCCACCACCCCCAAAAAGAATTATTTGCTTTCGACTGGCTGGTGGCGGGGATCTTTCTCGATTTGTTAACGGATCCATTAGGCGGTGGGCAACGGTGGCCCCCACTAAAGATATAACTCATCTACCCCTTTTAGCATTGTCAACTTTGCGAACGAGCTGGCCCAGACGAATTCCAGATACGTGCCCATGGCTGTGTCGGTCCAAGAGGTAATTTACGATTCTTGTACATTATCGGGGGGGGGGGGGAATTAGCGTTAGGAAAATTCGCGACATGACAAGAATCCTACCAGATCTGCCGAAAAATGTTACTTTAAAGCGCAAAAACGACTACAAACATCCGAAAAACGTTTAAAAAAAGGTAGATTTTTGGCCAAATGTGGAAGTTTTACCGTGAAAAGTTTTTATTTTATAGAACATTTCAAAAGTTTACGTTTAGGAATTGCAGAAATGAGTGTATATTATGCCTTAGGTAGATTGGATCTCTAAGAAAACGCTTTTCAAAACTAAATATGAAAAATTTTTTTGTCAAAATCGGCCATTTTTGGTCGTACAATCTATCGTTGATGTATTTTTTCATAAAATCGAAAAGGATTTACGTTTAGCAATATCCTTAGGCAAATTAGAAACCCCTAAGAATGCCATAATACCAAAGAACATCAATTTAATAGAGATAGATCCAAACCGCTTTGTCTTTTTTAGGTGGGCCTCCCTTCATGGATCGTCAGCGTCAGACATGAAGTATCTCATTCCGTCACCTTCCCGTCTCTCTGGCGCCTCAAGAAATGCATTGATTTTGCGAGGAAGTGGCTATGGGTGTGTAATTAAAATTTCGATTTTTTTGAAAGCAGTAGAAAAAGAAAAATGAAAATTTCGAATACTTTTTTCAGAGTGCGGCCTGGAAGGATCCAAAGCAATCTTTTGTCGTCGCATCGACCTGCGCCGACCATTATCAACTGCAGCGGAACCTTGTTCGTCTCCCACTATATATTTGTAAAGCCACTTCAGGAACAAAGCACACGCCTTCAAAAAATTTCCGCAGATATCGAAAAGTTTATGTCGTGGCGAGCATCGACCCGGATGGTATGTTTCGTCTAAATGTCTGATTACCTTTTTATAGGCAAATGGTCAAGATACGTTATTCACGAAAGAAGCGGTTTTCAAGTTGCCAATTGTCCTCCGTTTAATGGAGCGATATGAGGAGAATCCAAAGTACCGCCCTTTTATACCTATTCTCTACATAATTATTTTCCAGCGAATTTTTGCACGTCTTCACAAAGGATGGCTATTTGATATTTTCCCCTGAACAGATCAGAAAAGGGCATTTTGTAGATGGTCGGATTTTTCATCGTCTTGATTACAAAAATTGTTAGACGACTCCGGCCTGGGAGACGTGGTGAGGAGACAGATGCAGATATTTTGGTCGCCAGTCATCGAAATCTTCATGCACTACAACGCTATCCCCGATTTTCTAATGATGGTTTTTACATTTGCAAACTCGTTATGATACATTTTTTTAGCTAATGTCACGGCTGAAAGAAAGCGACGTTGCCAAGTCTTCTGTCTATCAACTGGTAGCCTGGTGTGAATTGATCATTCAAGGCATTCGACCAGGTGAGCTATAAAAAATTTGTGATAGAATTGATTGGTTCTTTCGGATTATCGGGGCGGGGCAACTTTTTTTCTATAATTCTAGAAATGTCTAATCGCGTAATAGTAAGGGGTTTAATATTGTGAAAGGAAAAATAATAAAAAGACTTAGAACAATATTTTAGGTGATATTTTCGTCGAAAAATCAATATTTTTTGTAATTTTTAATCAAAATTTGTAATTTTTCATGGTTAGGAATAGTAAAAACACGAAGAAACACGGCCTCTATTTATATTATAGAAATTGGATCCTTAGAGAAAAACCTGGTTCCGCCTCCCGCTAACCCCCCAATAATGCTAAAGAACCGTTAGTTTTTAGCAACAGCACAATTCACTCAGGATGATTGGCAACGGATATTGCATACAATGACCAGCATGTCCGATTATTTCCAGAGCGCAAGCATCAAGAAGTTTGCCCCTACGTAATTTTGATTCTATCCTTTTAGGATTATGGAGATGATGCCAAACTTGCGGGCCTCACAACGCAGACGACTGAAGGAGTTATTGGCACTTTCCCACAATGCGGTTAATCAGTTTCCACATAAATTTAACAACTTTCAAATCCTGTCAGGACGACGACCGGACATCTGCAGATCGCGGGTCTGCCGACACGACGAATTCTCTGGATGGCGTGCACACTGTCGATGAACTATTCACGATTATGGCTCAAGGTTTACAAATTGGCTGTTAGTTTTCATATAACATTCCTGATCTAGAAAAAGCCGAGCGAGCAGCAAGAAAACAACTGGAAAATGACGGCAATCCGTGGAAGGAGTGCGAAATGGAAGCATGGATTGGAGTGCCGATCGGGCTAGCACCGCATCAGACCGCCGAGAGCCTTAGCCTGATCATCGGTAATTCTGAAGCAGCAGTTAATCATACCCCAGTTTAGATGATGAATATATCGAACAAATGAGACGGGAGGAGCGATCGAATGATCGGCGTTCAGCTGTGAAATCATAATTGTTATAGAGCAATCAGAAGTGTCCGAATTGTTGTGTTGTTGGCGCTGTTGTTGTTGTTTTTGATTTGTTTTGTTAGATAAAGCTTCGAATATCTCTTTTTGCGAAATCACATACGAATTCGAAAAGCTTACTGCGTCAGAATGGGCGAGATGTCACAGAAAAAGCATCGAAATAAGGCAGTAGATAACCACAAGCTTTGAAGGTAGTTTAGAAAAAAATCGTAAAAAAAATATTTTTAAATTGAGACATTTCCGAAATGATACGAAATTGCGGTTAACTGTCCATTGAAGCGTATTGGAGCGGTCGGAATTTTGCATTTAGAAAACTTTTTCCAGCATTTGACGCGATTTTCGGTTTTTTATTCTTTTTCTGCTTTGCGACATTTTTTATTCTTTATCATTTTGTTTAGATGACCTCTGGGTCTGGCATAATCCAGTGCCCCGTCAAGGGCATGGAAGCCTCCACCACCGTTGTCACAACTGAAGCTCATGGACCCCCAGATCGCCAGGTGGCTATAGCTTTTATGGCTGCTACGGACCAAAGTTATGGCAGACTTGCCGCTAAGAAAGCCGATTCTTGATATGTCCATCTTTGAGATGGCACGGCTTGGACATCGGTCCGGCGTAAACCCCGCGATTCTGACCGCGAAAAATCAGCTGTAGCTTTAACCCGTAAACCGTGTTATAAATTAGTCCTAATTAACCTTTAACCGGAAGATTAAAAATGAAATCGAGTGTATTTTTAAGTAGATCCTTTTTTAGATTGAAATCACCTACAGCAGTCTGCGGCCAATCGGACGGGGCACCTTCGGCGCCGTTTATGCTGCGCGACTGCCAGCCACCAATGAAACGGTAATTAACGTGGCTTTTTCTATATTTCTGTTTAGGTAGCGATCAAGAAAGTGCTGCAGGACAAGCGTTTCAAGAATCGGGAATTGCAAATAATGCGTGTACTATCGCACCAAAATGTGGTGAAGTTGAAGTAAGAGAGATTTACCTTATCCACACCCATTTTAGGTACTTTTTCTATAGCAGCGGCGACCATAAGGATCAACTTTTCCTCAACCTGATCCTAGAGTGAGCGTTTGGTTCTTGGATTTATCCATTTTTAGATACGTCCCGGAAACCATCTACAAAGTGGGATGCCATTATCAACGACAATCGCTCGCAGTACCTACAATCTATGTCAAGCTGTTCCTCTACCAACTATTCCGCGCATTAAACTATATTCATGGCATTGGTATCCTATGTGCTTCGTTCTCTTTAATTTCTTTTTAGGTTATTGCCATCGTGACATCAAACCACAAAATCTGCTGATATTCCCGGAAACTGGTGTGCTCAAATTGTGCGATTTCGGATCTGCCAAGCATCTGGTCAAGGTATTGAGGGCGATTTTCTTTATACAATTCTATATTCAGGGCGAGCCAAATGTGTCGTATATCTGCTCACGATACTACAGAGCACCGGAGCTTATCCTCGGCAGTCCTGATTACACCACGGCCATTGATGTCTGGAGCGCGGGTATTATATTCGGTTTTTGCCAGTTTCATTTTTTCAGGAACCGTACTTGGCGAACTGATTCTTGGCCAGCCGTTGTTCCCCGGAGCCTCGGGCGTTGATCAGCTTGCCGAAATTGTTAGGGTAGGAAACATGTTTTATTCTTTAAACATAATTTTTCTTAGATCCTTGGCACTCCTTCTACCGAACTTTTGATTGAGATGCATCGACCGTATGGCGAATATCGGTTTCCGCATATACCGCCACACCCTTGGGAAACGGTAGTCATTATTTTTCTGTTTTTTTTACACGTTTCTCTAGGTCTTTCGTCACAACGCTACCAAGGAACTGTTGGATTTGATTGGGCAGCTCGTTCAATATTCTCCGAAGAGCAGGCCACGCGCAATTGTCGCCTCCAACCATCCGTATTTTCACCAGCTTCGGGTTCCAGGTATTTTTTTACTCGTTTTTTTTTACCATGATTCTAGGCACCAAACTACCAAACGGAAAGCCACTTCCACCGCTAGAGATGGACCCCACTACTCAAGCAGCTGGAGGAGCTTCTTCTTGAAACCACCAAGCACAATTATCTCCATCTCAAGCGGTGCACGACACTTACCCACTAGCTTCTCTTGTCATACCGGTCATAATGTGTGATTGATTTATTGCTTGGGGATATTTTTGTGATGCGACTTTATTGCGAGCCCTTTTCATGATAGATGTCGTCGAACTTTTGTCGTAAAGTTTTGCTCCCAACCCGTCTTACAACAATTTTTTTTCAACGTTTACAACGTGAAAACAAATATTTTTATCTAAACTATCCACGTTGAGTAGTGAATAGTAACTAACAGAAACAACTCATTTCTTCCGGATCATAGGAAATTTGTAGACGGCTGCTTTGTCCGGGGCCCCACGCTCTACCAGCTTCGGCTGCAGCTCCTTGTTCTTATAAGTCCCTAGATGACGCTTCACTTCCAGCTTGCCCACAACCTAAACAAATCAACTTTCAATAAGCGCCACTGAAGGAAATAGCCGGACGGGATTAGTTTAGAGAAACGGACCACTTCCAACTCGTTGGCTCTTTCCATTCTTTTCCGCAATTCGTTGTACCTCACTTTTGTAACGGCTTCTGCTTCCTAAACGCGAATTTGATTTACTGGTGTCTTTCGAAAAGTAGCTTACCTTGACGAATTCTTTATCATATCCACCGCGTATCTCTTTATTCGCGAGATCACTCTTCCGTAGCCTGTTGTTCGGGCGGTCTACCAATTCGGGATCCGTATCAAAGAAAGAGGCGGGGTTGAATGCCCGAGCTGACGCAAGACTTTAGCCACCGGAAGAAGGAACACTACCCTCCTCTTTCGTGTCGACAAAAATGGTGTGTGTTGACTGCGAAGTGCCCTCAAAGTCCATCAGATGAAGCTCCGACCGTAGTGATTGGATTTTCTAGAAAAATTTTAGAGAATAGTCGTCTTGACAACCTTTTTCTCCGTGAATAGAGCATTCCGAACATAGTCTAGATCGCGGACCTCGCCGAACTGCTTCTGCAACTCGGTGTCCTCCGTCTCAATGGGTTTCTCGAAGTGTTTTCCGTCCTGAAATTGATAGGTTCTGATATAAGGAATAATGAACAGTACCTTAACGACCGAATTCTTCATGTGATAGTGGAATTCATCAGGGTTGCGATCAAGTGCGTGCTTCCGCAACTTCTTCAACTTTTTCTCTTTCTTGTGATAGTCTTCCGCACGGTTCTTGTAATCTTTCTTCTTCTCCAGAAGACCATACTTCTTTCGGTTCTCCGGCTAAAAAATTGAGAAGATTTAGTTTTATTAGTACCTGGGTACGCTCCCGATGCACGCGTTGGCCGGCCTTGGAGGCGCGTGTGAAGGCACCCATTTTCTAAAAATTCGGTTAATCATTTATTTTGTTTTTGAAAGATTATTATTGGAAAACTTTTGGTTAGAGAAAAATAAAAATAATTTCAATTGTAAAATCGTCTGGATGGGGAGTACGGCGCAGTCCTAACCACGCCAATTTCGAATAGTTTTACGAACCGGCTCTTCAAACTACAGCACTTCCGAATTTTTTCCAAAGATGTAACTAATTTTCTGGCTTATATCTATAGAATAGATAGGCATAATCTAAAATCTTTTATAGGCGATGGATATACTCGCCGACTATGACGACTCGGACAATGAGGGCGGAAAGCCCATCCGCAAGGTCCTCCAGCCGCCCGTTGTCAAGCCCGACAGTGCCGCCACCGAGACAATAACGAGTCTGCCCATCAAATCGACCGGAATGGAGGTAGTTTTCTACAAATCATCCCCATCTAACAATAATCTAGATGGCGCCGGCTGTTCTCACGAAGAGCGCGATCCAGACGATCCCTGTGGCCGATATTTCGAAAAAGGAACTGAGTTACAATCCGAAATTTGAAGAACTCTTCCAGCCTGAGGTTTGGTGTCTTATGATTTTGGTATCGTCATTTTCATTAAGGCCGGCCCATCAAATCCGTTCAAGTCAGCCCGACAAGTCGCCCAGAAGAACACATTGGCTGGTACCTAGAGCTTTCTAGTTGTAGATGTCCTTTTAGGATACGTCGAGCCCGCTCACGTAAATGCTTTCCATTTTGAGCGCGAGATCCGGTGTTTCGACACTCTCGGTTATGCTCGAAATCCGACTGCGGATGGTGAGCACTAATTCATTTATTTTCACGTTTTAATTTTCTTAGGAAATAATGATTTCGTCGGAGAGAATAAAGCGGAAGCGAAGAAAAACGACGGCGCATCCCTATTCGACGTCAAGAAGACGGGCGGGCAAAAGCGCAAGCGAGTTTACAATTATGACGCGGGAGACGTGGAAGGATATACAGGTTCAAAGTCGCCGGTATCTCTATTTCGTATTAGGTCCGTGGGCCAACTATGTTGACCAAGTCTTGGTCTCCCAACCTGACGAGGCTCTGCAGAAGGAGATGGACGAGATCGTGAAAAAACGCCAAAAGGTATTTTTCTCGACTACACTTTAATTCAAACCTTTTTAGAACAGCAAGAAAGGCATGCGGAAGGCAATGGAAGAACAAGGAAACGTCGAAGAGACTTCTACTTTCCACTGTATGGCAAATTCACTGGTGCTGAAATGCGATTTTAGTGAAAGAATCGACGGATTACCAAGGCCGCTCCTTCCTTCACGTGCCGACATTTACTGGTGTCAACCTCAAAGAAGACTACATACCGGATCGTTGCTATATTCCAAAGAAACAAGTGAGCCCGGCCAGCTTTCAGTCTTTACAAGTCTTTAGATCCATACCTACAAAGGGCACAACAAGGGTGTAAATCATGTCAAGTGGTTCCCTAAGAGCGCTCATCTCTTCCTTTCATGTGCGATGGACTGCAAGGTATTCAAACCGCTGCTATTTTCACTTTGTTTTTCAGGTGAAACTATGGGAAGTCTACGGGAAGCAGAATATTGTCCGTACCTACAGCGGGCATCGTATGCCAGTCCGTGACATCGCATTCGATTGGGATGGCCATGCTTTTGCCTCTGGCTCGTTTGATCGATTCATCAAGTTGTGGGACACTGAAACTGGACAGGTTGTAGAACTCTTCATTAAATTAAACAATTTTTCTAGGTAAAACAACGCCTTACCAATGGGCACCCTCCCGTCTGCCTAAAGTTCCACCCAGACGAGGATAAACGCTACATGTTGATGGGCGGAATGCAGAACAAGAAAATCGTCCAGTGGGACGTACGCAGTGGGGATGTGGTGCAGGTACGATAATAGTCGCTTATTAAACTTTTCTTTCCTAGGAATACGATCGTCACTTGGGCCCCGTAAACACCATCACCTTTTTCGACAAAAATCGTCGCTTCGTGTCGACGTCTGACGACAAGTCGCTCCGCATCTGGGAATGGGAAATCCCGGTGGACACGAAGCTCATCCAGAACGTCGGATTGCAGTCGATTCCTTCGATGACCAAGAGCCCCACAGGTGACTTTCAGTTTGCACCTTTTGGACCAAAATTCTTGCAGATAAATGGATCATCGGGCAGTCGATGGACAACCGTATCGTGCTCTTCCAATTGATCGACGACAAGCTTCGCTTTGCCCGTAAAAAGGCTTTTCGTGGCCACAACGCGGCCGGTTATGCTTGTCAGATTGATTTTTCACCGGATATGAGGTAATTTTTCGTCTACGAATTTACTTTTTCCGTTTTAGTTTCGTGACCAGCGGTGATGCTGACGGCAAGATTTTCATCTGGGATTGGCGTACTCACAAAGTTGTGGCTAGGTAGTTTTCTAAAATTATTTTATGCAATGAACAAAACAAATATTGAAAAATTATAAAATTCGGCGTGAATTACTAATTCTTCGTTTAGATGGAAGGCGCATTCGCAGACGTGCATCAGCGTACAATGGCACCCACACGAGAAGAGCAAAATGATCTCGGCAAGCTGGGATGGCGATATCAAAATGTGGAACTAGTTGTTTATTTTGTGCTTTTCCGAGGCAGCCCATTCCTATCTTATACTGGCGACAATTACTGATATTTATCGTTGTTCTGTAATTTTGTTTCACTTGTCATCTTATCGACATTTTCTACCATTGGTAACGTCGTCGTCCCATGTTATTAACTCTTCCGGTTCGTTGCGAATAAAGGTTTATTTGTCTGAAAATGCGGTAAACGCATAACTGCCAAGAATTCAGCTCGTGCTTTGGTTCCATTTCTTTACCGCTTTTACACCAATTTTGGCTTCAGGATGAACGGATTGTCATTGGCACGTATCCGGCTCCGGAGTGTCTTGATGTCGTGCCGCCAGAATTCGAGCGCAAATTTTAACGGAGGGGTGGGTTAGGAGAAGCTTTTGTAGTACCGAATTTTAGGTCAGCCTGTCTGTTGATGCGTCGACAGGAAAAGAAACTGGAAGATTCAAGCAACACAACCCACCGTATGCCTTTTTCTACGACAATATTCTGTTTAGAATTTATGTAGGACCACATGTCAATCCCCTCGACGTCGGGCCAGATTTCTCCTTTGTCGGTAAGCCCATTAGCTTGTTGCCCAAAATCGACTTCAGATGGACGACCATGCTACTTCACATCGCGACGCCAGCTTGAACGGAAGAAGGAGCAGATTAGATTAGGAGTAGTTTCAAATTTGCTAGTTTTATCGGGTTTTCAGGAAAGAATCGTGAGCTTACTTGACCAAATGAACGATCTCCAAAAAATCCACGAGGAAGCGGATGCTCAACGTCGCGACGAACAGAACAAAATCAATCAACGGAAACCGCAAGCCAAGGGCACTAAGACGATCGACCAATTTTAACCATAGCCCTGTTATCTTCATTAGGTTGATTAGTATACAATAAAGTTTTTGGCTTTGGCTTGGTGTTCTTTGTATTCGGTTTAGGACCGACGATATTTACGCACTTTTCTAGTTTTTTCCTTTGGTGTATGCCAGCCTTTTCTGAAATTGTTATTTCAGCTTCACTATGGTGACGCTCATTGACCAACAGGTCTTGGAGGTGATCCGTGATGCTGAAGTAACCTTCCCTTCTACATATATCAGCACACCGGCGAGGACAATTCGCGTTCCCACTGGTTTGCGTCTTTTCGCCCCCTCAATTCGGATTTCAGATGCTCCGGTTCTTTCGCAGACCGTCGAGGTCCATTCAGCCGCCGATACCTTTACGTTCCCGGGTGGTGGCGTATTCAATGATCGGTTCCTTGTGTGGCGTACTGTCGGCCAGAAGCTATTTATCGAAGAGCGGTCACTGAAGAATACGATGAGCAATTCGCTGTGCTTTCACTTCACCCGCTCCTCGATTTTGCCGGGCACAAGCTTCTCTGGTAATTTTCGATTTTCCTGGCTAATCGAGTGATTTTAGTGTTTTGCGACGCGCTCGTATTGGTGGTGCCCACACAGTCTTCTATTCACCGGTTTGTGGCACATTTGCCGAAAAGCACTCAGTCCTACGATGAGGTATCCATTTTTTTTTTAATTCAGAATATAGCCAACCTTTTAGACCCACTCCGTTTTTGCGCTTTTTGGCGATGAGAGTTGCCTCGGGCAGTTTCACGAATCGCATTTGATTGTTTCGCAAGGCCACCCTACAAGGTATTACAAATTTTACAAGAAGGAATTCCGTTATAGAGCGAGCATCGCCCAAGGTCCAAATGCCACCAAGGCTGTATATTTGACGATGGAGGGATACCTTGTGCACATCCATATGCCAATCGACAATGGTGAGTTTTTGATTCCGCCGTTTTATTTTCTTTTCAAGCTTGCGACGTGGAAGAGACGCTACTGAAGGATGCGGGGATTATCCGACGAATTCTGGGCGCTGGCAGTTCGGACAGCGAGTCGGCGCTTGACGTTTGCGCTCTGCCCGGAAATGCAGAAAGGTAAGACACGTTTTCGAGCGAAGCCTTTATTCGTTTAACCACGGCGAGAGATAAATTAGTGCTAAGGCCACCACAAATCAGGATGCAATGACGATAATCGGGGGGACTGGAAGTGGGATGCGGAGTATTTTTTTAATGGTTCGGCGATGTAGGTGCTGCTTCAAATGTCGACCTGGCTGCCCTGAGCCTTGACTGCCGGAGGGGGGAGGGTCTGAGACTTCTTGGATATATGAATGAGCTGGATACTTACGGCATCGTTGGCGGTGCTGTTGTTCAGATTGTTGTCGGTAATATTGGAGATGGTGCAGCTGGTGGGCAACGAAGACTTGGCGGTGATGTTGTTGGAGGGCGGGCCCGGGGTCGCGACGCTGCCGGGGCTCGCAGCCGTAGCAACTACTTCCTCGGAAGTGCTCTGACCGGTCTTCGTGCTGGTGCTGTTCGCCGTCTTGGTGGAATCGAGATTGGTCGACTGGAACTATAGGGTGTCCAAAAAAACCCTCTAGCGGCTCGAGAATATGTCCGTTTTGCCGAACTTCGGTATCAATCAAGAACTCTCGACGAAGCGGGAGGTTATTTTCTTTGCGATTTCGAAAACAGTTACAAAAATTTTTGCAAATTGCAGAAATTTACGAATTTCCAAAGAAAATCGGCGAAATTTAAATTTCAGAAAAGTCCAAAGGAACAAAAACAGTCCCCGATTCCGAGGTTTTTCCTAGTGCTACACAAATCGACAAAATCGGGCACTGCTATGAGCCGCTAGATGGGGTGGGTCTTTTTATGGCAGTCTGCAGTAGTTCATCGTTCTCTACCGCCAAACGAACCTTGCTGCCGGCCTGGGCGGTGGTGACCGTAGGGCCGGTGCTAAGAAAGCGGGTGACCCCCTTAGAGACGGGGCTCATCATCGGCGTACCAACCACGCGCACGCTGTCCAGCTAAACCAGCATTGTTTTGCCTTATTTCTCGGCAACCTGGGAGCGAAGGCGGTCGACGTAGCCCTGGATCGAGTGACGCATTTCGAGCACTTCCTTCTGGCAGCTCGGCTCGGCATTGAAGAATGTGGGGAAGCGCAGCACTTCGTCGAGCCCTTCCACAGCCACGCGCAGCGAGGAGATTGTCTAAATTAGGTTAACTAATTTATTTTATGGTGTTCTTTTAATTATGGGATGAAAAGCGAGGAAGGTGTACCTTCTTGTAGTTCTCGGTGACTTCGCAGACCCCATAGATTTCGTGCGCCGTACCGCGCTCCGGAAGCTGCGCGACAGGCCTGGAGCCGTACTGCTGGGTGTCTTTCGCTGGGTCGATCGTTTTCTTGATTCCCGACCTAAAGATCATTTATTTGTAGATTGTGGTGCCGACTTTGTCTGCTGGGAATTGCGGGCCAGCCGCTCGGCAGCCGTCAGCTCGTTGACCCATTCTTGCTCCAGGTCGCTCACCAGCACCTTCATCTAAAAAATGGCATTTATCCTGAATAGATAGGAAAATTGTAGGTAGAAAAGTAGCATATCAGCTGGGTGAACGGTGCTTTAGTCTACGTCTACCTTATGGGTACGAATGCTGATATGCTGCTGCATAGCGGCCATACGACGCCCGAGGCGTCTGATGATGTTGCCGGGCGGCTCGACCATTTTCAGGGCCATCAACAGTTCCTGGATGCGCCCTTGCACGATCTGAAGCTCGCGATCCCGTGGCAGCAACACCGGCACTTGCACCATGTACGGCACCTTTGACAGCTGAAAAAGTGGTTGTCATCCTCAAATGGTTGCCGTAGATCCTCAAAACCTGAGACCAGCAACGCCAGCATCACGGCTACCGATTTAATTTTATTTACTAGTAACCACTATTAATAGTAGAACCTGAAAAATCCTCACCTGTGGATCAGCTTCGAGTGCCCATTGACGGGTCTGATAAGTAGGCATGCCGAATACGGAAAGTTAATCCGGAATGGGAACCTACCTCAGTTTATTTCTGTTAAACAGGGAAAATATTAAAGCACAACTTCCGGTCGGTTTTATGCAATGCTTTATTAAAAATTTTATGCAAAACAACAAAAATTCAAATTTCAGATGCGATCCGCTCTTCTTCGCCGTCTATCGCGATCTTCAGGTCAAAGTGTGGAATGGGGAGGTAAATTACGGGGTACGGCTTGTAAGTAAAGTTTAGACGCGCAAGATCTCGCATACCCTTGACCTCGACCGAATTATTCAGCTTGATGTCGGACAGCGTGAGTGGCCGATTTTAGTGTTTTCTATGGTATTTTCAGTCCGAAACGTCATTGTCAGAGCGTGCTACAGCGACAGGGGTATGCCCTGTTTCCTGGCTGGCGTAGATGCTGGAGCTCAGTCTGCGGTTTGTGCCATTTTTTGCGGCATTCATCCTATTTTTAGTTCCTGATCAGCCAAGTGAATACGCTGGACATCCAGCAGATTGCCTGTTTCACCGCCCACAGTTCTGTGCAGGTAAAGGCTATCCGTTGTTAAAAAGCCGGTATGTGTTAGAAATGCGACCTGTTGGACGCCAAATTCTGGCCGAAGATTGGGGATGCTTGGCATGTGACGGCACTCTGGAGCGATTACTCGTCCGCTCGCCATACCCCATATCGTCTTCATCACACCGTCATTGGGAAGGCGCGTCTGTCGACCCTGGAAGACCCGGGATATTCCTGGAGATCGGTGTCGGTACGTGAAAACGATTTGCTGCAGATGGCCGGAATTATACTGCTGAAATTTCATCATTTCGAACCTTTTCAGGGACTAAAAAACAAGCGCATGTCAAAAAAACCCCATAGTTTTTGGCCGAAGTTTCGGCGTTGTTAATACCGACTTTATGAAACTTCGATATTATTATTTTATATTGTGGAATGAGAATAGTACCTGACGAAAAATGCTGTCTTTTCCAGATTTGTAACTCCAACGCAATGTACCACACGCATGACGCGACTCTGGAAAAGTTGCAAGAAATGGTCTATAACACTGACCTCCATAATATCGAAGTTGTGGCGAGGGCTGTACAGGTTCGGGGTTTTTTGCCTGCTTTATTCCCTTCCTAGGTGGTATGCCAGGGCAAAACGTTCGACGCCAGGTACGATTGGAAAGGCCTGCGGCGATTTGTTGAAATGTACGCTCAGACGCCGGAATTCGACGAAAGATTTGATAGACTGGAAGGAAAGCTGACGTAAGTGTCTCTCTCTCTTTCTCGCTCTCTCCTACTCTCACCATAATGCCTTGACTATGTTTTAGAATGTACAAAATGATCGTGGAGAAATGCGCCGAGCTTGAGGCCGCCGTCAACAATCCGATAAGAATCTTCCGGGTTTGCCCTATTTGGTTTTATCATGGGTTTTCTTAGATCGACAGCCCATTGTCAAGCCTCTGGGGCATTGTGCGGCACGGAGCACTGACTATGGTCACGGAGGCTCCGGCACCTTTACTGAAAATCATTACCCGTCAAGGATTCGGCCCTAGCTCACGACAACTTGCTGACCTGGTGGAATACACGGAAATCGCTGCCGCCAGTGCTCAGGTTCGAATAATAATTGCCTAAATTTCCTTTTTTTAATTTAGGAAGAAGAAGACATGGACGATGATTGTGCGAAAATCTGCGAGACGGCGAAGGCGCCACGAGATCTTGGCCGACTTACGACATGTGTGGAGGCCCTGCTAAAGTATATGGAGGAAATGGCTGCTGAACAAAAGGGAAATGTCGAAGAGAGAAGCACTTTCGGAGGAGCATTCACTGATAATCTGCTTTCGGCAATTTTGCGGCGTCGTGTAAGTAGTCTCTAAGATTTACAAAAGGGGCCCAGCCATATATCGCAGAAGTTCTTTATTTTTAATTCGTTTTTTAGATTCGAGCTATACAGTCGACAACACACAACCTGTCCCACTTCTTTCTGCTGGTTAAGAGCAAGCGAGTGAGGGAAAATTATTCGATTTTTTTTATCGAAATTTAGTGGGACACGCGACAACACGAGCGCTTCAACAAACTCTACAATCAGGCCAACCAACTCACAAAGTCATATCGCCTTCTCAACGATCAGTTGACCGATCGGATCTTGGGGTATGGAATTTTGGGCTTTTTAGCTTATCGTTTTTTTTGGTTTTTATCCAGATTTTTTAGGAATGACGCCTACATGAGCCTGTGCACCTGGGTGATCCATTTTGGGCTACCGTTGTTGTGCGCCCCGAACTCTCAATTCTCCCAAAGTCCGAATATGATGGAAGGCAGCGAGGATGGCTCGAGCTCGGCCGCACAAATTGCCCGCCCACATGACGTCTTCTTGCAAACGGCTGTTGAGGTTAATAAGCCTCTATTTTTGTAAATACCCTTCAGGGATTGTTGTCTATGTTGATCCCATCAAATAAAAGGTTGTCCCTGCTCCAGATGATCGCCAAGGCCAAGGACTACGCTCTTTTGAAGGTCTGTGATCTAAAAAATATATAATTTGAAAAATTAGAAAATGATCGATTTGGTTGAAGCGGCAGACTCGGCCAGTTCTTTATCCACATCGACACCTATCGGCGTCACGTATTTCCGGGCTATCGCCTTTTCGGGCTCCGGTCGTCCAGATAAGGTATATTTTCAATGATATTCTTTTAGACAATATTTAGGCGTTGGCTGCGTTCGAGCAGTGTATCCCTGCCGCTCTTTCCGGCGATCCCGAGTTGGCGGCTGTGCTGTTTAGCCCGGCCGAGACGGCCGTAACTTCCTCGCTTTTGTCGCGTTTCTTCTTGAGGGTAGCTTTTGCAGTGATTTCGCCCAATGACATTTTTGCAGGCAATCGAACTTCTTTCCAATCATGGCCATGTCAGCCAAGTTAGCTGTCTCGCCCTGCAGGCCTCGATGCATTTGAAGAATGGGGACGGTCCAAGATATGCTCTGGTGGGTCGTCGCCGAATTCTTTTTCTTATTACATTTAGGAACGAATCCACATCATTCTCTTCACACAACAAGTTGATGGCGGTGAATGGGGAATGGCGTTGGAGACGATCCGCGCCTGTCAGGTTTGTATCCGGGGGTGTGTAAATCGTTTGCAAAATAGCATTAGAATTTTAAAAATATGATATGAAGTTTGTGCGCTTTTCCATGGAATTCTTAGACGTTTTAGGCAATCTTAAGCACTAAAATTGATCAGATTGGGAAAAATGGATCAGCCTTATTTACAAATTTCGTCCAAATCGGTACTTACAAAAAAAACAAACCTTATTGTAGAAGCTCCTGCCACGGAAATATTTAAAAAAAGTAGAAAAGACAATTAGAGAGGTTCCAAGTTATAACTTTCGCCTTTCAGAATTCTGATTCTCAACGTGGCTTGCTGGAGAGTATGGTGTTCCGGTTGCTGTCTTTGAGAGCGTGGAAGTTGATCTGTTCGAGCATCCCCTGGAGGGAGTTCACAAATGAGGTAGATAGTGGCGGGTTTTTTTTAATCCTTGTCCTTAGGTTGCTTGCCTGCTGTTCGACAAGGCGAGTGCGATGTCGCCGAAGGAGAGCCCGAACATCTTCGAACTGCTCGCCAGCTTCTATGCCGCTCGTTTTGACAATTATAATGGTAACGAAAACTTTAAAATGGTCACAGCTAGGCTTTCCAGCTGCCAACTCGCTATACGAATGGGCACAACGGCTTGCGGAATTGCCACAAGATCCTCCGGTATTTTTTGGCGCAATGATTTTGTGATTGCAAATTTTAGATGTACGCCAAAAGACGCGATATTCTGGCAGCCACTTCCCTTTACCTATCGATGAATACTGAAAATCGACGCTCTTATCTGCACGCGAGATCGGTTTGTTTTCAGTGGAGAGCTCATATGACTTGTTTTGTAGCACAAGGGAGACTACCATCGTAAGAAGACTCAAACTGACGAATTCGTGTTCGGAACAGGCACGATTTCCACGAAAGTCTCTGCCTCGATGGAAGATATCAACGAAATCTACAATTCTGATGTACGTTTTTGCTCTTAATTCTACGGTTTTTAGGATTAGTTCTTCCGGCTTTTCACATAATGATTCATTGTAGGAGCTCTTCCAATCGAGGTTTGTGGATGCCGAACGTGTGAAACGCGAGGTAACCTTATTATAACTTTTTCTAAAGCCTGTTTTTTTTAGTGGAGTATCCTGGATGTTCGTGTGTTGCTGTGCAGAGAGTTGCCCCAGTGCATCCCTCCCCCAAATGACCCCGAAGCGCTGCTGATGCTTCTGCTCGAGCTGCGCCGCTTTGACCATGCCCGCGTCTTTGCCTGGTATTTTTATGAGCTTTATCAAATCGTTTTCTAGCATCCATGGCCTTCCCGTCGATGGTGTATTCCAGATGATAACGAAGGCTGCCATTGAATACGATTGTGACGAGGGTAAGACTTTGAAAAAATGGATCGATATTTAACAGGAAAACCGATCGAGAAGACGTGAAAATTTTTCGCATGTTTGGTCAATGTGTTAGTATTTTGTAATCAAATCTTTTCGGGGTTAGCGGGCGGTGCTCGATATTAAGGGTTAGAGCTTGGTAACACTTCTTCTGCTTATACTAGAATATTTTCGATTTCAGATCCACCGACTAATTGGGTTCTGGAAAACCCAAAGTTTGTGAGCGATCGTGGAACTTGGTATCATTTTAGCTCGAATACAATTATTTCCATTTAGTGATCCATGGAATATCGTGAAGGGACACCTCGAGGCCCACATGCAGACGAAAAATTCGATTGTCAGCCCGCTTTGCGTTGTGCTGAACACGATGCTGGAGGAAGGCTACCCCAATGTCCACCCATGGCTTCACAAAATGTTTATGGTAACCAGTAGTCTTTGTTTTTCACCATTTGCCCTAGAAAACGGATGTCGGCTCCTACTTGGTCACGCTTTCCAACTATACCAAGAATCGCCAGGTCTTGGAGGCGATCATCGAATATTCGGGCGAGATGTTCAAGCAGGTAAAATTTTGAGAAACCAATAATGAAATGTAAGAGGTTATTACAGTCTAGAAGTTTTTTATGCACAGAAAACTCAATGGAAAAAGTTCAAACGCCAAACATCGGTAGAGAACGGTAGAAAAATCTTAAAAATGCCTAAATTTTTAATATTTTGGAAAGTTTTTGAACTATTGAAAGCTCGGAAACACCGAAAAAACATAAAAATTCCATTTTTTTGTTACGAGGCAGCTGGTGGATATAAAAAAATCCTTTTTGTCCCCCGACAACGGTCCAGCATTTTTTTTTGTTTTAGGTGAAGGGAATCGATTCGAACGTCGTTCTGCCGTATTGTGCTCTCGACCTGGTCCTGAAGCGCGCTCAGGAAGACAGGGACCGTGAAGTGATGACGGTCAGTGAGGAAATATCAACTCTGAAATTTGCCTCTTTTTCAGTTCTACACCAAAGCCGTCGACTCCGTGAAATCGCTGCAGTCTCGCATCCAAGCCTTCGAAGCCGCCTCCAAATTCACCCAAAAGAGCCAGCCCGATTCGAGGATCTCATTCATGTCCTAAACCCCTTCTGCATTGTTATTGTTATTGCTATACCTCCCGGTTGATCGTCATTTTGTGTATGATCTCTCTTGTCAAAGCCGGCTTTCCTCTTATTTATGGGTACCCATTTAATTTGCCACATTTCGGATTTTTTCAATAAACGGTGAGCAATCTCGGTTTTGGTTCAAAGTTTTGTTGTCGCGGGCAATTGAACCATATTTCGTCATCAAAAAGTGTCATACTCTCTCTGTCTTGCTTGGCTGAAACAGCAAGTCTGATAATTCCTATTTTAGAAACTTGCCTTTTTGGTCAAATTCTGCCCCAATGTTCCTTCGGACAGTCGCGAAGCTTGAGACTTTGGCTCAGTCTTCCCTCGATTGCTCGAAACTCGCGAGGCTGGCCTCCTTTTCTACTACTCGCGCCCAGCGTAATGACGTTTCTCGTGTTGAACAGCCAGAAATTAAGGTAATTATTCCTTCAAAATCTTATGCTGATAAATTTAGGTGCTTGATATCCCGCTGAAAGCTGCGAACGGGGCCCGTTTATCGGGGGAACAATTCCTTGGCCGCGTCCGCGAGAGTTTGGGCGTCAACGACAAAGACGATTGGGCGCTGTCTTCAAAAGATGTCACGGCGCTTGCCAATGAATATGATGCGGCCCTAACGGATGCCGCCGATCTCAAGGACAAATATCAGCGGGCTCTGGCTGAGGTTGAGAATGTTCGTCGGCGCGGTGTTAAACAGACGGAGGATGCGAAGTCATTTGCCATCCAGGTGTGTTGCCGACATTAATTCACCGGTTCGTCGATCCTTCTTTACAAATTGCTTTACGTTTTGCAATCTTTAAATAATTTCAACGTCCAACCGTTCTGTGACGTCATTTACACATGAAATTTAGGGCTTCTGCAAGGATATGTTGGAGGTGGCGGACATTCTCGACCTTGCCGTGAACAGTGTGCCGAAGGAGGAGCTGAACAAGGAGCACAAGGCTTTCAAAGATCTCTACAGTGGCATCTCGATGACGAAGACTGTCCTGCTCAAGACGTTCGCAAGCCACGGGCTTAGCCCCATCGACCCCACCGGCCAGAAGTTTGATCCGAATCTGCACGAGGCTATCTGCGAGTTGCCGGCCCAGCAGACTGGCGCCCAGCCGGGCCACGTCGTCCAAGTCGCTAAAATCGGATATCAATTAAAGGGTCGGCCGATCCGCGCCGCCCAAGTTGTTGTTGCCAAGAGCGATGACTAAATTTCTTCATATATTCGGGCGAAACGTTAAAATATGATTTTCGATGATTGGTTGTCCTCATTTTCGTTTTGTGATAGTGCTAGTTCATAGATCCCTGTTTTCTTATTTGTTGTTCTCGTTCGATTTTCGGAACGGCGATTAATAAATCGATTCAGGTATGGATTATGATGACTGCTACGATCAACAGGACTATTGGAACGAACCAGAGCGGCAAGCAGGGCCCAGCGGCTTGTCACCGGTAAGGTACATTTTGAAAGGATCTTTAGATTAATGCGATATTTTAGAACAATGCGACAATTCTACTCGATTCTGATAGTGACGATGGAGATGCCGGAAAGAGCTCTACACACGAACGTTCGTTATTTCTGAACGAGCATTCAACGCCTATCGTATCAGGTACCTGTGATTTTTTCTGACTTTTACATTTTAGTTGTTGTCAGCGAAAAGAACCTCAATCCTACGAAGCCGCAACCCCAACCAGGGCACTTCGCCGATATTCATTGAGGACGTCCCACCTAGAGGCGCAGCAGATGACCATAAAAGGTTGCAAACATTATTAATGCATTTTTCTTTTCAGGTTTTCTTTTGGTGTCTCAGGGCGCAGTATGTCCCAATCGGACCTGGACAAAACGCCGATAAAATATAGGGTGAGAATCTGGCTTATAAAATTTATACGTTGTTTAGAGCAACCGAGCAACCTACGACGACATCACGCCGACGGCATCGCCGAAAAAGGCCCGCTCCGCAAATGTTCGTTTGTTTGTTTTATTCATTGCCGCCGTTTAGTCCACTCCTGTCAAGGAAAAGAAGCAGAAGCAAAAGCAAATAGTCAACGAATTTTTCGGCTGCTATTGCCTGATCAGCCGCAGCCAGTTGAAACATTATAAGGTGATCGTGCCCTAGTTAATGTAAAATATTTTGCAGAATCGTTGTTATATCGGCTATACAGTTGATCCGAACCGCCGGATCGATCAGCACAATGGCGGCCGACAAAAGGGCGGAGCGAAAAAGACTGAAAACCGGGGGCCTTGGTGAGGGAATTGTTTTTTATCAAACTTTTGGTTCAGGGAGATGGTCTGCATCATACACGGTTTCCCGTGCGATGTCGCCGCACTAAGATTCGAATGGGCATGGCAAAACCCAGGGAAAAGTCGCGCATTGAAAAGCAAAGGTCTGGAGAAGAAGGAACGAAGGGAGACGCCATTCGCACACAAGTGAGATTCGCCAATTGCTTTGATCTTTCCTTAGTTTAGATTGCGGATAGCTTGTCATCTGCTGAATAGTGATCCCTGGCGACGGTTAGCGTTGACGTTCCGATGGCTTCTGCCGGTTTGCCCCTTTCTTTATATTGGATAATTTCCTTCAGAAGGAAGAGTTACCTTTTCCGGCTTCTATTCCACCACCAAAACACTTTCCCACGAAGTATGGCTTGGTGGAAAAATTGACTACAGTGGTAGATGACGCTTTTAAGAGCTGAAATTATTGTTCTTTAGGTTCCCAACTCGATGGATGATCTCCAAAAACTTGGCAGCTGCTATATTTGCAAGGAAAGGATTGTTCAGGTGATATATTATTTCTTTCACGCACACCTTCTTCCTTTCAGTTGAGCCTCCTCGGTCTATGCCAATGGTGTGGATGCCAGTCTCATCTTCGCTGCATGGCCCTCACCGCACTTTCCACCGCGGAAAAACCCAACCAGCTCATCCCCGTCGACTTCAACTGCCAAAAATGCGACCAACGGTAATAAGAAGGCTCTTCCACGTTATCTAGCCTGTTAAGATTAATCTGGGGCGACGTCATTCGTTTGCAACGAAACATGATGAAGGTTGATGAAGCGCAACCCGATGAGAAGCTTAAAGGCCATTTAGCGAAAAATTCACTTTGATTGTGCTTGCCAGAATAAAGTATCCAGATAATTGTTAGGCCTCCAGATTGGTTTGTGCCATCTGACCAATACTTAATTCGATGTTGCCTCGTTCTACATTGAATTCAATTGAATTGATTGAGATTTCTTTGTTTTGTAGATGATCATCCCGGTCCGCTGCTTCACTTGTGGCAAGGTTATCGGCAACAAATGGGAATCTTATCTGGGACTTCTGCAATCGGAATACAGCGAAGGTATAGTTATCTCTTAATCATTTGATGCCTGTTTGGTTTGCAAAATAACTTTTTCTCAGAACATATATTTCTCTTACAGGAGATGCCCTCGATACCTTGAACCTCCGAAGGTATTGCTGCCGCCGAATGCTCCTGGCTCACGTCGACCTCATCGAGAAGCTCCTCAACTATCATCCCCTTGAAAAATAACTTCCTTCAGTTGCCTGCGAGTACTATTTTTGTTTCCCATCACATGTTACAATTTGTTTTTTGTTGTACGATCTCGGATAAACGTTTATTCTTTCGAATTGAAATTTCAAAATTTGGATAACATTTTGCCAATCAACAGTAACAATGAGTTTGTAACAACGGGAGTTAAACGTAAAGCAATGAGTATCATCCACCGACACGAATAAAAAATTGATAATCGGGGGAGAGCTAGGCTTCGTTTGAAACAGCAGGCTCGGTCTTCTGCTCAGCGGGCTCAGGCTTCTGCTCTGCTGGCTCGGCTTTGGGGGCAGCATTCTCGTCGTCGTCGAACACGATGCGCTTGGCCTTGGGTTCGTCGCCTCGGGCGCCATCTCCGGGGTGTTCACGCTTCCGATCGTCACGATGACCCCGGTGGCCACCACGTCCGCGTCCGCGACCGCCACCACGACGCGACGACTTGCTTCGATCGAACTTATTCTTCTTCGTCTGGTTGAATTCCTCCCAGAAGGCCGCCTCGTCGTCGCCATCGAGTACCTACAAAGAAAGCTATGTGGAAAAGTCGTGGAAAAACGCACCTTTGCGGTAATTTCCTTTTCCCCAAACATCACTTTGCCTTCTGGAGCAGAAGATTGCGCCTTATCCCATGCAGCTTTAGCTCCACCTTCGGCGCCAGAAAATCTGAACACAGAATACGGAGCGAAAAACGCAAATTACCGAATTTTCGCTGGGTCGCCTTCTTTTTCAGCGGTCACAACATATCCTACGGCTCCAAATGCGGCGAAAAATTCTTTTAGCTGATTGACTGTAACTTCCAATGGGAAACCAGATGCCTAAAAGGATAGTGGTTGAAGAATAAGGTATATACCTCAAGGATCAGCCCCTTGGTGAAGTTGACCTCGCTGCCAGCAACTTTCGTCTCCTTCTTCTCCTTTGTATTCTTAGAGGACTTCAAGGCTTTCTCGGCAGCGCGCTTTTCTTTTGCCTCACGATTTTTCTGTGACCAGTAATCGTCCTGCATCATCTTTGTAAGATCAACCTCGCCGAACTTCTCAACGCCCTAAAAAAGCGTCAGTAACAAATTTTTGCTTTACCTTCTGAGCCTTCTCTGCATCCTCGCGGGTCTTGTAGGTGACGAAGCAAGAGCCCTTGAAGAAATTGCCGGGCTTCGCTTTGCGCATCAATACATTGTCCAAATTTCCATACTGCTTGGCCCATTCACGGATTTCATCCAAAGTAGAGTCTTGTTTGAATCCTTTCTATAAACCGAAATTAAATTGAGAAAAATCTAACCAACCATATAGACAGTGCGATGTTTGATCTTTTGCCAGTACTCCAGTGAATTCTCGGGAAGTGGGTTTTCAGGGTTGCGGCGAATTTTTGTCCCGTCCTAAACTAGGTTAACCAAAACATGCGCGAAACAACCTCATTGATGGCTACGATGGGCGATGATGACTCCTTGACGGCTTCTGCGATAACGGTTTTGTCGAGGGTGAGTTTGGCAAGGCGCACACAGTTTAGCAATGTGTCCATGTCGATCCCTAAATCGGCGTTCCCAAAACTCCAATTTATGGCTTACAGCCATCATCCTCCTTCATCTTTGTCTGGAAGAACTTGTCGCGAGGAAGGTTGATATCGCCAAAGTAAAACTAAAAACATTTATCAAGGAAATTAGAAAAAGCCAACCTCCAGCTGCTCAAGGACCTTGGTCTTGAGATCATCGTTGGACGTCATCTTGCCAGATGATCCTGTGAATAATGTCCAATTAGTTTCCGTTACCGCAGAAGCCGTGCAGTAAATTGAGCGAGATCATAGCAAAGAAAACCGAGATTGAGACATGCAGACGAGGTAAAGTCAATGAGTCCAGTTACATCACGTTGACGTAAAGACAAACCCAAAAATCAAAATTTTCGTGGTCAGCTCAACCTCACAGATCCCATTAGGAATCGGAAAACAGAAATTGTGAAACACCCTCATTTAACCCACAGGTCTCGTTTTTCGAACCTGAATCTATAAATATTTTAAATCAATGGCGCCCAGCTGGGCCGAGTGAGGATCTCCGAGGGTTACTTTCCATATAGCTTGAGCAATAATGATGAATTTACAAAACGTTTTAAAGACATTTTCCCCATAGATGGTTTATTCCGAGAAAAGACTATGCCTAAAAGGGTGAAGGGATTGGTTATTTTGCTCAGCCTACATTTACTCGCATAACATTTACAGGCAGTTGGATAGAGAGCTAACAGTTCTAAATTGAGACGGACATTCGTTGGAAGAAGAGGAATTATTTTGGAATGTTAGGCAAACTTTTGCTAAAAACTTTTTCTAAAGAACCATTACGAAAATTTCAAATGACACGGCCAAGTTGAAGCGCTGTGCGGCAAGGGATTCGCTTTGGGACCCGGAGAGTCAGAAAGAGTGGAGAGGGAAGCGAGAGATGCAGGGAATGTCTGGCATCGCCCCGATTGGAAGGAAGCCCGGCACCGAGAAGACCGAACGCGAATCTGCACCCCTCGACAGACCACCCACATAGATCGCCAAAATTGCATTTTTTTGAAAGCACCGCGCTCCTTATCCTATAATGTAGATATAGCTCCGATTTATTATGTATATCTTAGATCTGAAAGCACCAAACATGTGAAAAAGCAGCTGTGGAAAGCCTTACGGGGATTAGCTAGTTTGTCATAAATACAAGAGACCTTCCCTACAATTCGTAGATCCTTAGGCCCAGAGCCATTTCTTACAACGGTCTTGCATTTAATAACCCTCAAGTACATTATAGCGGTCAAAAACGGGGTGAAAATCAGACGAGACTTTTAGCTTTTCAAAAAAGGCAACTGAGAAAATCCTATTTCGCCAGCCGGTTCGTTATAAACTCAACGATATCCTTCTTACAATGATATTGCATTTACAAAACCATTCAAGGATAGCGCTGTTAACTCTCTCAAATATGAGTTAAATCACTGAATAGGTTACTTAGAATAGGGGGGCTTTACTTACAAAAACCGTTGCTATGTTTCAGCTTTCAAAATTTTGTTTTCTTTTTTGGGCTCAATAAAGTATAACTGAACATGTTGACCACCGCTTTTAGATGCCGCCGGCAGAAGAAATAGGCAATGGTCTTCTACACGACCTTCACAAGCTATTCGGCGCCTCATGTAAGCATTCCGGCTCTAAAACTGATCTTCATTCGAATTTTCAGGTTCAGAGGACGATCTTGAATCCCTCTTCAACACGCAGTATGAAAGCAAATTTCTGACAATAGTCGAAGATCGCTACGAGAAAACTGGTAACCTTTTGCTGACCATTTGATGCTGTTTCAGTTAACGGCAACGAGCAGCAATTCCGCGACACGACACGCGCCATTCGGGATCAATTACCCGGAGAACCGGGCAACACCATGATCGCGTTAATTCTGGAAGGAAGAAAATGGGGAATACGAGGAGGGGCTGCTTCAGCAATGTTCACTCTTAGTCGAAACGGAACGGCCGCCTATCCGGTAATCGCTGAATCCTTTCGCATCGAGGGCACCAACTTTTTTGTTAGGATCTAATTTTATAAATAGTGTAAATTTTTCTAAACGGTTGTTTCTTTTCCCAAGCGTGAAAACTCTACAAATTTTTATTAAAAATATCCTAAATATAGATTTTCGACTAAAATTCTTTCAATTTTTTTACAAATGTTGATGGTTTTTGTTTGAAATATAGTTATATAGTTTACTAACAACACTATTAAAACACTTCCTATTAAGTTACTAGACATTTCAAGACCCCCCGATAATGCGAAAGAACCTAGAAAAATTCGTGTAATTCAGGAAACGCCATCCATCAATCTTCTTCAAGGGACGCGTTCGTATGTTACCCCTCCGAGCAACGGCAGTATTTTGGATCAAAAAGGTTCTTTTGACAGGTAAGGGTTACGAAATAAAACAAATTATTCCTATTAGAAACTCCCGCCACCGGATCGGCCGTACGAATAGCAGCCTGACGCAAGCAACTCCACCCGTCGAACGAAGAATTCCACGCCCGGGGGACAAGCAGTCGCACCGGAGCAGCAACAGCATATCCTATGTGGAGAACCAGATGTTCAACCGCGGTACCGACCTTTTCGATTACCGTGACAACAAGATGGAGGGATCACGTCACAAGGAAAATGACTATCGTAAAAGGTAAAATTTTTGGAGCTATTGACGTTGAGTGGCTCTAATAGCAAAAATAAAAATACGACGGTCACTCGACCTTCAAACAGGGTTTCTCCGCAGTGTTTGAAACACTTTCAGGCTCGGAAACACTGATTTGGGCTACAGGAATTTACTTGAAATTGTACGTTTTTCCGCCTTGTGGCTTTTGTACCGGTGAGATAGCGTGTAAATGCGAAATTCGACGATGGGAGACGGTTTTTAGGCTCTTATTTGGACAGAAAGCTGTTTTTCCCTTTGGGGACCACTCAGCTTAACTCAGAATAGCTCGTAGTTCCTTTACCTACCTAAACCTTTTTAGAAACTACAATCCGTCGAGCCCACAACTAATGGCCCTACCTTCGGAAATAAAGCGTACACCCCAATTCGAGCCGGTAACCCGTGCCGATCAAATGGTGGTCGGGCTTGATGTGATGCTACAGGAAGTGATCCACGCGATGAAGGGCCTCAATGCTACCCACATAAGGAAAAATGCGCAGGGCGTCCTCGGAATGTCGCCCTATGTCGCCATCAGCTTGGTATCGTAAATTCACATTCGATATTCCAGGTTTAGGAAACATGGAGCAGCATGCAAAACTTTATCGAGTACGGCAATCTCTGCCTACGCCTGCCACGTGACCCGGACAACTATGACAATCAAGATCTTTTCAAAAAGGTACGTAGAGTCGGACTTCTTTTCAATTTTTCTACTTAGGCTTTCCAAACAGCCGTCTTCAACCAACGCCTTGATTTCACGCACGCCGTTGATATCGTCGGGAAGCAGGTCATTCTTTGAGGCCCAATTTAACTTGTTTTATTTCAGCTAGGCGAAGAGGAGCCATTCGCTGCGCTGCTGTCGTTGGACCGTTTTGATCAGGATTGGCGTGAAAAGATGTGTACGTTGCACGATGTTTGGGTCTCGCTCAGCGGCCCCGACGTCCCTGGCTACGAAGTCATCAGCAGTTTGTTGGAACAACACGCGGTCGCGCTTGAGAATTCCGGACGTAAAATGTATGTATCAGGTTGGAACGAAAGTTCTGTCGCCGCGGTTTTGGAAGGCTGGCTAAATCCGTAGATAGCTCCATTCAGCTGAATGGAGCCGTCAATTTGTAGCTCTCTGCTTGAACCTGTCGGGTGGAGGGCCACGGGCCCTCAAAATCAAGAACGGCAAGAAAAAAAAATTTGTCATCTTTAGGTGTCTTCGCGCTCTCCTCGATGGCGTTATGCCTGTTTACATCCTGCAACTATCCGATTGGATACTACACGCGAAATTAAACAAAGAAGCCGGAAGGGTAGGGTGACGGGGCGCCTTTGATCGTTTTTTTAAGTGGCTCGTTCGCGCCTTCGACATGGCTCAAGATGACATCATGGGAACCTATCGCCTCGACAAAGTGCCGCAGAGATTCCGCTTCTTTTCGGATAGATATCTTGCAAATAAGGTACGGGTTTTCCTCCAGACTAAAACGTTATTTCAGATCCTCGAACTTGGTAAGCTGATCAAATGTCTTGGTGGAGTCGATTGGGCAGGATGGGACGAGGCGGCGGTCAAGGTTTTCAAATCTAAAAGTGTGAAAATAACCTCCCATTAAGATATCCGGTATTCGAATCGAACACCTCATGGATTTCCAGGACAACAGCCTCGAGACGCTGGTGCAAGGTATCCAGCGTAAATTCTCGTAATTGTTGAAAATCTAGAAATGTGCATTGATGCGGGCCGTGACGTGAAGAGGACGCTGATCGAAAGGGATCGTCTGTACGACCACATCGAACTTCTCTCTGATGTGTTCATGCTCGCCCGAGAGCCCTTCTCTGGCCATTTGTTCACCAGTGTTCGGTAAATATTTCCGCACTCTTTAGTTAACTATTTCTCATTTTAGAACCTGCTCGGCACAATTCACGCGTCAAATCTCGGCGACGGAAGCAGCTAGTCTTCTAGGTCGCTGCATCTTGTACGGGGGACTCGAAACTTCGTGTAAGGATTGCGTTTTTGATTACCTCCATTAGCCGGGATGACGGAAATATGGTTGAATGGGTTAACGGTCCCCGGTTCCAACCTTTTATCTCGGCTTCTCTTTCAGCTCCCCGGCTGTAAAGTGGATAAAAATATTTTATTCTTTCGCTTTATCGTCAGGGGGGGGGGCTGAACTTAAAAAATATTTTAAAAATCGGTCATTTTTCGCCGAATCATCGATATTTTTTAATAAAAATTCGTAGTGTTCACGTTTAGGAATAGTAAAAAACGTCTTACAAACCCTTCCACCTTAGATTTGAAAAATCACTCTAGGAAAAAAGGTGGTAATCTCTTTTAGCCAGTATCAAGGGCAACCAGTTCGAGGTGATGGCTGAAATCGGCAGCACTCCGCGGTCATCGCTTCGCCAAAACTACGTCAACTCGCTTTGCCCTCGCTACAAAGGAGTACGAGAACTTTATTGAAGCTAAGCCTTTTTTAGGCAACACGCTTGGCCGCGTGCGTATTATCGCGCGACGCGCTGCTGCGATACCAGGGTGTCTTTAGGGCGATGTGGAGCGTACAGGTATGATTGTTCAGCCCTTTTCACTTCATTTTCCTTTAGTTCACCTACCAAGGTATCGTGGCTGTACAGACGGAGCTGATGCGCTGGGATCGTTCTTTCACGCGCGCCTACCTCAAGCCGATTCGAGATATTCGTAATGCATGGTCCGCGTACCTCTCCCACGTCTTTTCCACGGTCTACGCGCTCGCCCACTACCAGAATAGCGTGGTGAGTGCTTCGAATCTGTTGAAAATACATAATGTAGTTTTCTAGTGTTTTTTTGATGGCTAGAAATTTAGAAAAAATATTTTTAAATTTTTGCAAATACAAAGTTTTTCTTCTTTGATAAAAAAGTCAATGATTTTCGAATTTTTGCGCTTCGTTTATTGATAAAAATGGTTTATATTTTGTGATATGACCGTACAGGGTTACTGTGAAAATTATTTCCCCCTGCTATCAGTCCAGTACCAACCCCTCTTCCACTAGCGAACCAGAACCGATTTCTTCGCTGCAAATTTTTGTCGTTCTTCTCCTCAGTTTGGTGTTTTTAGTGTGCCAAAGCTCGGACACGCCTACGCGCAAAGCTGGATGAGGCCCGGGACCTTGGCGAATGCATCCACCATCATGATCGCCACCTATCACAACTCGAAGACGGCCTATTCTTGGATGCGGTACGCTCACCACATCCTCGCCACTCATTTTCTTTTAGAAACTGGGCACCCGCGTTTTCGCGGCACTTGGCCCCCTGCTCGACCACGCCATCTCGATGTTCATCACCTTCATCAAATTCTCGGCCGGGCTGACGGGACGTGCTGACAAATGGTTTGTTTGCTTGTTTTTTTTATTCAAGCGCAATCAGGAGATGATCAAGGATTTGCTAAATGCTCGCCAATTTTTGCTTTTTTTGCTAAAGATTATTAAATTCTCGGGTTCTTTCGCACTATCGAGGGGAGGGGGGGGGCGAACTTTTTTCTAGTAGTCTAGAAATGTCTAGTTACTTAGTAACAAGTGTATTTAGTAAACTATAACTATATTTCGTCGAAAAACTAACTAAACCCTTTTTACAAGGTCGAAATTTCGGTCTTGAGCGGACCGGCCAATTTTGGTCGAAAATCGATGTTTTGATATTTTCTATAAAAATTTATAAGGTTTTCCGGCTTAGGAATGGTAAAAAAAACCGTTTGCACGTGCACTATTTATATTTTCAAAATTAGATTCTCAGAAAAAGTTGATCCCCCTGATAATGCGAAAGCGCAACTTTCACCTTTTAGGAGCGACAAGATCGCAGCGAAGCCAATTAAAATCACCGACGACACTGCGTGTTTCGTGCAAGTCGAACGGCAGCTTGAATTCGAAGAGGATATGCACCTCTTCGAGAAATACAACTTCCCGCAACTAAAAGATCTATACGCTCAATTTAAGGTAACCTTTTTTCTCGTTTTAAACCTGTTTCATTTCCAGCATGCTCAAAAGACGTTGTACGAGGTGCTGAACGACTACGGGGACACGGAACCGATGGCCGGACTCCGCGAACTGCTCCGCCCACAGCGCATCGGCTCGACCTGTTGATCGTCTACTACTATGCTCATCCCCTTCCCCACCACGTGTTTACTTCTATAGGGTTCATCATTTATCGCACTTTTGTCTCGCACGGGTAATATTAATTCTCACAGACGGGTCTCATTGCTTCTCCAACGTTGTGAATCAGCTGCATAGTTTTCTTCTTTATATATCTCCGGTGTCATTGCGGATATTCAAATAAAGATTTGTAGATGTGGTTGAGTTTCTGATTTATTTGAGATGACCTTTGGCGTTGTCGATATTTGTTCATTTGTTTCCGGTTGTACTTGTCTATAATCAAGCCTGTCCTAGGTAGTACCTAGGTTAGGCTCAACTCACGGCCGTTCAGAGCGTGCACGAGCTTTAAAAGCTATAGAAAACGCTTCCAACACTTCATTATATAAAAGTTTTTTTACGAAATTGTGGGGAATTTTTTGCTTTATCGAACTAGAGCGGCGATTTTCGAAATATGACCCAGGGGAAAAGTTATCAGCAAAAAAGGAGAAAATCCTTAACATTTTCTATGGCTGGTTTTTTAACGCTATAGAAAACTCTGTCAGCCGCTATTCCTTAAAGTTTTTTATACTAAAATGGGCAGAATTTTTTTCTCTATCGAACTAGAGCGGCGATTTTCAAAATACGGTCAGGGGGGAAAGTTATGAGCTAAAGAAGAGCGGCGCTCTTAACATTTTTGGGGAGTGGGGGAAGCCCCTCTCATGCGCGCCTTCCCATAGATCTGAACGGCCGTGAACTCGGGCCAAGGCATAGCTTAACTTTTGCCTATGCTTATTTTTAGAGATCGGGTCTTTTAAATACCAATGTAACTAGCGAGCATTGCTTGAAAACAGCTTTATAATCGTAAAATCCTTGATTCTACCATAAACCTCATCATCCTACCATAAATTTACGTTCTTTACCTTTTCAGGGTCTACCGACCGGCTGGATGACCCGGGAGAAGAAGGGCGGGGCCGTCGCTTTGGAAAGAGAGCTTCTGGCCGGATGGGGAGCCGGAGCTGTCGAAACATGCCTTCTCTACCCAGCCAACAAGCTCATCTTTAGACAACAGCTCCATGGTGTCAAGGTCAGTCTCAGCTTTCTCACATCTGCTCTTTTAGGCTGGTACGGCCGTGGCGCAAATGCGCGCCGAAGGCTTACCCTTTCTCTTCCGGGGCCTGCTTCCGCCATTGTTGATGCGCTCGCTGTCGCGGGCATTAATGTTTGGGCTCTATGATCGGTTCGCCAGCCACTGCACGCCGCTTGTCAAACCGACCGGTGAGAGTTTTTTTGTAAAGTAACAAAATCTTTTTAGTCCCACTTTGGTCGCCATGCCACGGGTCGGCAGCCTTTCTGGCCGGTGCCTGCGAGGCAATGCTATGTCCATTGGAACGAGTACAAGTGCTGCTTCAAACGCAGGCTTTTCACCATAAATTCGACGTAGGTAACCTCCGCTATAAGCAGGATAACCTTTTTTTCAGAACACGGCCAGCGCTGTTCGATACGTTTACTCGAAACACGGACTTCATGAGTTTTGGCGCGGCTTCTCGGTGGTGGTCGCGCGAAATGGACTATCGAATATCCTCTTCTTTGGGCTACGCGTTCCACTGAGAGACGTTGGTTGTCTTCAATTACCTATATATTTTTATTTAGCTCATTCTGAAACTAAATGGCGGTTCAACCGACGGAACTGGCGGCAAGCGTTTCGCCGCGGAGTTCATCTCGGGTGCCGTATTGGGAGCGTCCATTTCGACACTGTTCTTCCCCGTAAACGTCGTGAAAAATCGAATACAATCGCAGGTACGTAATTTTCGTATTTTCAAAAATTATTTGTTAGGTCGGCGGTCAATACGCGGACGGCCTCTCCGTCCTTCGACTACTGCTGCGTGAACGTGGCTCGATTTTAGGCCTCTATCGAGGGGTCCACCTGAACATTGGCCGATCGCTGATTGCGTGGGGCATCACGAATTCGGTCTACAGCGCACTTCATCGACACCTACTAGCACTAGGATTCTAATTTCTACTAACGTTATTCTCCTCCACTCCCAACTAGGTGCCTCCAAATGGCCAAATTCGATGTGATCTTGGGGCATTTATGGCCCTGCTCTGCCCATCTACGGCTAAGCCCAACGTTGACTCTTCTCTCTTTGTATAGTTTTAGTTACAGTGTTCTAATCTAGCTTGCGTGTTTCCGGTGTATAGATAGTTTCTCTTATATTCTAGTCTACTATGCTTTTGCCGTTGTGTCATCTCCGAGTTTGCTCACCCTACCTAGTCCTATTTACCACACTACCGCTGCCGGCCCATCATATTGCTGCTCAATTTCCGGTCACTTGCGATCGTCTCGTGCCACAAGAGTTTCTCATTTCATCGGGTATCTAGCTCTCGTTTTTACGTTGGAATTTACGCCGTTTCAGCCCTTTCCTTTTCGTGTCTTTCCGATTGCGATTGGCTGGAATAAGAATGAAATTTCAGTTAGATGAACCGGACTGTCGGGGATTGGTCCGAACAAACTTCTTCGAGTGGTAAACGATATTACTACCATCGGTAAGTGTGACGGCTTGCTTATTCGAACGTTTTTTTAGGATATCAGAGGTTTCACAATGGGAGAAGCCCGAAGAATGGAAGGAATGGGAACGACAAGAAGAGGAACGGAAAAAGGTAGAGAAAGGGCGATTTTGGTCTTCGTGTCCAGAAACGAAATAAGCTGGTTTTCTTTTTCCAATACAATTCGTTTCAGCTTGCCGCCATGGCCAGTGCAGCTCGTCCCGGAATTCCAGCAGCTTCCTATCAGGTGCGTTGTTATTTTTATTAAAAAGTGCAATTTCATCGTCCCAGCCTGTTCACAGAGGTTTTTTTAGGGAAATCCACTGGCACAAAATAACTATCTAAACCATCCACCACCTCCGCCGCCTCCGATCTCTTCGCTGAACCTCACCAGTGGTAAATACCTTTCCATATTTTCATAATTTTATTTAGTTACTAACCACGGCTACACGAACCCTTACGGGCCGGGTCCTCTTGCCACGCAAGTGTCTTTCCCAGTGAATCTAACAAATTTCGGTATTTTTTGAACGATCAATTTGCCGGAGTTTTTCGCTAGTTACGTAAATCTTTCGGATAGAATATTTTGCGTCAATTTATCATTATAGCTCCTGCGCACGTAGCATCACCGAGAAATCTTCACCAGCATCAGAGTGCGGTCAGCACTCCGTCTTCGGGCCTACATCGTGAGGCGAGAGAAAATCGGCCGGAACGGGACCGTGCGCGCGATTTGCAATCGTAAGAATTAATCTTTCGATCTATAATGCTTTAGATTTCGCGAACGAGAACGGTCTCAACAGAAGACGTCACCGAGAGACCGTGACCGAGAGCGACCGAGGGAAACTGAGAGAAATAACCATGTGGTGGGTCGCTTTCACAGCTTCAACAATATGTTTGTGATTGTTTAGCAGCCATCCACTTCCCACTACAAAGACAGTAATTCGCACGATGTTCCTTCGAGCTCATTCCACGATGATGATCGAAATACGACACCATCAAGGAAACGGTTAGAGGAGCGGCCGCGGCTTTCCGCAGACGAAAGACCTGTAAAGGTAGCTTTGTCTGTTCTTTGCCTAAATTGGTTTAGACACCACGTCTGGAAAGAGAAAGAGAAGAGAAAACGACGGAAATGAATGGAGGGCCCGCCAACCACGGTATGAATTTTTTTATCTAATAATTTTACTTTACTAAACGTTTTGACACCTTTTTACCCATTTCTAGAGACCAATGGCGGCGGAGACTCAATTCCACAGGAGACCGGTAGTGCTGGAAGTGTGCCGATGGACATCGAGGATGAGCGGACGGAGAGCAATGTAATAACTTTGTAACAATAATTACAAACTTTTCAGCATTCTCCCCAGCCTGAAACATTAGACAGCCTTAGACACAGGGTGAGAACCGTGTCGTGTAGTCTGCGTTTGCGAATCTTGGGCATTTCCCTATTAATCCTTACATTACAGGAGCTGCAGGAACTCGCCAAGTTCTACGACCCGCAGTTGGCGGAGAAGACGCTACGGGAGATGAGCCTTGAGGAGGTAAAATGGGCTATCATTTTTGGAGATAATTCTTTTAGGACCATAAGGGCCTGATGGACATGATGATCGACACTTCGAAGCTGATCTTCAAGTATGTGATTAGTTATTTTCTCAGCCGACTTTTAGGCGCCGTGATTTCATCGTCAAATTCTATTCGTCGCACTCCTGCACGGTGGTGTTGGAGGCACGGGCCGAAGCGACCGATATCCGGATAAAATACAATGTAAGCTTTCTTACACAAGCTATCAAAAATGTCATTTTAGCGCGAAATGCAGCGGATGATAGACCAGCGGCGCCAAGAGAAAAAGGAAAAGCCCGCGACAACCTCCAACTTCCTCCCGGCCACCACTGACATCCACACCTTGCCGACGACCACATCCAATTTCATGAATCTCGCCTGACTCACAGGGTATTATTATAACTTACCATTCGTAAAATCCCATATTCCCCCATACTCACATCCAAAGAGCACGTGTTTTTTTTTCTCCCACATTAATAAGAGGGCGGGCCTTTTACATGCCAGGGATTTATTTTGTTCTAACCCCTGGCCGATAGTTGTGATTTTTTTGGGGAGAGCGTTAGAAAATTTTCTTTCTCGGTTTACCCCTAAGAATTTCTGCCGTGTATACTTTATTCCGATCCAAGTCGCTTTCCCACTTTGCTCAGTCCCGACATCAGTCCCTTTATGCTGTTGCTATTTATCCAGTTTTCCCGGGGATGTGTCTGTGAAAGGGTTGTTCTCTATTGCCGACACACTCTCTTTGGAATTGTGGTGTCGATTCCTCTTCATGTTGCGGGTAGTGGTGCCGTCGTATAAGCTTGATGTGTTATAGTGTACGTGTGTGGCATTCGGTTTCTAAACTAAATCTGTGTACATGCTTCAGAACCCCCGAGCATATGATGATCTCTCTTGCGGATACTAGGAAACATAAAAATTAATCTTATTTATTATTTGACAGTTTTGACAACAAATAATAGCTACCGGTTAAGTGACACGCGTGGGAATATATTGATGCAAGTCAGGGCATAAAAAGTGAGCGTTTGGGGTGATTGATACATTTTGGTTATGCTACCTGCTGCTCTTACACGGGAACATCCTTTTCGGGGTGTTCGATGCTGGGCCAGTCGAATTGGCGCTCGGGCATTTTTCCGTGCGATCGTTTGGCGACGAGTGACTCGACGCGCTCACATTGGCGCCAAAGCTTCTCCTGATTTTCCTTGTTGACCTTTAACATTCTGGGTTTTTTTTAACTTTGAGACGCGCGAAACCGGTACCAACTCAAATTTCAAGACGCACCGTATCCACATAGGTCTCCAGGGTCTTCCCATAATACAATCCACCGGGCGCCAAAACGTCTTGTGATTCGGTGGCGCAGTGCACGATTCCAGAAATCCCCTTAATTTTTTTCATTTCCGGGGATATGACAAATCGCAAACCTGATCGAGATCACAGGAAACGGCCCAGATTAGCGGCGAGGCGATCGTCCTCAGCAGCCAGTTTGTCTGCCTGCCCAACTCGGTGCCGCGGACGAAGCCCGGGCGTATGGCATACGCTTGAACTGGGCTGTCCCGTTGTTGAAGCCGCCTAAACAGTCCGGTATCGCAAATGGATATCGCCTTACCAACTGAGTTCCTTCGTAAACAGACAATTTGCCATTTTGCTGTTCGAGTAGGCCTTCTGTGCGGTGTAATCCCACATTGATTCGCCCATCACTTCTTTGCGGGTAAGAAGTTCCGTAGCCTGGAAATATCATTTTGAAATCCCTTGAATACGACATACCTGCTTATAATAACCGCTGGTGACAATAATAATGCGGCCATCCGCCGCTCTCTCAAGCAGGGGTAATAATTGACGAACCATTGCGAAGTGTCCCAGCTGGTTAGCGGCATAGTGGCTCTCGATCCCATCGGATGTCAAGTGAAAATTGAAAAATTTGCAGCAAAAACCTTAAACACACCTCGAATGGCTGCCCCATCACCCCGGCGTTGCATACGAGCACGTCAAGCTTGCGTAGAGAATTGAGCGCCTCTCGGCAAAAACTGTCCACCGATTGCAAGGAGCAGAGGTCAAGCTGAAAACTACGCTCGAGCAACCGAAAAAGCTTCTTAACTCAAGCATCATGAGACTCTGTTCCTCGGCCGGTGTAGCTGAGCTCAGCACGGCTTCAACGGCCGCTTTGCCCTTCTCGGCATCCCTAGAACCCAAAAATTACGACGAATGCGCTAAAAACTACCTGAAAGTGATGACGACCGACGCGCCCATAGAATAGAACCGCTTCGCGGCATGGAGCCCTAAAACAACAATACTTAAAGCTTCATTAAAAACCCTACCTATACCCGAAGTGGAACCGGTGATCAACACTGTTTTGCCGAGCATCGTTTCTTCCGGTTTTTCGCTTGATGAACTGAATTGGGTCATGGCCCTTTGAAAATCGATACCTTGCCTCTGGCATCCCGCTGGCTACAAACATACAATCTGCAAGTTCATTAGTGTTGTTTCCAATCAAAATTCCAGGCAGATAAATGTGCAATAAAATGCGTACGAATACAAAACATCCAATAGGATCGACCAATATTTATTCGGTCATTCAAGTCATTAAATTAATTCACAAGTACAACCCGTGCATCAAGAATTAACTATGGCTAATGGCTAATTCGTATAGATGCAACTATTTGCTAAAAACTAGCTACTAAATGAATCCGGAGGTGGTTGTGGTACGTCTTCAGCTGGACGTCTTGGTCTCGTTCTGCGAGTATTGTTTGGATCCTGGACGGCTCGGAACCATCTGAAGATACTTCAGATCTATGGCATCTCAAAAAACTACCTATATTCCTCGCGGATCTCGTCCCGATTTTTGCCCTTCATCTCCTCACATCGTCTCCTCCAGGCCTCGTCAACGTCGTCTTTCAACAACTGCGCCAAGTTCAGCATCTAAATCAATTAAAGCTTTTTCTTAGAAGGAATTCTGTACCTCCTGACGATCCTCCCGCATATCCTCAAAACCCTTTTGTCGTAGGAAGCTCTTCGCAATCTCGTCTTTGTCGATCAGACGAGCGATCCGCCGTTCTTCTTGGTAGATCTGGTATCTAGATTCTTTCTTTATGACGGGGGTTATTTCTTACACATATCCTAAATTGTACAGCATGACGATAGTCAGCCCGATAGCCGTAGTTCGGAATACCCAGCGCCATTGTTCGTCCGAATGCGTTCTAAATTCCAAATGAGTTGAGGTAAGACTCAAAACCTAAAATCAGGGCGCTTCTGATCAAACGGACCGCTGGAAGACCAGGATCTGAAAATCGATTTGTATCCATAGAGCAAGCAAGAGCTTGTTACCCATTATAATGATCATAGTACGACCCGCCAGGATCGCCGGAAGATGAGGATGGATAGATGGGACGGCGACGATCGTAACGCCTAAAACACACCTATTTTATCTAAAACTGATCTAACCGAGGCCCCGCGTCATAAGCCCGTCGATCAGCCGGCCGACGTAGAGTATCATAAGCAGTCTTCAGTTCGACAAAGTCTTTCGTCGCCTTCAAACGCTCATCATCGGATACGTGAACTCCATCCGGGTGAAGCTGAACATAATGATATATCGAGAAACAGCCGTTACCTTTTTCGACTTCTCATAGAAGGCTTGCTTGATCTCTTTTTGGGTGGCATCTTTCGGGACACCGAGCACTTCGTAGAACGAACGATGTCTGATAAGAAAATATAGATAACAATTTGTTAAAATATAACAATAGATTCAAGGGAAAGCTAGGTATAAACCCCCGTTTCTATCGTGAACCGGAATTTCACCATTTTATTCAGCCCACCATTGTAATTTTAGTTCCAGTTTTAAAAACACACGATTGCGAATTTAATCACTTGTACAAACCTTGTCGAGACAAATAGCATTTGCCTTGCAGGTGGGAGCAATTGACAAAATATCGCTTTCATCACACATCTAGGTCGGCATCTAATTCTTTCATCCATTTCTAGCAAAATTTCCCCAACATTGTGATATGATCAACATTGAATAGGCGGTCGAATTTCTTCACGGATAAAAATTTTATTATCTTAAAACGCCCTCACAAAAGGATGGGCATAAAAAGAAAAACTTTATGAAGACAAAGCGGGGATCACAGCAGTACAAGGGTTGTGCTTGAGCAGACGATGGGTGCTAGATAGTATATATATGCCGTTCTAAAAGAAAAAGATACTTTGACGAGCCGGCGACTAGATAGATATAAGAAAGCGAGTTGGGCATACGGGGATTGCAGGTCTGGGAGAAGACAAGCGAGTACATGTAATAAAATGATTAACAATGGAAAGCATCTAATCATAGACGAAGCAACCAGGGGGAAAAGCCTTAGAAATGGACCCAGTCGTATCCGTAATTGCGATGGTCGAGGTCGAATTGATTGACAACCTGAAAGTAGAAGTAAGAAATGGGTTCTTTAGGGGGGGGCTATTTCCATAGGATCTAGTCTAGTTATTCTAAAAAAGTTCAAAAAGTGCTTCTACAGCTTTTTACCATTCTTAGACGTAAAAACCTTAAAAATTACGATTAAAAAATACAAAGAATTAGTTTCCGAACAAATTTCAATTTTTAGACGTGTTCATGATCTTCTAAAGGGGTTTTCGATACGAAATATGACTAAATTTCATCAAAGGCGCCATTAAAACAGCTGCTATAACATTACCGGCTCGTAGGAACCCCTCGATAATGGCAAAGAACCTCGAAATAAATTAGAAATAATTAACGAACCTCTTCCATGAGACCCTGATGAATCCAGAGCTGTCGCAGCTTGTTGTACTGCTCCCTGTTCAAATGCAATGGGTTGCCGCGCCGGAAGCCGACATCCGTCTCGCCGAACTCGTCGACGTAGGGGGCCGCCTTCAGACAGCCACGCGTCTTCGAAGCCAGAAGCACGACTTGTGACTCGCGAATCCTGAAAAACGACTATGAAACGCCAGCAGCAGTGATTTTTACCTAAGGAAGATTCCCGAGTTTCCGGTGCAGTGCAGCATGTGATATTGGCAGGCGCCGAGCACCTCCTTCTCCTTGGCAACCTGAATTCCGGGTCAAGCGCCACTAAAGCGTACCACGTGTTTCTGGCAGCAGTAGGACTGGGAGCAGAGCACCTCCGAGCAAACCATACACATCGTTGGCACCGAAGCCGTCATTTCTTCCAGTGGGATTGAGGGGCAGCTAAAAACACAAAAAATAGCTAGCCAATAATTTAGAGACGTACCGGAACTTGGCGGCCACGTTGATGAGATCGGAGAAGTCGTCGGGGAGGTCGACGAGCAGTCTCGGGCTGACCGGTTGCCGGACGAGGTCGCCGATTTGGGCTTCGGGAGGCATAGCAGCTGACCACCTAAATTGGCTTACAGATTACATAAAAGGTACAGAATCGAGATGAACGGTGTGAACCAAGAGAAACGATTTCCACCCACATATCAAAGAGCCGATCCGTCGAATCGCCGTCCAGCAGCTCCACCAATGAAGTCGGCAATCCGAGATAGCGGCTCAGTGGTTCCAGCTCGTCCACCGAAGGGTCTGGAATAGAATCCACGTCAGTATTCTTCGAGCTCAAGATACCTTTTAGAGCCTCGGGCGGTGGGGTCATCGAGATCGAGAAGTACACGAGAGCGATCGGGCGCAACAAGTCCAGGACACCAGTGTTCAGGCGCTAAAACAGATAATTTTGAAATAGCACAAGCCTTCGAAATGGAGAACTAAATGGATTATATATTAAAAATTACCTCGGTCAGCCCGCGGACGTTCAACAGCGGAACATCCCGATGCACCAACGACCACAAGCCTCGAACCCGTTCCGCCGTCGGCGATTCCCCATCCTCTGTCTCCATCGGATCATCATCTTGGAAGGTGGCGATAATCTAAAGAAAAAAAAGGAATAAACAACGCCGAAGACGAAAAACCTGGAAGCAATGGGCGAGTGCGACGAGGCGGAGGATGTAGAGCTCATCGAGGCTTCCATCCGGCACCAAACCACGCATCGGGGTCACATGGGAAAAGCTCTGCTTCTCGCCATGCCACGTCCAGCCAATGCACATCATTAGCTCGATCTGAAAGAAGACGATTAGGCTTGAATACGTTACTATTATAGACGACACTACTGATCAGTATAACAATTCTCCGGTGTTCAAAAACATATAAAGTTTAAGAAATATGGTATCAACGTAGAAAAACGAACCGCTAGTGAGAGCATGTCAACGTGGAGAAGATTGAAGTTGGCTTCCTTGCCCTCCTTTCTCGTCGGCGTCAACCCCGTCAACTTCTAAAGGAAATTGAAGACTTCATTAAATACACCTTACCATAAAAATCGAGGCAGGAGTTGTCGACTCGCCGGTTGGTGACGACACGGCTGACGGCGACATCGGCGCCGTCTCGGATACGTTGCGTGACGTGCACGGCTAAATAAAATAAACCGGATGTTATCAAGCAGTTTACCTCTGGCGGCGGCGAGAGAAGAACTTTCAGCATTTGGGCGATGATTGTTCCGAACGGCTGCAGATTGCACGACAACAGGGCGGAGAGGCGCGAGAGGGCCAGGATACAGTCACGCTAAAATAAGCGTTAGTAGGATACGCGTGGGGTAGCTGCTCAATGATGGCCAAATTGTACCTGTCGTGTATTGAGGGCTCCAAACAGTGGCTTTCCCTCCTGCTTCAACGCCATTGCGATGGAGCGGGTGACGTGGGCGGTGCTCTTCCACACAGCTATCGCCGAGATGACGCCCTGAACCTGGTCGCCGAGGTCTTTCGCGTCGTAGCGCGCCTTGATGATGTACTTGGTGAAGGCACGCACGCTCTCCTCGTACTTCTCGAACGGGACGCTAAAATTTGGGTTTATTATTGGGTAAAACTTTCAATAAAAAAAGCTGCAAGCGCCCACATCCTCTTGATGAACTTGGCGACGACGGTTTGCGGGACGCGCAAAATCATGCCGATGACCGTGTTGGGGAGGCTGCTCAGCATCGTACCGAATTCGCTGGAAAAAAATCACGTATTTCTCTAGTTTGTTTCTCTGCTAAAAAACCTCTTCTTTAATTGAGCAAATGAGATATTTCTGAAAAATTCTTACCGTTTTGGAATGACCCTAGTGCTGGCTTCCGGCGAACCCGGCGAGGCAGGAGCAGCTTCTTCCGGGGCGACAATCGCCTGCAACGCCCGAACGGCTTCAGCAGCTTGCGCGGCGCCTTGCTCTAAACTCCACGATGCATCTGAGGAAGTGAGAATACCCAGCCGATCGCGGACCCTGTCAAATTCTTCGTTCGAGTCCGCGTCGGCAATGTTCATCGACGAGACGCTAAAGGGGAAATAAGAGGTAGGTAGATAAGATTCTGCTACCTCGGTACTGAAGAGCTCATCGCGCTCTCAATCTTCCCCGGAGACAACGGATCCCGTTCCACCGTCTGTTTCACCATCTCGTTGATGGCCCGCTCGGAATGAGATCTAAAGTTTAAGAATTAGAAATCACCTATAAACGCCTTCGAAACCTTTTCCTGGAATGCGACTTGAAGGCGGCCTTGACGGGCGGGGCGTTGACGATCTGGCCGAGCCGTTCCACCCATTCGTCGAATTCTTCGTGGAGCTTTGGGCGATTCTCGGAAAAGCCGTCGATCTTGAGGAATTGCATGGCGGGCACGAGGGGCATGGCTGTGTTGGAGAGACGTTTGCACAGAGGGCACAGGTATTCTCCAGAATCGGTGTCGATCTGAAAAACCGCGAATTACAAATCTTCCATTAGCGATTTTCCAATTTGGCAATAAAAATTAAATCAATTTCTCTAGCTCAACGGTGGTTCTGGTGCATTAGCGGGTGACTTCCTTCGACTAATTTCCACAGTAATAAAACAAACAATTATTATAGTTTTTAGAAGATTCCGACTACTAAAAATTACACAAAAACACACCATTAAAGGTTAAAAATGGAACTTTTAACACTTTTGAAACGTTTGACCAGAAAGACAACTTTTTGCAAAATCACACTACTTTTTATTCTTAGCAACTTTTAAAGCTCAAAAGGGTGGTACGATTAAAATAACCGATTTTCAACCCACCATCTTTTGACTGTATAGCATCTGCTGACGATTCCGAGCCCGATCTCTTTGGAACAGCGAATCGGCAAGGTTATGGTAGCACTCAAAGTGCATCGTATGGCTGCACGTCGAAGCGTCAATTCCCACCGACAGCGCCGCGTTCACCAGATGGACATCAAGATCATATTCACGGGATCTGGCCGTTTGCGAGAAGAGGTGGGAACGCTGGACAAAGGCAGCACAGACAAAAGGTCGTGCTTTCTCGTCCAACGGCTCCTCCTCTTGGCACAGAATACATTTGACGATGCGCGGCACAATCTTCTCGGCACGGACACGGCCGGGGCCGATGCACACTGGGAATCCGTCAACGTCAGAGAGCTTCGTGATGATATCCTCATCCTCGTCGCCCAGCCGGCGTTCGGCCAATTCCGGATCAGCGGTCGAATCACTAGCGGTGCCCTCCTGCTCTTTGCGCATCGAGTCGGTGAAGTTCTTCTGAAGCTTTTGCATCTTCTGCAGGGCGGCGGTGCGCATGGCTTGGGCTCGTGCAGCGCGCTTTTTCTTGGCCTCCTCCACGTCCTCGACTTCGGCCATTTGGACGTCTTCCGGGGGAGCTTCATGGGAGCTGTCGGTCTTCTGGGCCCGTTCCACCTCTTTGTATTTCTGAAGGGAAGATTTTGGAGTCGAGTTGGAAATTATACCTGAATCGTCCAGGCGAGCAATTCTCCATGCGGGTGAGCTTCCGGTTTTCCGTTGAGGGCTTCAAGAGCCTCGAGCAAGTATTCCTGAGAGGGTACGTTATCGAAGGGCGAGTCAAATTTTTGCTTAAACGCGACTTTTAACGTTATAAATAGTAGAAAAAAATACACAAAACAGCGATTTTCGATAGGAAAACACATAGGAAAAATTCGGTAAGCTCTCAACCCCCCCCTCCCCCATCCGATAACTCGACAGAAGCAAAAAAATTTTCGCCAATTACCTGTTCAGCAGCAGCGAGGAATCCAAAGTTTTCTTGGTCGTCAAACTGCTCATGCAAGCCCATCCCGATCAGGAAAAGGGTCTAAATTTTGGGGGTTGGAATGTAATTTCTATCCTTACCCTATGCAAAAGCCGGTCCGACGAGAAGCGGCTCCGTTTCGCTGTCCGCTCCAGGATGACGCGGTGAAGACGAACAAGCAGGGTTGTCGACAAGATCTCTTTCACGGGCCGGAAGAAGCGCATGAACGGGATCAACTTCGGGGGAGCACCAGCAGCCAAAGCCCTAATTTGGAATACGAAAAAACTATGAGCTTCACAAACCAATCCTGACTCTTGGCCTTCCGCTCACACTTTGGCCTCGACTTTTCTTGGTACAGCTCAGCTTGGCTCATGTCGGTTTTACTAAATAAAACTATAGGATCAAGGAATGGAGTCAAAACCTGTAATGGTAGAAAAACGGGGTGTAGTACTCGAGCATCTCCTTTTTCAGGTGGAATGTCCCAGCAGTGGCGGGCGTTGGCTTTCTAAATGGAATTTACATTTACGGTCGTTTAGGGCATCAAATGGATCAAGAAAAAAAAATACCTAAAATCAGCCACTTTTTTCACGGCATGCTCGATGGATATTTTCTCGTAGTGCGATCCGTAAGCCAACCGTTTGTTGATCTGAACAAAAAAAAATAAAGGTGCAAAAACTAGGAATTACCGCGCTGAACTGCATGGGGCCGCTCGCCAACACGTGGATGAGCTCCCGGTGCAACTCCTCTTCCTGGGTGCACTCGCCGACGCCGGGGATCCAGCGTTCGCCTAGGGAAAAATTAAAAATATCAAATGCATCATTCATTAAGTATTACTAAAATTAACAGCAATTAAATCAGAGTGAAATAAAAGATAATCTTTTCAAACATACCTGTGATCAAGATCAACGTGTGCATCAGGTCCTCGGCCAGCGAGACCAGACATTTCGAATTCTCTTCCCATTCGGCTTTTTGCCCAAATTCGTTGCTTCTAAAAAATTTTATTAGAATATTGCTTATACATACATGATTTTTTGATTAAAAATAAAAAGGAATCGTAACTACCTGGGGGTACCATCAAAGTTCTCGTCGGCCCATTTATCAAGACTGTAACGGCAGAGCACATGGAGCAGAAAGCGCACCGGTGGCGTCATTGCCGCACCGACCTAAAAATCCATAAAAAATTCTAACTTTAAAAGCGCACCTGTAACAAACGCAGATCCCGATCGTACATCTCAGTGCGGCAGAGCGGCGAATAATAGTTGTGGATCTGGTTGACAACCGAGAAGCCGTTGCGGCGCCAAAGTCCCGACGCCGTCTGCGAGCAGAGCACAAAGATTCTGAAGAGACAAAATTTTCTCAAAAAAAAATAATTTTTGGGGAGCTTTTCACTTAAAATAAATAGGATTCGTATTTGCTAAGGACTCAAGAAACTTGCGAACCGAAATTCTTGAGCAAATCAGCCTAAAAGTAGTAAAAACCTAATTTATCATTTTGTTTGAACTTAATTCATTCATATTTTAAAATTTAATATCTTATCTATGGATTGGCTATACAATACAGATCATGGTAGCATTCAATTGCCCTTAAAACACTAAAATCAGATGAATAAGGTTTTGAGTTTTTCCAACCTTAACGGCGGCTCATACAGATTGACGTCGAGCTTCTTCAGGGTGGTCAGGATGAAGTGTTCCTCTTCGGTGGGCGATCCAGGCCGTTCCGATTGTTGCACATAGTAGAGGAGTTCTCTAAAAATAAATAAGAACTTAGATAGATTAGGGGGATCTGGGCACCTGTCTCCATTGAAAAGGGCAGCGAGGAAGCGATAGAATGGCTGGTGGATGGAGACGGAGCCGTGAAGGATGTCGAACACCGGGATTACGGTCTCGAATTCGCCAACTAAATTGAGGTAATGAGGGAATTTTCGATAAACTTAAAGTGGTAGCGCGGACAAATGTCGATCGATTACGCGAGGGAACGGGGATTTCTCTGCGCCTCTCGCCTGGACGCGCTCTCTCCCCTGGTTGGCAATTTGCCAGCTGTTGACCCCCTCCCAGACGGGGGATCAAAAGATGCTTCCTCACGCGCTTTAAAGTTGTATAGGAGCGTGTTTAATTTGGCTTAATAAGCTCAAAAATACTAGAAACTTCAGTGCTTTTTCTAAAAAAGCTTCAAAAAGATACCCTTTACGTAGGTCTTCGTTTCACCCGTCTCTTTCTCTTCCTTAGGCGGCATTTTGTTAGCGCATGCATCGAGAGCCATCATGAAGACACGCTTGTGAACTACCGGCTGAAACAAACCGAGATCTTCAGCTAACGATAAAATAGGCTTACGTCCGACAGTGCCCACTGGATGATCAGGGAGATGAGCTCCTGCTGGCGCAGCTGGATGTTGAACGCCGTCTCCCACTCTTGCTCCCAGGTCTGATGCTCGCCGACTTGGCGCTTCACTGCGTCCATTCCCTATAATAGCGAATTTAACAAACGCATTGAATTAGTTTCAAAGCGTGAACGTTCATTTCGCCTATTTCTGTTGTAAATGCTAAAAAATTTAATAATATCGTAATTACTACAGCGGATTTAGCGATTTAAATTTAAAACCACTAATCTTTATCCCATGTATTTTTGACAAAAATAATAATGTTTTAAAAGTTATCTATAGCAAAAAATAGCTAAAAAAAAGACCTAAATAAGATAAGCCGGCGAAACCGAAATGAAACAGAAATCGGCGAAATGAAAATACACAAAATCAAAATAAATCCGTTAAAACAAAAACAAATACTAAATTAATTATCTCACCTGCATGAACTTCAAAAAACCCAGAAATGCCTCGACACCGCAAACGAATCCATTGCGCAGCTCCTCCGTCCACTCGTCCGGCTTCGGCACCTGGCCCACCAGATAACTAAAAACATTATTTTTTCGAGATATCAATAACTCACTAAACATCCCGAATCATATGCATGGCGCGCTTGAACTTGGCGGTGAACTGGCGCTTCGAGAAGTCGAAATGGTCAACTGAAAGCAGGAAGTACAGAAAATACCAAGACTCACCACCTGGATAATGGACATTGTCGGTGGAGCGGGCGTGGTTGATCAGCGTCTGGAAGATGTGCACCATCGCCTTTTCCTCGGCGATCAGCCGACGGGCCAGGGAAGTGACGGTGAAGAATTGGACTGTTAGGGAGATGATGGATACCTAAAAACGGGTTATTTTCCAAAATTTCGAAATTGGATAATGTAGAAACAATAGTGCCGAAGTTTCAATGTGTCGAAATTCTTCAGTGTCGAAATTTTTGGTATAGTATTTCGGAAATTTTCTGGGACATTGTTCCTTGCAAAACACAGCTATTTTGAATTTCGACATTATGATAAAAAAATAGACCCACATCGTGCTCATGATCGTCATCACAAAATTCCACATACAGATGGTCGTACAACTAAAAAAGGAGTTTCGAGTGGATTCTTCTTCTTTTCTCACAAATAAGAACATGCGACTCAAGAGATGCTTCAGATCCAAGTGCATCAACACCGTTTTCATCAACATTTGCTGGAAGCAAGACCGAGCGGCTAAAAGGTAATTTTAGTAATGGCAGCATTAAGCTGTCTTACCTTTCCACAATTTACAGTCGTTGTACATAAAGCGCTCGGCCAGCTTTTCCCGGCCATCCTGCCCAAAGACACCGCCGGGACGTTCAGGCTGTTCGCCGTCCACCAAAACTTCTTCATGCATCAGCACTTCGCCGATGATCCGACCCAATGGGGCTAAAAATTAAAAGTTACGACGGTGTAATTATACTCACGAAAATGCTCAATCTGTTGGTTCAACCACGCAAAGATTTGAAGCGCATTCGATTGGTGGGCAACGAATGTTGACTCGTAGACCTGGAATATGGTTCAGACAGGCTCTTTTCGTTGTTTGTCAACAAAAAGAAGCTAGATCAGGAAAAACCCACCTTCACGACCAAAGGCCCCTGTTTCTCCGTGCGACGACTCATATCTCGCTGGGTGCGCTGCTAAAAAGGGGTGATTAAACGAGCACTAGTGGATCGGGTATCTTCAATACGAAAAGCTTCCAGAAAAGCTCAAAATTGCCTGTTCCATTGTCCCCTAACGCCTTTTAACTTTTCGATTTTTATCGTTTCTGCTTCTTTTTTTGGTCGATTCGTCTTAACAGCCATGAAAATCAAACAATTCGTATTTTCGCAAAAAAAACGCACAACAATGGCATCCCTGGCCCGCTCGCAGCTGGATTTTGTAGAAGCCATGACGGTGCTGCGCCCCTCCCTGTCGACGATCGTCGCCAACATTTTGGCCTGATTGTGGTTGCAGGTAACGGCTATTTCGAGCGCCCGTATGACCTAAAAGAAAGAATAGGAAAAATAGTTAAAAATCTTACATTATCGTATGTGTGCGTTTCATCGTTGAAAAGAACACATTGGTAGGCGGGCGAGAAGTCGGAATTGCTGAAAATAGAGTTCAAAACCCAATTTTATCTGACAATGATCTTTGATTCTTTGATCTGCGACCCAGATCAAGCACAATTCTGACGCAATTATCACAAAAGACCGCGCAGCTTCCGGTTAAACACGAAAAAACAGTCTGCCAACCCGTTTTCCGGCTATTAGAAAAACCAAAAAAACGTACCTAACCGCTACAGCCGGATAGGAATCAGCGTGTGGCCAGCACAACACATTTGTCGCGTACTGCAGCAGCACCTTCGTCAGACCGTACAACCGGGTGTGCAGTTCCTGCGGCAACCCCTTCGTGCTAAACGGGGTTGTGCGATGGAAATCACGCTTGCCTGGCATTGTCCTGATTTTCGCCAACGTCGTGGTCCGTGCAGGCATGCCCGTTGCGCCAAGCATCTCTATCCCCACAATCACAATAGCCGACCCCGCCGGAAGTGTGCATCTAAGCGACGATGTACATTGGCCAGAAATCTCTCTCCCACTGTATATTTATGAGCCTTATGGATGGACTTGTTGAAGCAATTCCGGCAGAGCACACATGTAGCGTCTTGGGCACATTCCCTGAGTGAAGGCTTTGCAAATTAGAAAACACCCTCACTTGCAGGAGTAGGTGGCTTCACCGCATTTGAAGACGTGACCACAGATTTGGCCAGGCTGACGATCTGCTGGGCTGGTGCCTTCAAAAGAAAATTCTTTGGTCGGCTCTGCGATAAAAAAAGAGACAAATTCGAGAAACCATACTCACCCGCTTCTTCATTCAAAGGCAGTAGCGAAGCGGTGGCGGTTTCTATGTTCTGTACATAAGCGGCTGCGAGGGGGCGAAAGATGGCCGAATCTGTAAAAATAATCATTACTTCTGATCTAATTTTGTCCCTTTTATAAAAAAGCCCATTTTTCGTCTTCTGTGATTTTCGGGACCCTAAAAAAGTCCGCAGCAAAAAAAACTCACTAATGGCCTGCTCGTCAATACTCAGTTCCCACGGCGAATCGGGATTTGGCGTGTAGAGCTTTGGGCAGTGGTTTTGCCAGTGTGCGTAGAGTAGATCCCGAACTCGAGGCCAATCGCTTTGAGCCGTCGCATCGACGAGCTCTGTCAGCATCTGTAACAACAATAGAATGCAAGTTTAGCCGGTTTCCATGCTAGAAAAATGGAAAAGAAACGAAAACAAGCGAGTAAATTCGATATTGGGGCTAAAAATAAGCGTTGCTTTTAGAGATTAGTCGGCGAGAGATTGTCTCGATTGGATTGGGAGCCTTTTAGCCACCAATTTTCTGAAGTTAGGCAACTTTTCGCGGATTTCACATAGAAGAGAAGAAAGAGACTCAGTCATGCCCACTCAATAGCCCGCCGGAGCGCGCTATAGCGCCCAGAGAGGCCTGTGTAAAAACAGCTGTGGATAGCCACATGGGGCCCAGGGCTTGGATACCAGTGCAAGTTATCGGTTCAATTGTTCGCATATAACCTTTATTAGCTCGACTTGGCCATTGAATCCGATTGTAATGCAGGAAAGACTCGTAAAAAAGGGGGAAAACTAATAGGAACAAATCACAGGAAATACGGGGAGACTATGCGATCAGGACGAACACGATCTTCTTCCGCGACGGCTTCGAAATATTTGATCTAAAAAAAGGAATCTGCTTTAAACTGGATAGCGAACCTCTCGACGTTGATCAGCGGCAATTGCGAGAACCGACGCCGTGTTACCGCAACGATAGCAGTAGTTAGGGGCTGAAATCAGGACATGAAACGAATTCAGGGCATTGTTACCTGACCACACGTTACAGAGCATTTCGTTAAACATATATCGAAAGCCTTCGTTCACTAATTGATGAGAACGGCATATCAATGACAGGTCGTTGGACTGAAGGAACTCTTTGGTGGCACTCTCGCCAAACACCTGAAATTGACGTAATTCATCAATACGACAAGACGAACCCAGCCAGCCCCTCGCGGATTGATCATCCAGGAATCTTCGTCTTCCTCAGGATCCGACCAGACAAGATCGCAGAGAGCGCCCTAAAATTAAATTTACCAAAAAGCAATAATTCCTTACAGTAGATGGCACTTCGCGGCGTCGTTGTAAAACGGCAATCTTGTCGAGCGTCCGGATCTCTGGCGAAAGGCCACCGTGCACGCACATGATCTGGTCTCCAACGAGCGCGGTGACCGGAAGCAGATCGAAGACCTAAACGTACGATCATATACCAGGAATGAAAAATTACATCGCAACAGGTTCGCCAAACCACTGGGTGTCCATATTTTTGGTTGCATTCGTCGTAGAAGCCGTAAACCGAGGAAATACGGCGCGATTCGTGATTTCCTCGCAACAAGGTAACATGATCGGGGTACCTGAAAATGTGAACTTTGTCTTGTAAGAGCCTCCTCACCTCAGCATAAGGCAAAACAAGTATGTCAACGTCTCTAGCGAATAGTGCCCTCGATCCACATAATCACCCATAAAAACGTATTTCGTGTCCGGCACTTGACCCCCGACGCTGAAAACGAATAGTTATTGAGAGATTTAGAGGCTATTCGCATAAATAATTTCTCCTGCACCAACCGAAATAATTCCAACAAGTCATAGAATTGGCCATGGATATCGCCGCATATCGTCGCCGGCAAATCGACTTGGACAATATTCGGGACGTGTACAAGTCGCTCGATAAGACTGAAAAAGATATAATATATTCTCTTGGCGACGCCAATCATAGAACACTTTGGAAATGTTTTCTTTTTGGAAGTCAACTACTACGAGAAGCGGCGGTGGAATGACAACCACAAAAATTTTCACTGATACCTATCGCAAAGTGACATCATGTCTTCTTCGGGCAAATATCTACAACTCTTCACGCTCTCTATCCACGCGTCAACGTCAAGGTTTCGCCCACGCGATTTCACAAACGACACCCCTGGCGCTGGATGGGCATCTAAAATCAAGCTCTTTTTTAAATCAACACCAGTTACCAGCGTTTGAAGTGTCGGCATGTGAATCGTCCATGGTTTCATGTTCAACCATTTTTACAGGCTTCAGGGGCGTGATTGCAGAAACGGCCTTCGAAAACTTCGCATGCAGTTGCGGCGACGTCGTGCGCCAATCGACGCTGGAATCAGAGAAGGGTGGAGTAACACAGAAAGGCATCAAGGGCAAAAAAAGAAAAAGAGGGTCGAGGCGAAGAACGAAGAGAAGTGCATTAGGAAACGTGTAGAAAGAGCCGAAATGGAAAGCCAAAGAGGATAAGCAATGAATCTCCGAACGTTGATTTTCCAGGGTTTTGCTGTTAGGCCCTCCTAAGGAAGGAAAAGTTAGGCCGAAATTACGTAGGACTTCTGCAAAAAGCTAAACACGGATTATCAATATCTTGGAAAATTTAAACGGCATGGTTTTGGACTTTCAAAGCTAGAAATTTCAAACGGGGCCCCGGGCGACAGGACCCGCGGGAAATTGAACCGATCACGAGAGGCTAAACCGGAAAGGGAAAATGGACAAGGAATTTCAAGCAGTCGGTTGGTTTTTTTTTGGAAATCACAATTGGAGAATTCAAATAAAAGAAAATCTTTGATGGAAAAAAAAAAGAAAATAAACCTATAAAAAACTGATCCGAAAGCTACGCGATGAACCAGTGTACGTTTCCGCAACGCTACGGTAATGGTCCCAGGAGGACATTTTTGTCCTATTTTCCTTTTCAGTTTTGATTTTCTGTTCTCATTTCTGAGTTTTTTATTCTATTTCTTCATTTCTGTCTGTTCATTTTGCTCTGTTTCTATACATAATACCCTGGTTTAGCAGATGGACCCCAAGGCCCCAATGATCAACCAAAAGTTGGAAGACTTTTTACAGAGCTCTGTATGTTTATTCCTTTCAACTAAGCTCTTATTTTAGGATATGCGAGTTCCTTGCATGGAATGTTCGGAAGAAGAGCGAAAGAAGAAAATCGGAGGTTGGCGGCTAACAATGCTCGTGGAGCACATTGCGATCCGTCATCGGGAATCCGCACGGTCAGTTTATACGTTCGCTTTTAGTTTTCTTATTTTCAGGCAGTACTTCACTCATCACTGCACATATGAGGGTTGTAAGGCCAAGTTCGCCCTGCCTGTCTACGCGTGCCTTCATGACCACCGGGAATTTGTAACTTTACGTTTGCAATTTAATCTGCTGATTCAGGTTGTGCCAACGGACTTGATCGATGGCTTCAAAAAAATAGCTAAAAGCGGTACGGCTCAAAGGGATGAACAGTATGTCTTTTCTGCTCTCAAAACCTTTGTTTAGTGCCTATCAGGATGAACTCTACAAATTGGTCATCAAGTCTGTCTTGCACAGTTTTGTGAACAAGCTTGAGGGAGTAAGTCTCCGTTTCCGATGCATCGTCTTTAGTCGGTGTCTAAGCAAGGACAAGGCGTGAGCGGAAGGAAGAGGCTGCTAGCTCCTGACATGGTATCGGCAATAAAGATTAATTTCCCATTTCTTTAGTCGCGCACACCACCACGAGTTGACGATGTGGATGGGAGCTACAGCCTCAGGACCCCAGTATACGGCGAAGAACTCCCGACACGGCTTTCTTCATATTCGGTATTTTCTTGTCCACGACATATTTTATTGCCTGCAGCGACTTTCTTCTACTGCACACTCATCGATTATCGAATCGCCACCACATGGATATTCGTCAGTACCGTCCCGCTTCAGTGCTCAAGTAAGGGTTTCTTTTTCTGCATATATTTGTATGTTATAATAGCGAAACAAAGACCTCAAGCCTGAGCGCCCGAGCTACACGGCCAATAATTATCGTGATGTGCCGGCCAAGCTTTCAACTGACTCACCGTTGCGTAATCGGCGTCCTTCGCCAATTCAAGCTCGCAGCACCCATCACAGCGTAGAATTTTTCGTTTGCAAATCATATCCTCTTAGTCTCGCGGCAATGCAAACTCCCGTGCCGGATCGAGCAGGTACCCGGACGCACCGAGAAGCCCTGGCCGTATGCCGGTATTAACAATTTTCATCGAGTTTGTTTCTTTAGGTTCCGAGGCCGCAGTTAAAAGATATGACGGGGCCACAACACATCAACTATCCCCCACCGCGTTCCCCCGGGCGCTCGCCTATGCCGCTGCGTTCGCCGTCGGCTAGCTGGGACATAGATCCACCGAGCCGTTTCGCCGGAATCACTCAACCGAAAAAGCCCAGGGTCGAAAGCGGAGGTAAAATACTATTCCTTGCACGAATTGTTGATTTAGGTGGCGACATGCGACGAGCGGACCGGGAGGCCTCCTACGACCGATCCGAAAGCGATTAATAACCACATCAACATATTATTTATTGTTTTCCGTTAGATAAATTTGCAGTTCGATAAAAAATTTGCTATAATAACGTTTCGTGTCCTGTGCATCTCGCAAGCGTTACCTTCTGCTATCACACAAAATCTTACATAGCAATACAGGGTAAAATGTCTGGCGATGAATCGGCCGAAGCGGTGCAAAACTCGGCGGAAAATTTGAACCAGCCGGACGTTGATCAACCCAAATCACGATGCCGGCCCGTGCCCAATGGCTTCTTATTCTTTGTGCGTGAATGTTTCGCGGAACACAGTCGGCTTCAGCCCGAGAACGTAATGGACGTGGGTAGTATGGCCAAGCAATTGGCATTGCGCTGGAAGGCTCTACAACCAGAGCTAAAAGCATCCTACGCGTCGAAGGCCAGGGTGCGGGTAGTACACCACAAAGAAGCGGAGAAGCCCGTTCCTGCCGAAACTCTACAGCCTCCACCAAAGCCACCCGGGAAACCGATTCATGTGACGCCGTTTCAAGTATTCGTCAGCCAAATTCAAGAAACTGTTCGGCGAGAGATGCCGCGGTGGACCACCGCCAAGGAATTCATCAAGGAATGTCAAAGCAGATGGGTTGCACTGGAATATCGTGCGCGTCGCGGATATATCGAAATGGCATTGGAAATCAAAAGGAAGCAAGAAATGGAGCGTGAGGAAACGGACGAATGTGAGCCTGCATCATCAAAGGCTGAGGACAAATCTGATTCTCCTCCTATCACTATCTAAGATTGTAAATTTTTATACTCGTGTCTTTGTTGCATGTACTAGATAAATTGCTTGTGATCCTTCTGAAAACATCATTATGTGTCAAAGCTTTCAGGGACATGTTGCAATGGCAGTTGCCCGGGAGATGCACCGTTGTGAAGCCGAGTCTTTTACTAAAGGGGTGGATGTAATTTTGAGCGAAGGGGGATTACCGTATCCGGAAATGCAGCTGCAGCGAAGCTCGTTAGCCTGTTTGCAGTCGCCACGCTTGATGTCAACGAGTATCGCCGCAGCTTTCGCGGCAACCAACTTCATCGGTTGATAGCTCGCTTGGGCAAGCGCGCTGAACTGGTTGGCGACCGGCGGAGATGAGGCGCAACCCATGAAGACGGTGACGGCATCAGCACAGGGTAGCAGCGTTTCATTGGATTCACATGCTAAAGGTTATTTGATTATTTCGTTAAAATGTTTTACGGCCGATTTTCAGGATCACTTTGAGGTTGTGTTCCCCTTGGGTTTAGCTTTTGTAATCAGGCTTGAACATGGCTTCACATAATTGAAATCTGCCTGAACAGCCCCCTGAACGGTCTTTTGACGGTTCAATTCAGCTAGGTTTAATGTGGCTGAAGCTCACTTGGTACTGAAGTTTTTTAGCGTGAAGATATCTAGATAAACTGTAGCTATTTGAGAGGTCGGGTTTTTTAAACGGTACTTTTCAAATAGGCGGGGGGGGGGAGATTTAGGCGGGGGGGCAATCTGCGTATACCCCCTCTGCCTATAGGCCCACTCCCCCCCCCCCCGCCTAAATGATGCCAAAACGTACCCTGATTGACGGCGGCAAAGCTGGCCGTGCACCGGTTCATCGCTTCAATGCTGGTGACGCAATCTCCATCGGCCGTCTCAACGAATCCTAAACTGGGTTTGTTCCTAAATATCGCCCTCATTTCTTTTCCTAATTCTTAAATCTGATTGCTAGATATTTATCTGACCTGTTGGGCAATAGCAGTCGCCAGCATCGCAAACATTAACCGTTTTTGCGCTGCCGGTTCCTGAAAATTTATTGGAAGCTTATTGGGGGCTTTGCCTTGAGCCGCCAAGCACGTAAACTTTTTGACTTGGACGCATTGTTGGGTGGTGGGTAGCCGATTGGTGAGGCAGGCTGATATGATATTACGATCTAGCGCCAACAAAGTTCACATTTAGCGCTAACAGCGCAATCGGCGGTGGCTTGGCTTTTCTGGACGCAGCTGCCATTGTAGGAGCCGCGATCGTCATAACCACAACTGAAATTTTCAGGTTTTTCAGACACAAGATTGGATTTTTTCGGTGCTTTCCCATTATTGGGGGACCATTTTTCTTTCTTTTACCATTTTATTTTTCTAGGATCATATTTTTGAAACGTGAATAGTGGAAGTGTTTCTAAATTTTATTTTACTATTCTGAAGGGTGAAAACCTCACAGATTTTTATCAAAAAATATATTGATTTTCGACCAAAAATTCACGGTCTTTTACCAAACTTTCATTTTTTTGCAAGTTTGCGGATATTTTTTTCTAGTTGAAATATAGTTATATTTTGCTTAAAGGTTATTAAAAGCTACCTATTAATTTGCTAGACATCCAGAATTATACAAAAAAATGTCGGTGATGCCCCCCCCCCCCCGATAATGCTAAAGTCGGACGTCGGAAGTGATTACGGACAAGCAAACCGGCGATGACTGGTGTATTGTCTGCTCGTTGATGCTCAATTTACCGTCAACGCACGAGAATTGCCGCGCCACGCCTGAAAGATATTGCGGAAAAAAAATTGAGACTGCCATCTGTCGAGTAGGCTTCCAGGTTTTTGCACGAGTTAATTAGGTCATCGGCGCCCTTCGGTGAAACTGAAAAAGTCTTTTTTAAGCTTCAAAGGTTTAACCGACTTGTTACAGCACCGGTCAGCCGTTCCTGAAGCTGCTTCATACAGTCTGACGTCATCTGGAAGTAATTCAAAGCTTTGGCTACCCAATCTATAGCGCTGAAAATCGTTCTGGCTATTTTTTCTTACTTGAGCCTTTGGGCGGCACTGTTGGGTGGACGCGTAGAGAACCTCGTCGGTGCCGCACACGCAGTTTTCAGCATTCTAAAAAGCTCGGGGTTCTTCAGGACTTCTTTCAGACCTCTTCGCATCGTTTCACCAGTGTCACGTTCGTCTTCACGCCAAGGCTAAACGTGTCGCCTAAAATAAGATAAGCTGAAATGAGCATTTAGTAATCTTCAGACGATTAGAGGTATACAAACCAGGCGCTCCCGTGATGATGCAGCCCCAGAAGATGCTCACGAAACCGCAATCTGTTGAGACTTGGCTCGTCGGGCATGTTGCAACCGCTGAATTTTTGGTTCTTTCGCATTACCGGGGGACCAACTTTTTTCCTATAAAAACAGTGGACATTTTTCTAAATGAGTTTTCCCACTATGCTTAAACGTGAAAACTTTACAAATTTTTTATGAAGAACTATAAACATATAGATTTTTCCACCAAAAATGGCCAAATTTTGACCACAATTTCAATCTGTTCAAATATTTTAGATAGTTTTTCCAGTGGAAATACGGTTAATTTACTAAAAACACTACCAAAACAGTTCCGATTCAGTTACTAGACATGGATCGACCTTTACAAAAAGGTTCCCCCCCCGATAATGCGAAAGAACCTAGTAATCTATTCCGATACCTAGATTTGCCAGCTGAGCGATCAAAATCAGAACGGACAGCATCGGGGCGAATACGTTGAATGGGTTATCGTTATTCTACCGTGGGCGGCTTCACGTTTCTCCCACCATTCCCCCTCACATATCGCCTGTTTTCCGGGGGAACGCCGAAATTTATTGCCCGCAGACGTGAGCTGAACTATCTTGTTGTGCAGGTCGTCGAATTTTTGAGGAAGCTTTATTGCTGGAGGTTGAAGAGAGGTTATAAGTTATACGTTCAATTTTATAGATGTAACCGGAAATGCGTCGCGTGTTCGTCGCGGGTTGCTGCTCCAGATGAAAACTTCTTGACTACATATAATAAGTTTCCAGATTTTACAGGCAGAACTGCCGATTCATTATCGCTTGATTCGACATAGAGATCAATTTTTTAAAACACGCAGCTCGAAATCGACAAAAAGTTTAGTTCTCGATGTTTTAAAGTAATTTGTTAATAGCCTAACCGTGTAGGCAACAAAGTTAGTTTTTTGCATCAATGTTTCGGTCAAAAATGTTAGTAAAAATCCGATTTTCCGACCAAAATTTCAGATCAAATCGATTAAAAATTATGTTAAAGCCCCATTTTCAGCCACTAGAGAACGTGGTTCCCTGGCAAGAATTCCTTTTTTGTAACTTTTTCCGCCGCATTTTCCAAATTTTCTTTCGTTTCTTTTACTTTGACCCTTTTCGGGTTGCTATTCTTATATTTATTGTATGCCACTAATTGCGCCGCCAGTTTCCGGGGCTTTTATGTAATTTCAATACCCTAAACGCTGACCCATTTTTCGGATTGACACCCGTGGCGTGTAGAGGGTGGGCAGACGGTGTGAGGGTAGAAGGAGGAGATGAGGGCTCAATGGTTGCGCAAGGCAAGAAAAGACAGACAGACACACAACGAACGGTATATTTATTCGGCGGGGGCCAGAGAATGGAAATCGAGGAGGACGAGAGGGCCCAAGGGCCATTCATCCCACAGTGGCCGCGATGACCCAGATGCCCCCCGCCGGGCTCATTGCCCCCCTCTTCTTTTTCTTCTTTTCCCTTTTTTAGGAGTGGCAAAAGAGGGCCCCCCAGTGCTATATTTCTGCAATTTTACCCCTTGACCCATCGGACGGCATCAAAGGCCAATGAAAGGAATTGCGGGGTGCTGAAAGAGGGCCCACAAAAGATTACGGGGCTGGGCACTGGGACGGATTGTAGCAGGGCGTAATTTTGGGTATCGGCATCGATTATTTTAGCAGATGTTTGGTATACTAAATTAATGGATTTACGGTTTTTCCGACAGTTTTCCGGCACCTGGCCCTCACCCTGAAAATTAAAAAAAAACCCAATAGGAAGCTGACTGCAATCTACAAAGCTATTTTCCAGGCCAAGCGAGCTTTCAAATTTACGGGTAGCCAGTGTTTAGTTATAAAACGCTCATCAAAACTTATAAAAAGTTTTACTTTTTGTTCAACATGTTCGAATTTTCAAAAATTTTTTAACATATTTTTGTAACTTTTAGCAATCAAAAACTACGAAAAACTTTATAAAAATACGACTACGTACTATTAACAGGCTTACAGGTACCAAAAATCAGTTCCCCCAGCTAAGAGTGTAGTACCTAAAGTGTATCCTTAAAAGTACACGCTCAGAAAGATATTTTTGCTTTTACCGTTTTAACCTGTATTAAATATAGCACAAATGTTAACGCGTTCGTATTTACGCGCGCGTTCCCGCCGGCATCCCGCCGATTTTTGCGGAAATCCCGTAAAATTGGCGCTAATCGCTGCGCGCAAGGGGTGGGTGGGGGATGTTGCGTGGTAGAGTGTCAACGGCAGATGTGTTGTAATGTGGTTTATGATGACGGATTGTAAGGAGGGGTTAGTGGGGAGGAGGAGGAAGGAGTATTATGCAATAATGGGCCGGACGCCAAGCCGTATTAGAAGTGGGGGAGGAAAGGTCCTTAGAAAGCTCCACAAAATCTTACGGTAAAATGGCCTGAAATTCAGTCCAAAAACTGATTTTCAATTTTCCGATGGTGTTGAAACTTTTTAAGGACCTGGAAAATACAGGGTATCCAGAAAAACCCTCATATCTCGGGTGGGGTAGTCGGATCGTAATAGTTTTTATAGCATTCGAAAGCCCAGAAAACATCGCGGTATTTTTCATTTTGTCGAAATATAATTTTTGCGAAATCTCAATTTGTCGAACTGTTCCTAAATTTCCGAAGTCCGAGGCCGAAAAAGCGTGAGTGTTCAAAAAAAAAAAATACGGAAAACCCGCCGTTTTCTGGGTTTTCGAATTACCTAAAAAAGTATTTAATTCGACTCGCCCATACCGAAATCGTCGACGTTCTTTCGTGACACCCTGTAAGAATTAAAATCAGACCGCAAGCGTTCATAAAATTTCTGAATTAGTATGGAAACCAGGAAATAAGGGAGGTATACCGCAAAATCAACGTTTATAGGTTTTGGAGAGAGATTCTAGTAGGGGGAGGAGGAGATCAAAAAGAGGCCCGCAAACCCTTTCGGGCGAACGATCAATTCTCGTTGAGGCATCTCGGCGTACAAGTATTCAACCGTAATCAACTAATATAAAAAGGAGGGGCTTTAGGGGGCGAAAAATAGAGGCTAAAATAGTTTTTGTCATTTCGCGGGCGCATACAATAAAATTTTCGTAAAATCGTCTCCAGGATAGAACTCTTCTCTGGATTTTGTGGCGGGATAACGGGGGGGGGAGAAAAGTACGCTATAAAATTGTTACTTTTTGGCGATTTTCCTGATTTAAAATTTGTGAAAAAAATTACGTATTTTCAAGATATTTTACGGCTATTATAGCTTACTTTCCTCCCATTAAAAACGGCGGGTATTAGAATTTTTTTTGCTGGTCGTTTCGCGAACATCTCTGGCATCTGAATTTGGTGGTTCCCGTGTTGAACCGTCGTGTGGTTTGACAGCATCGCGAGGCGCGAGAGGAGCATGATCTAAACTTTATTTTCAGCTTTTCCGAAACGCCAAGTCAGAGCTAAAGCCCGTTTTATGCCAATTTTTCCTGGGCCTTCCTGATCCCCTTTAAGTTCAATAAATTTTTATGAACTACCTGTACCTAAAAACCTCGTGAAAACCTATGTAAATGGTGTACAATGCCACCGTCTCTACGGCGTGATAAGCCAATGGTACTGGACTCTTAGCAGAGGGAACTAATTTTTGTTTTCTCCTACATATTCTACCTTTAAATATTAAATACTGCTATATATTTTTATGTTTATACTTTTACCAGCGCTGACCCCCCGCTACGCGGGGGTTCAGCGCTGGCCTCCTCCCCCCCCCTCACAATTAGAATCTTGAATTTGAATGCAAAATTTGGCTGAATTCCCGGTCGGACGGGCAGACGGACATTAGAAATTTATATATAGTAGATAATGTTTTTGCAGCTTTTAATTGCTAGAAAATTACAACAAATATTTTAGAAATTTTTGGAACTCGAAAATTTTGATCTTTTTGGGAATTTTTCATACATTATTGGCCAAAGCCAGAATGCTTCGAAATTTTTTGAGATTTTTATATGTAAAAACTGTGTAAAATGCTTGCAAAATCGTTTAAATTTTGTTATAGGACCGTAGAGGAATACTGGGAAAAATTAGTCCCCCGCTAACAGTCCAGTACCGACCATGTTTAGCAACGCTTGTTTTTCCACCCACAGCTCGCCCGGCCCCCAGCCCCGTCCATAGAGCCTTTTTGGGATTCGAACGCGAATGGGTAGGAGGGGAGGATAAATTAGATGGTGTCGAGGGCGCGGGGTCGCGGCTAGAATTTCCCTTTGTTATGACAGGCGGTGGGAGGGTGGTGGAGACGAGGCCGGGTAATGACCGTGTCGGCCGATGGAGGGAACGAGGGACGGGTCCCCTCCCCTTCTGCCTGCAATGTCCATTGACATAGAGGCCTTCGCGTGTAATTCGGCTATATTTGGCCGCAAAAAAGACCGGGCAGCCAGTGGTGTGCTTTGTTCATAACCACGCCAGTAAGCCATGGTAGTGCGCTGAACCCAAAGCCAACTTATTGGAGGGAAAACGGGACATTTTCCTATTAAACCAGTTACACATAGCTATAAATTACGAAGCATTTTTCGCTATTCTTTTGATCAAATAACTTTTAAAACCAACATAGAAAGAGGTTTCTAGATGTAAATTTCGGCCAAAATCGATGGTTTAGGTAGGAAAAACGATTTTGTCCCTTAATAAAAAATTATAGAATTTTTGTGTACAATAATGGCGTACTTTTACAAAACCCAGGTATTGTGCTCAATCCAAATCAGACGCGCCAACCGCCGTCACCAAGCCGTTCAGAGCACATCTTTATATATCGACTACACGAGGTTACGGATGCCTGGAATGGGGGACAAGAACAATTTGACAACATTTACAAATCACGTATATACTGGGTAATACTACAGGCGAAGAGATTAGTCATTGGTCACAGATTTGAAATGCGCGGCGTATGAGGACAGAAGATGCAGAGGCAGGATAAGGGGGGGGGTGGGGGATTTCGGGAGGGGGCGAGGCTTCTCAGCGCGTACACGTCTATTTGTGGAAAGCTACAGGTTCACACTCGATAATATGTAAAATACTCTCTGGGGCGGGTGATGCACAAAATACAACGTGTGTGGGATGTCGGAGAGAGAGGGTACCAGAGCGGTGTGGTCACTTGTATATAGATATCTCGCAAATAAAATTTCGGTGAATAGACATGTGTGCTTCTGGGGGAGAGAGAGAGAGGGGTGCGGGTGGGTGATGGTGACTATTTGTGTGGCGACGACGTGGACCCTCTAATAAAGCCATACAAGGAGAAAAAGCTAATCTTCACAGATTTGAGGCCGGTAGCAGAGCACATTAGGGTTAGGGAGAGGTTAGATAAAACTCTTCTCAAAATACACGCATATGATAAATCCGTTTCCATGATGCGACAGTGAGTGTTTGGGAGACTGGGGGTTAAAGTATGGGAAAATGGGCTACACCAATGCCACGCGAAAAGTTGAAAATAGAAGGAAGGGTAGTGTTTGATGGGGCATTGGCATAGGGTGGGGGGTATCGTATTCTAAAGGAGTGCACAAGTCTTCGGACGAGGAGGCAGATGGGACGATAGAATCGCGGCGACAACAACTTCACGACGGCTCGCGTTGACACCTACACCACGAAATTACGACAGCGTTACTGTAACCGGAAAATTGGGAGCGACCACAGACGAAATACGGGATATTTGACCCAGTTGCATTTCACCTAATATTTAACTAACCGAAAAATCCAAGAAAACTCTCTGGGTTTTTTCGGAAACTTGCAACTCGATGGGATTTGGCGAGACGAGCATAGACCTTTACTCCAAATAAATGTGTAAAATACTCACCAATAAAATTCTCATTGCGAGATGCCCGAGGAGTAGGCGGTGTGAGCATCGAACGGGGCCGCAGCGGCGGCAAGTCCGGAGCAACGGCTGGCCATCGGGTATTCCTTGGGCGTGTCCAATTCGGACCAGATCGACGACATCAGATGATAAGAGTCGACGGAGAGGCTAGAAAACAAGATAATCCAAGCTACAAAATTTTTTCTACCTTGGGGGCGAATCACCGAGTCCCTCGTCGCGCTGGGTGACGAAGGAGGGCAGCGGCTCTTCGTTGGTCATGTTTGCGGCGACAGGGGGCCAGGTGGGACGGGTCTTGTATCCGTTCGTCGATAGGGAGAGACTGCCAAGAGCCTGCTGCACCGAGCCAATGTTTTGGCCGAAAAGGCCAGGAGCCTGGTTTTCGGAGTCTAAAAAAAAGAATATAATAAAGTTACCGCGTGTAGGACTTGTATTCACAAAGATAGGGCCTTTATAAAATCCTCACCAAAATAGGCGCTGCTCCACTGACGGTATTGCTGCGATGCGTTGCCACCAAAGGTGTTGTTGCCGAGGGCGGATTGCATGTTCGGGGGCTGGGGAGCTGCGGAAAACGGCGAGGAGGCACCCAACATCTTGTTGGGACCGTAAGGCCCGATGGCGACAGAGAGTTGTTGTGAATGCGGGTTCTGTGGCATCATCATTGGCATCTGGAAAAGAATATTAAGATTTACATCTTCAACAGCACGCACAAATAAGAATTCTGACAAAATTTCCGCATCAAGGACAAATAATTTTGCAACTAACCATGCTGCGATTCCCGAAATACTCCTGCTGCTGTTGCTGTCGGCTGAAGTCGTGGGAATTGATTTCCTGACGGCGTAGGGCCGATGTGGCGGCCAGGCTACCGTAGCTTGACCGGGCGGCGACAGAGGCGGCAGCTGACAGAGACGAGTAGCCGATCGATGGGTTGGTGGTATTCTGAACAAAAACGTTAGGACCGTAAAACGGGCAAACCTGAAGCTCATTGTAGTTGGAGAGTGGAGCATGGGGGTCGGTGATTGGCATGTTGCCAGTGCGCTGATAAATGTGCTGCTCAATCTCCTTGCGGGCAGCCTCAACATTTTGTGGCAGGCCGGTAACCTGAAATTTTTTATAGAGGGTTAAAAGTTCTTAGCTTAGTTGCGATGAAATAAACCTTCTAGTTTGATAAATCAGATATTATATTACATAAACAAAACTATTCAACGATAGCTCTGCTCTGCTTATAAAATAAATATTATACTTCATAAACTAGTGTTTACTCGCATAATCTATATTATAAATACCTCAAAAATCGGCTCTCGTTCACGGCTGGGTGTGATGATGTAGGTGTGGGTGTCTTGTTGAATGCGCTTGATGGTGGCTCCCTTCGGACCCACTACCAGACCGACGACTCGAAGAGGGACACGGACGTATGCTGTGACGTGGCCAGGAGCGGGTGCACCGCCTAAAAAACCAGGGTAAATGGCGACAGGGTCTAATTGGGTACCTTGTGAGTGACGTCGACTGGCGCGGATCTGGGTAAAGTGCTCGGCGGCGCATTCGATCTCTCGTTTCGCCTCGATCACATCTTCTGAGCGACCAGTGATCTGAAGGAGGAGTTATTGCCATAATGTAGAATCTTCATAATCAAATTCGAATCTGTACAACACCGAATTTCCAGAATTTTCATTCAGCATTTTGAAATTGGCAGTATTTCGATAAACCCCGAGAAAGCTGATAAGATATTGAAGTAGATATTACCATGAACACTGGCTCCTCGCCGCGCACTGGTGTTTTGATATAGGTGTTGGTCTTCGCCCGCAGCGCCTTGATCTTGCATCCTGGAAAAATAAGAAATTTGTTTATTTCTCTCCGGTTTTTTTTTGCTGACCCCGGAAAATCGAACTCTGCCAACAACCCCCTGGTTTCGTTCATAGTTTCGTGTAAAAAAACGGACTACCGATCTATTGCTTTTTTCTGTTTACACGCTGCCCGATTTCTACTGCCCAATACCCCCTTCCCATAAAGAACCCGGCCACTTTGGACCTGCTCTTTTCAAAGTATCCCTCGACATGGCCAATTTTCACTCGCCCCAAAATTGCGGACGGCTCTTTGAAAAGGCGACGAAGAAGAGGGGGCTGTGGATCGGTAGGGGAAGGCAAAGGGCCGGGCAGCCGGCTGGGCAAGGCCGACCACTCTGGCGAAAAGAGCGTGGGGATGGGCGAGAGTCAGCGTGCCCCTGTGCAGAGAGGCAGCGGAGGATGTGCCAATTTTAAGGGGCGACAAAGCGGAAACTCGGCCACCGCCCCCCGAACGTCACCGGCATCTCAAAAAGACAACTGGGTTTGGGGCGCGGGAAAAGAGTAGCCTAATCACATGTTTATGGCTTTTCAATAAAGCTGATTAGTTAGGAAGAAACGGAAAATTAGGGTTGTATTCCAAGGAACAGAAACTACCTAATTTGCAGGGCCTGAAAACCTATGAGGCATGAAATTCTAAGCAATTAAAAATCTTTAAATTTTCCAAGATTGCTGGACAATTACATTGCCCGAGAAAAGTGCCTCAAAGTTAGAATTCTCGAAAAAGGTGCAAAAGTGGTCCTTCATATGATAGTTCATCCGTTTACAAAAGGGCTGGCTCAGGTTCCAAACGCTTTTAAAGTAGCTATCGCGCATTTACAAAGTCCGTAGACCTGAAAAAATTAAGGCTATTTCTATTCGGACAACAGGTCGCCGCAACACATCTTGGAAATTATGAAAAATCTTCACTCTACTCCACGTACAAAATTCATGACCATGAGAGTTTTGTCTTATTAATTCCGGGTTAATCCCGTGCTTCGTATTTAGGAAGAGCTATTTTTCCACAGAATCTCGAAATTCCGAAGCTCGATGTTATTCTTGGGGCTCCTCTTGGCCCGAATTTTACCCCAGCCCCTCCACGGGATTAATACCAAAGTTTTTCGGCGCCTAAAAACGTCACAGAGCCCGTTGCCGCTCATCAGGACGAGGCCGCTGCTGCGGAGGGGTCGCGGGGGAATGGCCGTTGCCCCCAAAAAAAATACACGGCCGCTGACGGCAAACAGCTGAGTGGACCGAAGGAACCGCGGGGGCGCCGAGAGCGCAGACGGGCCGAGCGCGGCAGAGAGGCAGGGTGGGAAGAGCGGGCCGCGAGCCGGCAAGCTCACTTCACCGCTTCTTTTCGGGAATTCTCGACGAGGGATCGCCCAAGAAAACAACGTGATACGTGCGTTATGGGGCGCTCGGAATCAATGGCCAAATTGGGAAATGATTGCAAGCCCCGGGACATGATGATTTGGGGAATTCGATAAAAACAAAGCTACCGTACCCTGACGGCCCACAATCTCGGCGACATGCTCGCTGCTGGGGACTTCGACGGTCTCGGTGATGGTGCGGGCGTTCAGCATAGACTTCATCCCGTTTCCGAATGCCGCCGCCAAGTCGTCATCACCCGTTTGCGAAGGAGAGGTCGACGAGTCGTCCGAGCCGCCAACCTAAACACAAAGGTTAAAAAGCGGAAGAGCTGAAAATATTCGCCAAGTGGCTGAAAAACAGCACACAGGGGGCCAGGGCGAGAGCGGGGCAAGAAATCACCTCGTAAAACCAGGATCCCGGCAGTTGTGGCAGCTGCAGCATGGAGAGCGCTGCGATGGTGGGCCCGTGTTCCTCCTTCATCCTGCAAAAAGGGAAAGTCTAGGAGAGGTGTTAAAGTGAAAAGGCGTGAGGAGAATGAAAGGAAGGGCGCTAACAAATTAATCATGGAGGCGATGAGATAAGAGCGGGAAACTGTAAAGCAAGGTCGTGAGAATCGATTCGAAGGAAAGACAGCACCCATAGCAAAGCCTCTAACGGTGTTTTCCCCCCAAAAAGTTCTCGGATCACTAAATCGGGGGTCCGGAACAGCGGGAGACGAAAACAGGTGATAGGGAGCTGCGTGTGTGTATGTAGGTATGAGCGGGAAATGAGATAAAGTCGACCACAATTCGTGAGCGTATCGATTCCCCAGGGGGCCAGAGAAGCATTCGATGAGTGTTTTTGCGGGCCGGTCACTCTGTATGCTCCCCGTATTCATAGCCAAGGAGGGGGGATGGGGGGTTGGTGGTGGTGGGGCCGTGGTGGGGGGAGTTGTTGTTCTCGAAAAAGTGGGCAAATAGGATCCCCTTTGCCCGAGCGAGTCGCCACCCTGAACAAGAGAATACGCGAGGCGCCGCGGCCGAGGGGGCCGCAGAAAAAAAAACTGCCCGTGGTCAGTGGGGGCATCGATTTGGGCGAGTTCGGGGGCCGAGGCCGAGCATCTTCAGAGCCGGCCATATAATTTGGCCCATTTCCTCCTGGGTTTGCGGGCTGGGCAGACCGTTGGTGAAAATGGGTGGCCTTTAGAGGGGAGGACGTGGAGAGAAGGGGGGTGCCTCCCAATTATCCTCGCGCACAAGAATCAATTTTGGGGGGAATGCCCCGGACAAATACGTCAATCTCCAGTGGTCAGTGTTGCGGTCGATAGACAAAGTACACTTGAATCGATTTGGGACGTCAAAAGAGTATCCTGGAATTAGTAGAAAAGGGCCTCCTGAAAAACTTGGAAAAGAAGCTAGATACAATTTAATTTTTCATTTTCAAAGCCTGGGCCAACGTCAGGAGAATGTTTAGGTCATCAGCAGAAGCTTGAGGAACCGAAGTTAGCTCATCGAAGCCCAAGCAAAGTACCTGCAATTTGAAGAGTATCAGAAACTCAACATTTCTGAATCTTTTCCCTTTCGACGAAAGTGTGAAAAAGCGGGCGATTGGACAGGAAGAGGGCTGGAAAGCTGAGCGAACGACTCCCCATAAAAGACCCACCCCACGGGCTGATAAAAAACAAGGGCTGCCCGCCCGTGCCGAGGCGGCAACGAAAAACAAACAAAAATTATGAAACGCGCCCCCAAGGCTATGATAAACTGGGATTCGCCGGATTGGGTGAAATGGGCAGCATTCGAGCCCAATCCTCTATGTAGGGCGGGAAGTTGGATCGCGTGTCTCTGAAACATATCGCTCCATCCGAGTTACGACTCTAGCTGGTGGTTGAATCTCCAGTTGGAGATTGGGGGAGGGGGAGGGCCGTATTGTCTAATCGCAGCGGGCCCCCGGCAGCCCCCATGGGACCGAGAGATTTCGGGGTGATAGTTACTTGTGGTGCGGTTGGGCGGAGGGCGAAAAGAATTATTGGCCGGGGCCGTTGTTTTGGGGCTGGCGGCGTTGCAGTAGCAGTGCGAAAGGGTTGCACAAGTAATTCCTGGCTAGCGAATTGCAAGATTCCCGACCAGAGTACGGAGCTGAACGTGATGTAACAGGAATGAAGTTGCCACGAAATTCATCGAATATGCTAGTACTAGACTGTTAGTGGGGGGGGGGGTGTTTAGCGGGAGAGCTTGAAAGAACTTTGGCCTATCGCTTCCTTGGGGGCCTAGTAAGGAAAGACACCCCATCTATCTAGCTTTTCAGCAGGATTTAAATATAGAAATTTCATAAAAAAATATTAGTTTCCACGAAACGTTCGATTTGGTGAAAAATTTATGAAAATGGTCAGAAATTTCAATTTTTTAGCTTTTTAAGATTTTTGACGGATTTTCTTGTAATCAACAGCCCTTTAAACCACTAGAAAACTTTCTAAAACTCAAATTCTGCTTGGTAACTATCGACTAGATTGCTCCCCCTGCTAACAGCTCAGAACCGCTTGCGGAGCAAAGCACGATGCTAGACGTGACGCAACAAGGTTCCTGCCACCACGAAAATTTTCGAAAAATGCCTACGTATCAGATAAAAAAGCCTAGCGTTGCGAGCAGCAACTGTGCCAATTGTTGGAAGGAACCACACACCCACAAAGCTGCTGGAGCCACCTTGAATAATTTTCTGGAGGAAGCTAGTCCGGCTTGGCGTGGCCCACCCATTAACTGAAAGGTTAGAGACGGGGGTGCCCCGGACAATAGCGGGGGCCAGAATATAATACGACTTGTGTGTGTGCATGAAGCCCGGTCTGTTTGCGCCTAGCACTGGGGGGTAGAGGGCGACGGGGTGTGCGATTCACAGCACGCCGTCGCCGTGCCCCTTCGCCCCGCTCAGGTCTCGCCCTACCCCCTCCATCTGTCGCATCTTTGCCTACCAAAACATTCGATCGGGGGGCCCTCCCCAAGTGAGCAGGAAGTGCGCACACACACAGACACTCGTACCCTATACGATCGTGCTGCGGAAATAGCAGTAGTAAACAGTTTCGTTTAGCCATCAAGGTAACATCTAAAAAAATTTAGAGCGCCGTCGGGGGTTTAAAAATATACATACAACTGCATAGCAACATACGCTTTTTGAAAATTATACAATTCATACGAAAAATTGCTCACTTGAGACGTTTTTCGCAATAAAATCCCTAACCTTTTTGAGAAATAGCTTTCCGCAAAATCAGAAAAAAATAATTGAGCAGCGAAAAATCTGCGTCAGATAAGTAATTTTAACCCCCACTACACTCAAAAACGCCTCCTTATCAGCCTAAAGGGAAAATTCTACAAAATGAAAAACATTAGCCTTATGTCGTCGCGGCTCGGATTCAGTGAAGCGGGGCAGCAGCGGAAGGAAGGTGATTTGGCCGGTGTTTTTAGGTGGCAAGGGAGAACATACACAGGGTCCAGATGTGGCAAAAGCCGTGTTGACGCACAGGGCCTTCTTTTTGTGATCAGTAGTTGTATTAGAGAGGAGGGGCTACTGGTCAAAACTAAAAAAATGACGACTCTCACAGCGTGTCGCCGAATTCAAAGGGTGCGGATAGGGGGGAGGGGGGCATAAAGCGCTCGGGGGCCATAAAATTAGCATTGCGCGAGTGAGGCGGAGGGGATCAGATGAAGGGGTAGGGACTCTGGTGGTGAGAAGGGGCCGATGGCAACAGCCGGAATGGCCGAGTGACAGCAGGGGCACAGCGGGTTGACAGAGTGCGCGCGCTCCACGCCGGGCGCAGATCTGCCCCGATATCGCATGTGCGTGAATTGTGCACGATTGCGACGTGCGCCGGGGCCTATTCTGATTTTTGGGTTTAAAAAATCAAGTAAAAGATCCTGAAATCAGTTATCTAAATAAATACGAAAGCCGAAAAAGGTATCAAATCTTCAAATAGTTTACCCTTAAAATTGCAAGGATTGAATCATTTTTTAATTTTTTATTTGATACCTTATCTCAACAGCTGCCAAATTCCCCTGTTTTGACGCCTTATTTCAGATTTTGCTACTTTATTTCAGTTTTCATACCTTATGGAATTTGATACCGCTTTTAATTTGATACCCTAGTTCCGAATTTTAGACCTTTATTCGGCTGCGACCCAGTAAAATACCTCAAATCAGCATAAATCGCGTGCGCATGGCTTGAGGCGCGTAAATGGCGTGTGGTCGTGGATGCACGCGCGGCTCGCTCGCTCACCAGCTCTGGTTGTGTGGATTAGGAGATGCGCCCCCCGAATGGGCGATGGCCGACCACCAAATGGGGTTCGTGGGAGAACTGGGCGGGTGGGGCACACGACGGCTTCATCCACACGCCCTTCATACCACCAACGTGTGGAATATTCATGCGCGCAGAAGGGTCGGCCGGGGATAGTGCATGCCCCGCTTTCGGGGGATGCGGAAATCCAGTGGGGGTATGGGAAATAAAACAAAACCAACGGAAAGGTTTCCAAAAAAATTTTTGATAAAATGTGGAAAGTATTTTTTCTGGTTCTGATTCGTTAGCAGGGGGGAGGAGAAGCTAATCTCCTTCTCCGCCTAATAGTGATAACACCTAAACCACCATATGGTTTTTTGGCAACTTCTGAATATTAAAAAGCTATAAAAGTTTCTAAGAATTACAAAATATATCAAAAAATTAATTTCTGGGATGCTTTCTATTCTCAAATCTATTGCTTGTTAAACTGCCCTATTTTATGTCAAAAATCACGTAAAATGTTACTAAAATAGCTTCCGTTTCATCGTAGCTAGCCTACGGAAAAATAGAAAAATTTTATGTCCCGCCGCTAACGAACCAGCACATTTTTTTTCTAGACACCCCTCCCAATGTCTCATTTACCCCCAAAAATCGGCAAACCCAACGGACTGACCACGTCACCCGGCACCGGGGCCATCCGGGTGAATCGCGTTGACGCCTAATCAAACATCTTAGCGGATATACTCGGATGGGGGGACCCCGGGGGTGAAGGCGAGGGAGAGCTACATTGCACGCCGCGCGCCACTGCACATATTTGCTACGCATGGTCACCTCGTCGCGACGAGGGGGGAGACTTGTCGCTTGGGCGGATAAAGGAGACGACTCGGACCATTATACGCGCCCACCTTAGTCAAACGTACACAAGAACGCAATCTAGAAATTATGGCGGGTTAGGGCGGCTTCGATCTTTCTGGCGGCGAGATCCCATTATCCTTGGGGTTGGCAGCTGGGCCGAAAAATTCAGATGGGCCACAAGAGCCGACAAAATTAAAGGGGTCCCAGCGATTGGCCTTCGTTTTTCATAAATGACTATGGGTTTAGCGCTAGACGGTTAGTTAGATGGACAGAGAGCAGGAAACCAGCTATGGAAACTAGAAAACCTTTTTCAATGAATCAAGTCAAGGAAATCGAGCAGGAAACCAAAAATAGAACCAGGAACCCCTTTGAAAACTAATAAACACCTT